GTTGTCACATTATTATAAGAATTCAAGAGACATCTCTATTATATGTGTTACACTGTGGTGATCCCATGCATACCCAAGGAATATGTAGCAACATTAGGGTATATGTTCATTTATGATATTGGTAATTTCACTGGAGTACGAATGACATTGTTGGCTTAGTGATATACAAACCCATATATGCATGGTGTATCACTTATGAATATATACATGTGTGTTTTAAAGAGTACACAAGTTATTTGTAGCATTTAATAAGGATTCTTTTGGAATGATTTTGAAAAATACATTTTTTGATAAGTGGATTTGCTATTGGTTCATTTGTAGAAACATTGTGCAATGAGTCTGCTATGAATGATGAGTTCACCAACTAGGTCATATCAATATCACCTTCATGTAACTCACTCCTGGTGACTCTATGTCAACTTGTTATTAAAATGGCACGATCCCCTCTTTATATATTTTATGAATTTAATGGTACAAGTACATATTATGTGGTTATATAATGGTTGATTCTATATATCATATTTATATACTCACGGGAGAATATGATATACAGAATCAATCATTATATGATCTTATTATCCTACACTTAATGTGCTAAATGTATAATAACATCAAAAGATAAATTTGATATTTATTGGCAAAATGAATAACCGGAGGATATTGTGATGATATACTCCGGGCGGAGGATATCGTGACGATATACTGCAGAAACCCCAATATGCGGAGAATATTGTGACAATATACTCCGCTTGTTGATTTCCCGCCAAATTGACTCTATTTGGCATGAAATTTATTTTGCAATGATATTATACATTTAGTACACTCCTTGTTAGTGTAGGATAATAAGAACATCTTATGATTTTTTTTCAGAATATCATTTTAATCTACTCGGTGATATTGATATATGCACTCGTTCGCTTTGCTCTCTCGTGCAGATATCAACACCACCTCGTAGATAAAAATGATATTGCTCAAAATCATAGGATATCCTATAATTATCCCACCCTAAATCTAAATTGAGCGGTTTATATTTCGAGTCGAAGAGTTGTATACGCTGCCCAGGAGTTGTATATGCTATCCAGGAGCTGTATATAGTTTTCAAGAGTTGTATACATTGGGTGTTGGTTTTACATTGCAGTCATACAATGCTAATATACATAATCATATAAAGCACTTAAGGTGGGATAAGGCTGCATTAAGTCATACTTCAGTCAGCTCACTGAGAATTCAATCAAAATGTTTTTTATATGCAGAACAAAAATATTAGCAAGAATATGGTTATAAGGCGCCATTGTGAGACAGTGTCGTACAATGCATCATGTAGTCATTGATTAAATGTGATTGGCAAGTTCATCCATTCATTATTGCCTTGCATGCTCAACATATTTTGTATGACATATTTGCCGGTTCATTGTTATTATGGCAATACATATCAGTGATCTCCCCAGCATTAAAGCAAGTGGGCGCAGCACCCACCTGAGATTTTGAAAATAGGCTTGCACCCACCTGATAATTCATTTGCACCCACTTGAAAATGAGAAAAATAATGAAAAATGGGCATATTTTGACCAATTTTGGTCTGAATTGTGAAAATGAAAATTTTGCACCCACTTGAGAAAAAATCCTGTGGAGATCACTGCATATTGTTAGCTCATCTTTGAGTCTGATAGGGCTTATTGTTTTTGAATGCTAGACTACTCAAAAATATTTTACAATGAACATTGAGCATGCACCGTTTGTAATGAAATTAACAAATTGATTGTACTCACCTGGCGAACTCACCTGGCAAACTCACCTTTGTATTACGTTAAATCTCCTATATGGAGGTAGTGAGTAGGTGAAGCAATAAAATATTGATTCAAAATAATCCATGTGTTACGAATCAATTTTTTTTTATCTTTTCTTTGTTATGTCTTTCAAATAATCCTTCCGAAATTTCTGTCAGGTAAATATTTGAAAAATGTTCACTTCTGATTTTTTTATTTTATTATTCAGTTAGATGTGCTGTGATGGCATGTGTTTGTAGTCTATAGGTAATATCTTCAATGCCTCTGTGATAAGCCTTCATTGTATAAGCCCCATAAATATAAAGCCTAGCTCAAAATATTACTTCTGTCTTGGTTATTCTAACCCTCTCCATATAAGTTGTTTTTATGAAGCGCCCGTTTCCTTGCATTGTCTCACAAGTTAGATGGTTTGCTTCCGATATGCAAATGCCTCTACTTCATTCATTTGCGAAAAACTGTTATTTTGTATATAGGTAGTCTTGTGATCATAGAAGACACTTATAGTGAGGGGTACTTTCCAAAGTAATATTGTTACCTCAACTTATAAGCTAGTTGTAGTTGATCATTAATAGTCAATATTGACATGTTATATCATTCCTATTGAGATGTTTATCTAATTTTTATCTGCCAATTTGCAAGATTTCTAGAAATATGGATCCAATCCAAAATCAGGAATTAATTTGATTAATCGGTACGACAAGTGATTTCATAGTTAATGACATCGTTGTTGAGTGGAATTATTTCTCTGATACATAGAGTTATGAAATATGAAACTGTCACCACATTGATTAATTTCTTAGAAATGTACCATTTGTGTGTCCTCAATATAAGTGAAATATGATATTCATGTATTGTAAATTATAAAATATGGTGATAGATATGTATTTGATGTGCTAAGGTACTCTTGAAACATACTATTACACTTTGGTGGTTTAAAAGGTGTATGAAGAAAAAATGTAAGATATTTTAAGGATTGTTTTGAAACTAATCAGATGTTGTCTTGGATCATTGGTCTTCATTCTCAAATCTCCACACTTGAGATCCTGCATCAGTATTTAACCCTGGGACTAACATAACACAACAAGATGGTTGCTAACCCGAAAAGAAAATTTTGTGAATTTTGATACAACATGTACTCAAATATTGTAAAAGCAATTATGCTAAGAATGAAGCAGAAAGTTGTAATAATCAAGAAATATCCCAAACATAGATTTCATTGTATACCGAGAAAGGCTGAGGAATTCTCTTGCATAGACAATGTTTTAAACAAGGATAATAAAACATACCTTGCCTTTCATAAACATATCAGATGTTACTTCTAAAAACAGATATTTGAAAGGTTTTTGGCTTCTTGGCATTTTTGGAAATTTTTATTTATAAGCTGCCATAACCTACTTTGCTATATCTACATGTTTTACAAATTGGGTTTGATTGCTGAAACATTTATGTTAGCTCAGGTTCATCTTGCAATGTGAAACAAATCAACCAGTTAAAAACGCACAAAGGGCAACATTAGGGATAAAAAACAACCTCTATAAAACATAGAAATGGTTTAAAATAGGATGAAGCAATATTTAAATGGCAGTGAAGTTAAAGTGTGGCATAGGGCAGAATTATTGAGTGACAGTTGATTTGTGATAGAATTGATTGTAAATCTCTGAACATTGAGGATTTTTGGTTTAATTTGAGTTGTAGTGTTTAATAGATGAGACACATCCAGGGTAAGCTACATTTTAGATTATGCTGATCTAAGAACTTATTTGATTTCAGGAATCTCGTTCAAACAGATTGAGCATAATTTATTGACTAATTCAAACTTTGAGAAGTACCATAAACATGACTTTCAATTCCTTTATGTGTTCTCAATGAGGCTATCTTCATGTATAATTGGCAATCAATGCACATTGAACTAATCTATGGAGTAATGCTTTCAGGTTGATCATGTTGAATTATGTATAATATTGATATGGGGAAATTGATCTAATAATTCTTGTATATGATTTGAGTTACTTTCATAATTACAATCAAGAGGACTAAGATTTAGACTTTCTGATCCTTCCTTGAGTGCAGAGTACTGACTCAGCCAAATAAAGGGAGCTCCGTCAAATGCAGATGGGAACTTCACGTACTAGTAGGTCAAGTTGATCAAATAATGAATATAACTTTGAAGTCGTGGTGTTCCATATTAGATTTCCTTTCCTAAAATACTCTGAAATCATTTTATGATAAAAATATTTTGAAATCTTTAGAAGCTTGAAACTCTAGATTCTTGTTGCATGAGGCGTGATATCAAAGAAAACATTGAAAGTCTGGCAGATTTGGTTATAGGATATTTTAGGATATTTTTAAATCTAGGTTACCTTTGCTGTCTAATAATTGTTGTCACGTACTGAGATGGTGTTGAGCTGCTTATTGACAATGATTCCATTTTATTGGCTGTAAAACTGGGGTTTCTGTTATTTAAAAAGATTCTCTTTAAAATGGTAGTTTCTATGCTCAAAGCCAAGTAGCAAAGTGCCCAGATAGATGTTAATTTTGTGTATTTAGTTGGAAAATTAGGTTTCCGAAAGTTTGAATAGCTTTAAAAGAAAAAACCTACAGTGAACAAAGCAGTGTAGGATTGGATTTGAATAACCTGATTTTTCTATCAGTTTTCAGCAGCAGATTCATTGATTTCATCAGTTTGTTTTCTTTCCACGAATTATTTCTCCACTATGCTATGTTTACTAAGTGCTGACATCCATTCATTCCCTGGCTTCAGTCCATGTCTCTCAAAGACAGTTATATTCTAACAGGAGTAGGTTGGTTTTTTCCTTACAGAACTGAATCCCCTCCATGCCATAAATTATTCAGATTAATAAAGATACAAATATTTTTGTTATCTGCTGGAGTCCATAACTTTTTATATCTTTCTTTTCCATGCGGATCTACATTGTATTTTGACTCTGTTTTTATTGTAACTATTTTTTTGTAATTGATAAATAGTTAATATAAGATCTGTTATAATGTAAATGCATGTCTATCGAACATTTTAAATTGAATTCTTCTTTTTTTTACTTTAAGATCAATAAGGATGCAGGATTTACAAGTCTCCCTGGACTTTTTTATGATTAGGTATATTTTACGAGGAGCTTCAAATTGTTGTATCGATGAGGTGTCTCAAAATTGTTGTTTCTATGAGGTGTCTCAAAATTGTTGTTTGTATATTTTCAGGACCCTAAAGACACACCACCACCAACTAGAGTAGAAACCAAAGATGAACGCAAAGAAAGAAAGGTAAGATATATACTGCAGTTGAGTCAGTTAAATCTGTAAATACTTGTCATGACTTTTTGAAAAACAGTATGTGACATTTATTGAAAAAGTTCACTTTTGAAAACATGCAAGTTATAGTGGCATGAGGCAGTATCCAGTTCAACCGAAACGAATTGTTAACCTTTAAATCTGGGAACCTCAAATCTTATTTCCATTTAGTCTATCTAGTCCCTTGCTTCCGATTTAAAACATTATTACTACAAATTTGAAACATCTCATCTGAAGTGTGTTGATTATTTCATTAGCCGTTAGACTAGACAAAATCGCAGGAGGAATATCAATAAACATAGTATCATGGCAGGATTATCTAGAATTACCATTGAAAGACATCTAATGCATTTAAAATCATGATATCCAGTCATTGTCAGTTTTAATCTTGTCTCACTCATTGACCATGAATATCTTACTTAGTAGCAAATAGAAAATAAGATTTGAAATAAAGCATGGTTTATATTTAATTATGTGGGTAGGTTCTTGATGATAATTGCATTTTCTTTGTGTAACAAAGTCTCTATTTTTCCTCGGTGAATTCTTTCACTCTCAGCCTGTGACCACTTTAGTTTCGTATTTGCGGGTAGATTCGAACCTGTTGCTATAAATCTAACAGAGTTAATTAATTCCTTGATCTATTCATGTGTTTTAATCTCAGGCAGCTTTAACATTTACCTAATCTTTGTTTATTGCCTGGTGTCTTGTTCATTAAAAGTGAGCAATCTTAATAGGTAGATCGTTATGTACTATTATTATTTAGGATTATGGTATGACTCCTTGATTAACTTCATCATATATATCACTCAGATGCGTAATTATAGAATCAGAGACAAAATAAAAACAGGAAATCTATATTTAAAGGAAGAATACTATGAAAATTTGGAAACCAAATATACCAACACCCAGTGGATTTGTGATATCCACCACGATGATAAACTTTTTATCATACCTAAAAAAGTTATAATATGGATGGCAGCTTTGTGGGATGATGGTGACCTTTAACTTTTCTAATATGCACATTTGAAGACAAACTGCTAGAGGGATTGATTCAAATTTTTAGCAATGTTCTTAGTATAATCTAGAACTGATTAGTCTCTGGCCAATTTTGAGGTATGATATTGTTCACCCTGTGCCTTACTTTACTTGTACTTGTCATGACTTTTTGAAAAACAGTTTGTGACATTTATTGAAAAAGTTCACTTTTGAAAACATGCAAGTTATTGTGGCATGAGGCAGTATCCAGTTCAACCGAAACGAATTGTTAACCTTTAAATCTGGGAACCTCAAATCTTATTTCCATTTAGTCTATCTAGTCCCTTGCTTCCGATTTAAAACATTATTACTACAAATTTGAAACATCTCATCTGAAGTGTGTTGATTATTTCATTAGCCGTTAGACTAGACAAAATCGCAGGAGGAATATCAATAAACATAGTATCATGGCAGGATTATCTAGAATTACCATTGAAAGACATCTAATGCATTTAAAATCATGATATCCAGTCATTGTCAGTTTTAATCTTGTCTCACTCATTGACCATGAATATCTTACTTAGTAGCAAATAGAAAATAAGATTTGAAATAAAGCATGGTTTATATTTAATTATGTGGGTAGGTTCTTGATGATAATTGCATTTTCTTTGTGTAACAAAGTCTCTATTTTTCCTCGGTGAATTCTTTCACTCTCAGCCTGTGACCACTTTAGTTTCGTATTTGCGGGTAGATTCGAACCTGTTGCTATAAATCTAACAGAGTTAATTAATTCCTTGATCTATTCATGTGTTTTAATCTCAGGCAGCTTTAACATTTACCTAATCTTTGTTTATTGCCTGGTGTCTTGTTCATTAAAAGTGAGCAATCTTAATAGGTAGATCGTTATGTACTATTATTATTTAGGATTATGGTATGACTCCTTGATTAACTTCATCATATATATCACTCAGATGCGTAATTATAGAATCAGAGACAAAATAAAAACAGGAAATCTATATTTAAAGGAAGAATACTATGAAAATTTGGAAACCAAATATACCAACACCCAGTGGATTTGTGATATCCACCACGATGATAAACTTTTTATCATACCTAAAAAAGTTATAATATGGATGGCAGCTTTGTGGGATGATGGTGACCTTTAACTTTTCTAATATGCACATTTGAAGACAAACTGCTAGAGGGATTGATTCAAATTTTTAGCAATGTTCTTAGTATAATCTAGAACTGATTAGTCTCTGGCCAATTTTGAGGTATGATATTGTTCACCCTGTGCCTTACTTTAACAATAATAGTGATAGATAATGGCACTTTGATAAAATTTGAATAACATGATATTTACATAAATGTATTGGTTTATACAGTCACATGAGAATAATAAAGTATAAGAATAACATCAATCTATTGAGCAAAACAGACTAAGTAAAACATATACACCCCCATTGTAAATCACTCTCTGATTTTCAGAGGCAGTAATTCTCTGAAGCGAATTACATTTTGGAGCAATTTTTCTCATGTTCAAAAACCTTGAAATGTGAATGTTGCCAAAATTTTACATATTTTACTCTTGGTTAATTTCGTGAATTTTGAGAAAACACGATTTCACTGCAATTAAATTTGGCGAATTTCACCAATGCACATACTACTGTGTCATCTTAGTCAATGACACGCTGCACCTTAACCTCTATTACATCGTAATTTTTTTGGATCAAATAAGCCACTGTAACAGGCATTGTTACCCCATTTATCGCCTAATAACACTTGACATACATTTGACAAAACATGAAATTCAATGAAGTCCCAGGTAATAAAAAACTTCACAAATTCCTGGGGATTTAATTGACAATTTCGCAAAGATTAATTTTCGCGATTTAACCACAATCGCAGAATGCACAAAACTAAATCGCATGCGAAAAAACGGGAGTACAGTATCTCCAGCTACAGAGCAAAAGGTTTTGCCTCAGTTTAGTAACTGTAGAACATGTGGTAATGAAAATGGCAGAACTGATCATGTTTTAAATGAAGCATACAGAGGAATAAACAAGAAATAAGTTATGATATATGATACTCAAACCTTAATAACGTACAAAAGTAAGAAAATAAGAAACATGTTTATTTTATCAATATTTTATGAAGAAATCTGCTTATAGACATCACCATAACAACGTTTTAAACTTTGGATGTGATTTTGTATATGGTTGAATGGTGTGGGATTGTATATGCTTGGATAACTGTTTGACTAGTATAAAGTACTTCCAAGATGATAAATCAAAAGATAAGGTATTCTGCCTACAGTGCTACTATGTTTTCTAGACTCTATTTCATCAAATAACATCTCACTTCAGATTAGCCATCCAGTCGTATAGTTTTATCAAGACTTCAAAGATCTCCTTGAACAGGTTCATGTTTTGTTTATTGAATAGTTTTGTTGATGTTTGTATTGCTATTGATTATTATCACACTCTGAAAAAGTGCTGCTGGACGGGCATCGCACAAATCTTGTCATCAGAATTTTAGGAAAACCGCTTATCCGTTCAACTTGAAATTTTTACAGGTGTAAGAAGCAGACTTGTCCCAAGATTTGATTAGGTTTTGGGCATGCTGGGTAACCTACATGGTAGCCATTTTGCTCTTCAAACTGGGATATAAAACACTGTGTGTCTTGTTATTATCTGAGTTTGTGCTTCATAAACTATATATTCCCAATCAAGTTGAATAAGGAACAGTCTAACACAGGGAACTGAACAAGCCTAACTGATTCAATTGTTTCTTGGAATTAAATTTTTCGATTGAGTAATTCCCAACGAAAACCAATTTTGATTGTCTTTTTTGCAGAGAAAGGAACGTGCCGAACAAGTTGCCTACAAACTTGAACAAGATCTGGCCCTGTGTAAGTACAGTAATCATACCTAATATTAAATAATAACTTGTCTGCTATTGATTTTTGTGTAAATTGTCTGAGTTTTTTAGTCGTCAGCCCTTGTGGAACGAGTTTAGATTGACAGCTAACATCAGCTGCTAATCTTGTGTTAGAGAGAGGATTAAAGCAAGATCCACAGTGATGCATGAGTAATGGTCATTCATGATGGGACACAATAATCTGGATCATAATAGATCACAGTCGTCTGGGTCATTAGGGATCACAATGGTCTGGATCATTATAGATCACAATGATTTGGATCATTATGGATCACAATGGTCTGTAATATTCTTGAGCATAGAATATGTTTCTGAAAAGGTTAGGTCCCCAAAGATTTTTCTGAAAATGTCATGGAATTATATATCCTTAAAGAGAGATTTCTGTATAATAACGAAAAGCAGTATATCACATCGATTTTACAGAGAATGAAAAGAAAGAAAATGTTTCCTTCCACTTATACGACTACTCCAAATGAACATTAAGCAATAATAATTTCGTAGAGCCCTCTTGCACTCTGTCAATAACGCGTGGCCACAGATGTGGATTATTGGTCATAACGACAAGGTTACGCTGCCTCAGACATGAGGGAACCTTCTAGTTTCTATAGCAACATTTCCTTCTCCCTCATCATCTTGTTCAAATAATTCCATTAGTTTACATCATCAATTATTATCAATTATCTTTTTCGACGTAAACAATAATTCTACTAGCTCAAAATGTAAGTTTTTGTCAGTGTCATTAATCCTATCTTAGGTTTGGTTTCCATGGTAACTTCAAATGACATTAAAGTCCTAGGAACAGCAATACTTTCTTTCTGTCTGATGCGAAACATTATTTGAATATAAAAGGTTTTATTTTTTGAATTGTATTGTTTTCAAGAATGCTACCCCAATCGCCATACTTCCTTGTTGTATTTTTCTCCAGTAGCCATCAATAAAATTTTGACAGCAGATTGAGCAGTTCTGACAATGAACACGATACTTCGACTAAACTACTAATCTTCAAAAACCTCTTTGTTGTTGTTTTTTATTCACATCTTAGCAATTTGGAATAAAAGCAGTTGGAAGATTTTATATTCATTGATAAATCTTTCTTCGTATAGCGAATGTACACCTGGTAGCATATACAGCTCAGCTGTCCATACTGACGCTGTTTACAATCCAGGTACATAAACCTTCAGCAAAGTATTACAGAGACATCTATACATCTCTGTAATTTCAGAACTGAAGAACAAAATGTAGTCTAACTTCATTTACCAAATATCAGCAATATCAGGAAAACAAAAAAATATTGCCAAACAATCACTATAACCCACAAAACCAGTACTTGAGTTCATTTTTGTTGCATCTCCAGACAAACTGCACAAATAATAGAAGTTTTTTTTAAAGTTTTTCAGCGATGTTTCTTGGTATGAAAATCTAGAACTGATCGAGGGGATAAGGTGGCCATTTTTGATTTTTATGGATGATATTATTTACCATGTGCCTTGCCTTGTTGATATCGAAGAAGCATTCTGAACTTATAGATTGTGTGTGACAGATTGATTGATCAATTATATAATATTTATGTTATGTTTTGCAGGGGACCCTAACAACATACCAGGGGGGACAGAAGATGCTTTCAAGACCCTTTTCATTGCTCGAATTGTAAGTAGTTATGGAATTGTGTATGTTTATAGGGAATGTATACCTGGTAGCATATACAGCTCAGCTGTCCATACTGACGCTGTTTACAATCCAGGTACACAAACCTTCAGCAAAGTTTTACAGAGACATCTATATATCTCTGTAATTTCAGAACTGAAGAACAAAATCTAGTTTTACATCACATCCCAAAATCAGAAAAAAATATTGCTTGTCTTGCATCATGTTTCTGCCCTTCCCTTTGAAATACTTTCTAAAACTTTAGGAAAGATGAGCTTGTCTGAGTAAGAGTATTAGGTGATATGCAAGACTTTTAGTAGTCTTGCACCAAATCTTCCTATCACCCCATCCAGGGGCGGATCTGGGAACCAACAAGGGGGGGGCCCAAATTTTCGTTCAGGGAAAGAAACATCAAAAATTTTTGGGCCCCTAAAACCGAAAAGTGGGCCCAAATTTTGGCCTAAAATTCCAAATAAGGCCTTTTTTGGACCCAATTTTTTTTCTGGGCCCACCCAAGGGGGAGGGGCCTGAGCCCCCAGCCCCCCCCCCCCCCCCCAGATCCACCAGTGCCATCTATTCCATCCCCAGACACTCTGTTATAATGGGTAGGAGCACAGCAGGATGATGCAAGACTATTGCTAGCACATATTTTATTGATTTATATGTAATAGTTATGGTTTATATGAACTTCTCTTTGTTAAATACTTAAATTATTGTCAAATATATGTCAAATAGAATTACCTCTTGAAGAAATCGAAATTAAAAATCTTGTTTGAAAAATACAAGTTCACAATAGGCTAAAGAATTTGCTGAATTTGATATCCAGTGAGCTATTTCTAACATTTCCAGCTTTTGATTAATATTCATCAATTTTACCCCAACTTTTGGATGTTTATGAATCGTTTCTAAATTGACCATATGGGATTATTTTAGAACTATGACACAAGTGAATCTAAACTGCGGAGAGAGTTTGAGGTATATGGGCCAGTGAAGAAAGTAGCTCTATTAAAAGACACCAAGACGGGGAAACCTCGAGGTTACGCTTTCGTAGAGTATGAACATGAACGAGACATGCATTGTAAGTAGACCAATCAGCAGAAAACCGCCGTGCATTTGTCTTACATTCTGTATGATATTTATAATATCACCCTGTAAAACTGAAGGCTGAATAGTGTGAATGTATCACAAATGTACATTTTGAAATGTTTTCTATATCAGCCTGTACTAACTGTGTTTCTTGATAAACAAGCTGCCTAGTTGGCAGGGAGGGAGATTGTGTATTGGAATAGTTTGGTAAAATTGTATTCACAAGTATGAACATTTTCATTAACGCAGTCTGAAAGGTTGACACTGCCTAATAATGGTGACCTTGTGTATATTCAATGATGTGTTGATGATTGGAATGTTCCACTGGTTGTTTCAATGGCTGAAATTGGAATGGTTAGCAAACATTTATGAGAAATTATATGACATAGAATTTTCACCTGGTGTTTTTATTTACAGTTTTTTATTTAAGGGAAAAATGCTTCTACAAGAAAAACGAGAGAAATAACATTTTAAGTCCAAAGTGGATCTCCTATTCCTTGTTTATACACATTAAGTCACAATCAAGTTGCATTCAAACAACAGACTACATAATACATATACATGTACATGGTTTCAATAACAAGTGATCAGCTTGATGCATGACTGTTCCTATCATGTACTGTACTGTCTTCAGACTGGTGTTCAGTCCAAAGAAGTGCTGTGATTCAATTCGTTAATTTGAATGATTTGATCTTGCTTTCTTTGATTCTGCATTAGAATGTGCAGTGGCAGCTCTCAGAAAAAATGTTGATATGCATCTTGATGTGCTATTAGGCAGTGCATCAGGTAAGGAAACTATGTTACACAGTACGCACATATACAAGTTATTAAAGATACATGATTAACATAAGCTCTTGTTTCTTACTTCAGAGAATCGTGAGCTGAGCTGTAAACGCTACTTGCGTTCCTCTCAATGACGTATTGTTTGAGCAAACATTGTATATTTGGATAGGTTGGTATATAGGTGGGTTGGTAAGACTAAGCCAATGACCCCATATATTCAAATCCTATCGCCCTTTATAACACAAGCCAACTTATCTGGGTCGTTCGTTTTTCATGGTTTACTGGTATAAGATTCACTGGTCTACTGTTTTGTCACCGGATTTTTCATAAGTTTCTCAATGGTATGAAAATTCTTTCTCAGTGTTGAGCCAAGTCGTAATTAGTCTCATCTTCAGTGTTTTGTCAAATAACTTGATAGTAGAGCCCTCTTTTATCAGTGTTAGATTTTATATCAATGAAATGTTCAAAATGAGTGAAAAAGAGTTTGTTTTTATAGAGGATATCTGTCTCGTTGATCACAATAATTCAGCCCCTAAATATGTTCCAACTAAATTCTTGTTATCATAAAATTAAATATAAGTCTTTCTGAAATGTTGGGGAGGTTTTTCTTCATAAGACTTGACAATTTTTAAGAAAGTTTGGTCCAATAATGTCAAAACTTTTTTGCTATTGATAACTTATTAAATCATACAGGTGGTTTGTTCGGTAAAATAAACCTTGTATGAAATGAATTCAAATTTGGGAAAAAATCATGGAATAGTAAGTTTTTCATGTGAAATTAAAGAATTGGGGAATATCAATTTCAAATAACACTTATAGTTAAGACTGTTCAAATTTTGTTTCACCTTAAATGGACTAACTTAAATTTAATTAAAGAGAATTATTTAAATTAAATTGAAAGAAATCAAAATTGAAAATTAAAGCCAGGTAAGTAAATGTTGGACCAAGCAGTCAGATAATAACTTAAACTTGGTTTTATATCAGGTTTATGTTTTCTTTTGTCTGTTTGTCCAACTACTGGCATACTCGGATAAAGAACAGAGACAACATCTTCAAAATAACAGGTGCTTTCCCTCAAATAACAGGTATAATCCAAAATGGCAGGTATCCAGGATCAGGGAAAATTAATTTCTCAGTATTTTATACAAAAAACTCAAATTTATTTTTGTTATAGATTCATTCTTTTTGTAATCAGTATTTTTTGTGCAAAAAATGCATGGCTGAAAAAAACAATATTTTTATAGAATCACAATTCTTTGATTAAAAGAGATTCACTAAATTTGTTTGTTAAACTCAGGTAAGCCTATGACCGGGTAGGTAATATTGGTGTCCAAAATGCAGCGGGTTTGCTCTTCAGATTGATTACAAGGTCCTTTATCAGATAAGTTTGGCGTAAGTGGTAAACATGAATGTAATTCTTGTATTATATAATGTATGGTACATGGAAACGGGGCCAAAACAACATTCAATTATGACAGTGCTTTGCATTGCTTCAAAAACCAGATTCAACCTCTCGATTTATTTTGGGGACTATCCTTTGTACTGGAAAGATATTGCATTTTTCTGAATTCATGTTGTTTTCGTCCCACTCCACCATTGGGTAGGTATACAGAAGAAAGAAGATGTAGCTGAGCTGTGGATTTCATCATTGCAGGAACATTTTATATTATTCTTGTCTTGTGTTAATGTCTATATAAATATGTCATATCTAATATAATCTTCTAATAAATATAACCCAAATTTGCCATGAAATATTGTTGCCATAGGTAGGTATAGATGGATGGGAGAGCAGCTTGTTTCTACAGGAACAGGAAGTATGTTGTGTCACCATGGCAACCTGATATAAACCTTTCTGCGTTGTAGTGTAGTTTATTGATTTGTTATTTGCACATCAACCATAATGTCTGTTGGACATGGGCTGAATTTTACAGACTCTGGTCAGAAAAATCAAAATTCGCCAAAATAATTTATAATTGAACAGCACTATTGAAAGGCTACAATCAACATTTGTCACATTTTCTAACTAGTGTCAGTGAGAATCAGCCCTGGTTGTCAGGTATTGATCTGGTAAGTGATGGTTGCAGAAGGAGCTGACGATGTAAGTTGCTGTATCTAGCTTGGGGTGGTAACCCAGGCTTTTTATTGAGCTACCAATGCAACTGTACTATGGGCCACACCATCCTACACTCCATTGATCTGTATACATAAGCGGTCTGGTTCAAAGTGCAGTTTTTCAATAACTGGTCAATTTTGTTCATGGTTTATTTTATTTTTAGCTGCCTACAAGCATGCTGATGGAAAGAAGATAGATGGCAGGAGAGTTCTTGTAGATGTTGAAAGGTCTCGAACAGTGAAGGGATGGAGGCCAAGGAGACTAGGTAAATAAAATATATATACATGTTTGCAATATCAGAACTGCCCAGTTTTCTTAATTTTTCAACTGGTTTACAATAGAGGTCGAATAATGCCTTCACAAGAGTTCTATTCCCACTGTGCTAGTAAATTAGGTGGTCATTTGTACATCGGGAACTCAAACTCGTGTTATCTAATGACTCAGTACAGTTTAAGAGCTCCTATTCTCAATGGATATTATTTCCTCATTCTGCAATATTCCGGTTTTGTTTGCAGGAGGTGGTTTGGGTGGAACAAGGAAAGGTGGCGCTGATGTCAACACAAGATTCTCCGGACGTGATGACAACGCTAGAGAAAGGTAATCCATCATCAATAAGTTTTCTCATACTTTTGACTCATTATTTTATTGGGGAGAAATATAAAATAGAATTGGCTATGGTGAAATTGGTTGGTTGGTAATCAGCAGTTGGTGTCTGTAACAAATGGTGGTGACATTTTGTATGTTAATGCCTTGTATTCTTTATGCCATACTAAGCAACATCAATTTTCCTGTTACAACAATGTATTTAATTTGTTTATTTGTTTTGCCACCAGGAGTCGGTCTGGTAGTCCAGGTGGTAGAAGGAGGAGGTCTAGGAGTCGTAGTCGAGACCGTCGACGCAGACGTAGCAGGAGTAGGGAGCGCAGACGACGTAGCAGGAGCAGAGATCGAATCCAGATCAAGACTGAGCCTGGTCTTGGTAAGATTAAGTGTATTATATTTTGTGTCAGCTTAAACATAACACTTGAAAACCAAAATATATAGTCCTGATGCACTGTTACTCTACCCAATTACGCTTACAAAATGTCGGTACCTCAAAGATGTGAATTTTTTACTTATTTCACGAGTTTTAGGCAGAATTCCCACGACATTTTTATCACAAACTTGTGTCAGTATCATATGTCTAAGAAAATTTACTTGTTTGCAAACAAATAATTCAGAAGACAAAAGAATCTTCGATTTAATACCTCACTTATGAAAAACGGTTAAGATCTGCGCTTCTAACCCGTTCCATTTACGTAACAGTTCTGAGGTATTAAAGCAACGATTCTGTTGTCTTCTGAACTATTTTTCCACAAACATCTACATTTTCTTGAACATATGATACTGACACACATTTGTGATAAAAATTTTGTGGGATTTCTGCCTATATCGCATGGAATAAGGAAAAAAGAAAAGTCGTACCTTTGAGGTTCCAATATTTTGTCACCAAAATGGACCAGTGCATTTGAGTTGAGTACCAGCGTGATGGATGTATGGGCAGATGGCACAATAAATCTCTTCATGGAGATCATAGACCCAAACCACCCCTTACAAGCAAAGATAAGAAAACCATTCATCCATTAAACTTGAAATTTTGAGATTCAAGAGCAAGAGGTATCCAAGATCTGAAGTTTTGAGCATGCTGGTTAAACAAGGCGGTCACTTTGAATTTCCAGTGCAACATTTATCACCTTGTCCAGTTTAATTTTCATTTCAAATAATTTGCAGAAGTTAACTTGGCCATACTGGTCTGAGCATTGTTATGAGTTACACAAATGTTTGATGCATACATTAGTTTGAATTCATTTGAGATATGTTCATACTTACAGAAGATTCCGATGTCAAAGTTGAGGGTGAGAAACGACGAAGACGCAGTAGGAGTCGGGACAGAAAACGATCTCGCAGAAGCAGGTCACGTGATCGAAAACGCAGTCGAAGCAAAGACCGCAAGAGGAGTCGCAGAAGTAGAAGCAGAGATCGCAAGCGTAGCAGATCGCGTGATCGCAAGAGCCGTAAAAGTGAACGCGAAAAGGCTGAGAAGAGTATCCCCAATGAAGGTGGAGATGGCCCAATTGATTTTGATAATGTTGTTATTAAATCTGAGCCCAACATGGATGTTCACTATGGTGGTGATCCTGTGGAACAACCCAATGGTGTCCCTCAGGAGAATGAGCATGCAGAGGAATTAAATAATGAAGAGGGGGCTGAACCAGCTGGAGATGCAGAACAGAATCAGAGTTATAATGAGTATGGAACTGAAGAGCCTATCAATGAGTACGGCTCAGTTGAGGACATGTAGACAATTATGACATCTCAATGAGGTAGTTATTTCATCAGAGTGACTTATGATGGGCATAATCGAGTAGTTCTGTAACATCACAATGACATTGAGCAAAATGTGAAAATGAGACACCGATCACATTCTTGGACAATGACCTCAGATTTCAACATACTGGCTATGTAAAGAATACTGTACAAGACAAATCTAATTGATTTCATATCAGTGTCACGTTGGGTTGAACTGTCATGTTTCTATATAGCACATTAACCATTTTGGATTGTTCACTACACTTACATCCTGTCGAATTTAATTAATGTAATTACTCTGAATAATGTTGACAAAAATGTTGCTTGTTTATAACCATTTCACTTCTCAGTGTAGAACATGTGAAACTTGAATTATATTTTATGGTTGGCCGATTGAAATATTAATTTTATGCTTGAAATAATAAATTATATATTCTGTAGGCTATTTTTGATAAAGATTTGAGAGTCATTCCCATTTACTGCTAAAATCAGCTAATGGTTTTCTACTTATTTTCCTCAAAAGATGAAAACCACATAATATAACTACTAGTAGTAAAACAATTTTGAAATTGTATCATTTAAGAGATTTTAATGATTTGCATACAGTTATTGTCAAAAATGTTGGTATTTAATGTCAAGATTTTTGTTGATTTTCTACATCCCTGCTTTTAGTACATTTCACAGTAAATCATATACATTGTACTCTATGTGTAAACTATTGTTTCCCATTCTGGATTCAGGTTAAACCTTAAAAGGATCTGGATTTTTATTTCCTAAATTATGTGTATAAATGAATCATATGTATAGTAATAAGTAAATAAACATTTAAAACCAAATGAATTATTCTGTGGATAACCTTCACTCTCCTTGCCATTATCAATGTGCTGTTTAATTATTTTGTTCCTCATTATTTGTGACCAAGTATTCATTACCACATTGATCAACTTCCTCCAAACATAATGTCCAGGTCAATATTTCAAGGCCGCTTAGCAAAATTCATTTTTACGCTGACCCCTAAAATATGACAAATGCATATTCTAAGAGTTTTTTTTAAATTTTTTATAAAATATTCTGGCGCTTCCAAACATTCAAAGATATCATTGATTTCAAATTTGATATGAAAACAGATATTAAAGGCAGCATTAGATCTGTAAGGGGTGACAAAATTGTAAGCAACATGTACAATTGACCTACCAATCTATTCTTTATGATCTCATATATATTTCCCCAAATATTTGTGATATGTTATAAATTGGTGAAGTTAATTATTCAATGAGCGGATTTTGGGAAAAAATGGTATATACACTATTCATCATGTACATGTGGTATATTTAGATTCCCTAATAAAGTATGCACTTTAGGGATGTTTAGAATAGACCACAATGGATGGTGCGAGCCGAAAAAAATTTTGAAGTTGTTAAGCTTGCTAACTAGACCTGTTTCTCTAGTTCACAGGGTACGTACCAAATGAAGCATGACAGTTGAACGTGCTAGGTACGGTACAACACCCAGGTGATGCAATATGAGCAAACAGTTGTTGTCAACGTTCAAGAAAGATCTTGTCAAATGTGTAGACGTAACTATGAAATTCACCATCAAGTTCACTGTCTAGGATGTTGTTACAGACATATACAGTGCATATAAAACTAGACCACATCTTTATTTCTGAAACGATGAAAATAGCTGTTTGCTCACATTTCATCTCTCTTGTGTTGTACAGTACCTCACGTGTGCAACTGTCACGCTTAATTTGGTGTGTACCCTGTGTAGTTATGGGTAATTCAAATTCAAAAATAACAGTTGAACCTGTCCAGTCCATTATCACTCATTGCGTTTGTATATGGTGAGAAACTTAGTTAAAATTATCATTCAGAATAAAATCAGCTATTCCACTTCATGAGACATTTATGAAAATCTAACAAAACATACATGTATCTCATGCAAGGGAAAAATCAATACCCGGTGATTTCAGCGGGAAGTGGCATTTCGTTCATTGGATGAGCTGCGCGCACACGCATAAATGTGATTATCCAATTTTATTACTATAGCCTAATAAGCGCAGTGGCCTGCAGAGGGCGCTATCACACAAACATGTAATGTACGAACCAATTAATTCCCGGGTATTGTAACGCCCTTGTCTCATGAAGACACTTAGTCAAAAAACTTATTGCCGTGGGGTTTGTCCAAGTGTTTATGTAAATCATGGTAATAAATAAACATTTTCAACAATTGAGTCAAAATTATAAGGTCAAATTAGAATTAGAGTTTTCCAAGTGATAATGGAAATATTCTTTATAAATATCATGCATAAAATCAATAACAAATCTTATTTTTCAACATTAGACTATATAAAAAACCTTATTTTTAACCATTAGACTATATATTTATTAATACATAAAATATACATATGTACAAAGAAACATTTTATATTTCTATAAAATGTAAATGGAATGAAACTGGTGAAAGATAAAGTAGAGAACTGTTTCAATTTGGCCAATTCGTACATGAAAAATAATTTTTCAAATCATTTATGATTATGTTAAAAATTAAATAAATTAAACCTAAATGATTTAGGGCCTGGTAGGCAATAAAATACAGCATGGCTAAATCAATACATGAACTAAAATCACCTGTCATTATTCACTTTATGACAAAGATATTTGTAATTACTTGTCAGCTCTGTGTTTAGATTGTCTTTACTCCTTTTAGTTCAACATGTAAAAATATCTTTACATTGAGCAAAAAGTATATAACAAAAATGTGATATTGATTTTGTAGAAGTAATATTCGAATCATCCACTTCATACAGTGGTACTTCAGTAGAAACTAATTTTAGTATAATATGTACAGTAACTGCATAGATGCCAAGCAGCTGTAATAATTTGATGTCAGTTCCCAATATCTACTTGAAGATGTAGATCAACACCATTATTGATATAATGTGTATAATTGAATGAATAATAGAGACTTTGGTCTAAAATGAAACATAGAAAGTAACTCTGAGATTTACAATTGAATGAATGTCCAGACGCCACATGTGGGAATATAATGTTCTTGCATATTATAAAACTGAATTCAATGTGGATATTGAATGTAATGATAGAGAAAATCATAAGTGAATATTTGCTCTCATTTAATCTCATTTACTGAGTTCAACATGGATATTAAATGTGATGATAAAGAAAATCATAGTATTGTAATTGATAAGTTATGTCCATGTTTTACGACAACTTTGGGCAATCTGGACTGGTGAAGTTTCTTGGTTGAACATATCCTTCCTGTTTATCCCTGCAATTACAGAAAATAAGCAAAATTAAGTGACATTATGTCTTTATTATTCTCCAAAAGTGAAAGTTATATTCTTATTTTAACTCTGAAAAAACATTTGAAATCATTGGCAATTTGTATAAAATATGGCACTCACAAAGAGTAGGGTATATTATCGATCAAATCTAGTCATCTTAAACCTTATTTCTTAACAATTAGTAAACTATAATCAGGGCTTGAGCTAAGGGCTGGTCCACTGGTCATCTACTAGTTTACTTTTGATACAGACTCAATGATCTCCACAGGATTTTTCTCAAGTCGGTGCAAATGGATTCTCAGGTGGGTGCAAGGTTATTTTCAAAATCTCAGGCGGGTGCTGTGCCCACTTGTTTTAATGCTGGGGAGATCACTGAGACCAGTTGATTTTTTTGGTAGGCATAGGAAAATAACATGGCAGCTGGTCCGTAATGCCATTTTGACCAACTGCTCTCAGAACCTAAGCTCAATGCCTGACTATAGTATAACTTGTAACTATAACTAATTAATAGACAGTGTAACAAAATCAATATAATTTATGTAATTGGTCAAATACAGAATCCAATAAAGTTCCATAACCAATGTCTTAGTCACATTTGATATATGGTTGTAGCCTTGCCCAAGTCGGTCTCTTTTACTTATCTTGATTTCTATTATGACCGCTTTGTACCAAGGAGAAAGCCACATGCTTCACTGACCTAATGTTTATGTCGGTAAATTGACCAATCAACGATGGCCCTGCAGCGTTAGCTCATTATTTTGCACAGTCAAAACAACGGTACACTTTTCACGGGACTTTTCACGAACAAATCTTACACTATTCATCATGAAAATACAAATATTTTATCAGATTAATATCAATCGGACACCCGGAAGTGAGAAGATTTCAACAAGAAATTTTGGAAAAATAGCTGAAATGATCAAACATGAGATTCAGATCAATCACTGAATCAGATCATAGACTAGGTCTTCGTGCATTTTCATAGCGAATTCAGATTTTAAATCAACATTAAATCGCATGATTTAATTTATATTAATGACTGCTTACATTCCAATGTATATTTAATTACAGAATATATTGTAACTCTGAAGATATACTTGATCAGATCATTGAAAAGTTCAAGTCGAAGACGGATAGTTTGCTTTGTTTATAGGTAAACCTGATAACGTTTTGATTGGTCAATCAGCCTGAAGTCACACGTTGTATCCAGACAAATATCAATAATATGGTTTCGCGATACCCCTGACAAATACGCGTAGGAAAAAAACGCTGAATAACTTATCATAATACATGTAATATCAGGGGTGATGTATTAAATTGTACAAGGCGGTACTAATTCAAGATCAGATAATTAAAAAAAAAAAACTTGGGCAAGGCTACGTTGGTTGTAGCTTCCCAAAATCTATAGATTTATGCAGCATAAAATAGAGGGATAAGCTGTACAATGAAGATTTTCTATATCAATTTTGTGAAGCAATGGCCACCATTCGCCCCTGTATAGCAAATGTGACTGAGCTTAAACTATATAAGTTTGCACTACTTACACATAATATTGCAGGTGTGATGTGACTTCATTAATGTGTTCCTGTGAGATTTCACCATCAACTTTAGCTAGATATGTGTAAAGGTCTTTAAACAAGGGGAATGGAATTCTGGATGGACCACCATCGGGATCTGCAGTTAGGATCTCACAAACGGTCTTCATGGCATCTGTGATGTTCTACAATAAATAAAAATAACTAAAAATCTAAAATGCTGTGCTTTTTATTGTACAGGTTTAGGTGGCTAGTTGTGCATATCAAGTGCTTGCCTAAATGAGTGAAACACATTTCAATGAGAAATTCTAGTACATGTATTCACATTCACTGAAGTTGAAAACACATTCAAACCATTAAAATATATTGAATGCTCTTGTGCAATATATGTTGATGAAATCCTGCAAATTCTTACCCATTGTACCAAATTCATTTGTATTAATTGAATACATGCACCATTGTTTCATTCCACACAGCTTAGTTATGAAATGAACTCATGGAATGAGGCTGTACATAGAGCTGATGTATAATTTATTGGTGGATAATGGTCTATAGAAATTTTCCATGTTTTATACTATCATATTCACTATTTGTTATCCTTTTTATTTCTGAATTGACTTCTTAGAGAGTAAAAGCAGTCGATTGGTGCATTTGAAAAATGGTTCAAGTTCTTAATATTAATTCCTTTAGATGTACAGAGTAGTGAAACATCAAGAGAGTACTACATCCTGAATTCCTGATTCAACTGAATAAGAAGATGAATAGCCCAGTATGTCATGTTTTATTCCTTTTGAGAGGATGGTGCACATTAAAGGTAGAATCAGATATATAAGGGTTAACAATTGCAAGGAACATGTACTACCTATGCATGGTTTTTTTTAGCAGCAGGGGACTGGGATTTTTTTCGATTTTCTTCCATTAATTTTCCCTGTTGTTTTGGTTCTGTGAAAATCTTAATGCATGACACACCTCAAAGTAATATGACAAAAAAATAAGCATTTGGCCCCAAGGTGCCGGTGTGTTAAAACCACCTTGGAAGTCAGAGATGAAATATTGCACACAATTTTAGGAAAGGTATGAGATCTGATTGTACCTTTATAATATTTTCACCAATTTTAATTTTTTTTATGTTTAGATATACTTAAATATGGTTGTTTCAGGAAGAACATTATAAATATAGGATATCCTATGATTTATGAGTAATATGAATGGATATATCTGCACGAGTAGAGGCTGACGGTAATTCCGGTTATACGGTTTCGGTACGGAATTGAGCATTTACCGGTATTGAACTTATTAACCAGTTAACCGACGATAATCCTTGGGGAAATAAAAGACACGTCGGTTATTTAAATATTTCGTTTAATTTCCACTTTCACGATGCGTACATTTACATAGACATTTAGATGTCCATGTTTGGCAGTTCAGGTGTGATTTCCATGTTTGGCAGTTCAGGTGTGATGTCCATGTTTGGCAGTTCGGTGTAGTAGCTTCATGCTCAGGCTCAGATTTGGTTGTAGTTACTGTGTTTGGCAGTTCCGGTGTAGTTGTAGTGTCAACGTCAGATCCAGAAACTGAATTATGTTTGTAATAGTCATTTACGAACAACAAGGAATTGACAACCTCAGGTTGAAGTCGTGCCCGTTTGGAAGTGATGGTGTTGCCAGCTGCACTGAACTGACGTTCACTTGACACGGATGACGCAGGAATAGCATGATATGTTTCAGCCAAACTCGCCACACCAGGATAATATTTTGTTAAAATCTATTTTACCTACCCCACCCCCATGTATACTGCACGTCGCTTGCTATTGATACAGTTGAGAAATGGTTTGAAATGTGTACATTTAATTTAAAACTAAAAATACATCTTGATTCGTAAGATAGTTACATACTATTTCGTGAAGTTCATCAGTATGGGTTCAAGTCGGTCTTGCACCATGTATGCATATAAAGCTACGGAGAAAATTAGGAACAAAGTGGGGGTGGCAGCGCATTGGCATTTTATCTTACATATTTTTACCGGTATTTCGGTAACGGTACGGTTATTAGCGTGACGGTTACCGGTACTGGTTTTCAGTACCGTTGCGACCTCTATGCACGAGGGAGCATAGTGAGAGAGTGCAGATATCAATATCCATGAGTGGATTAAAATCATATCACGAGTAAATCATAGGATGTTCTTTTTATTCCATAGTTAAAGTCATCATCAGAATCGTCGGAAATTAAGTGATTTAATTCGAATTTTCCAAACGATCCAGCGATGTTGACACTTAGCCTTGTTTTGAGTCTGAAGTAGCAAAAATCATAGCAAAGGGCGCCGTATGTCATGGCTAAAACACCGTTTAGTGAAAATTTGTCAAAAATGTCATATTTTACCACTGATTACAAAAATACCGTTTTTATTTTGACATGTTATCCTATGAATATCATGTTAACTGTGGAATAATCAGTAATATGTCACCTCTCCTAATGCTGAGCAACCAAGAGCAAAGTATCTCAACCATTCGATGGTTCCTCCAAAGCCACCTATTCTCACTAGCTCATCAAACTGTTCTTTAGGTAGAGCTAGATCTTTCCACTTCTCTTCAATTATGTTTAGGTCTACTGTCTTTCTGGGGCCAAGCTGAAACCACATGTACATGATAATTTTCGGGGTTTTGGTACAACTTTCACAAGAGCTTTAATTAGTTTATGGAAAAAGGTCTTCACCTTAATTCTACTTCAAATTAATTCTAATTTCACAGTTTAAATAAAAAACATGACTTTTTACCAACTACATACTAAACAAAATTATGCTGAGATTGCACTAAACTTCACTTCAAGAATATTCCTCTACATACCTGTTTGTTGAGAATTCTAAGTAATCCTGGGGTTAGACCAGTGTCTGTTTTTTGTGTTGCAACTGGCATCTCAAGTCTCTCTTTAACTGGTGGTGTCTCACCATTAGCCAATGCTCTGAAGTATGCTGCAGACCAACCGAGGACATCTTTAGGCTGTGTCCTTATGGCAGCTTTTGTAAACTGTTTTAGGATGTCAGGAAGAGCAGGGGGAATTTGTATTTGCTGTGAGCAGTAGTACGGCTCATCAGGCTGCGGCATCTGCAATGAGTTAACATATATTTCATGATAATACATAAAGTATTACACAACTTGGCTATCTGGCTACTGTTATTTTTGCTGAGTTTAAATAAGAAGGCCTAGGCCCAAGGCTTGACAGCCATCTGAAAGATGAGATGTTCCTGTATAGAACAATGATGATTTATGAAACAGGGTTCACACAGGGGAGCACTTTCAAAGTTGAAACATAGAACAAGATCTGGATTATAATTATATAGGATTATGCAGATTTCCAGATCGACCCATTGGTACAAAAATACTGCATGCTTTTTACAATAAAAGACAAGGCTGATTGATCTGTTGATTGATAAATAATAAGGTTGACTAGGTTGAAACTGGTAGAGGGTAGAATAATTTTGGTGCCAACCACTGCATATCTCACTTCCATTTGACAATATTCAATAGCTTTTCAGAGCCATCCATAGAACAAGACCCAATAGAAGTGAATAAATGTTTCAAAACAAAGAAACTGAAAGGTCGTCACCTCCTTGATATTTGACATATGTCACTTAGCTTTGGACCATTATTCCGATGGGAGCTGAGAAGTAAATTATCTTGTCTAAAGATATTTGGTAGACAAAATACACTGTCTGGGTGTAGCAAGAGGGAGTTTGTGGGGCTCGTTCAAATGAATCCTCGGCTTTATTTAGGTCCAAACTGTTGTTACTTGATGATGCACAAACTATATTCTGTAATTTTGGCAAGTTTGTTAAAATCGTTTTCTGTCGTGCAAGCCCCCTTTGCCTCGAACCTCCCCCACCCCATTTCATGTAAAAAAAACTCCAGCCGGGAAAAATAGAACCCCCTTTGTAAATCATGGCTACACCCCTGTACATAAGTTTATCCATACACTGTAGTTCCATGGGCTTTCAACTAGACATGAAAGCCCATGATAGTTCACATGCTCTTGTGTAGTGCTAGGAAGAAGAATGTAAATTTCACAACTGTCGTTTAGCCTATTCTGAATGTCAAATGAAAACAAAATGTGATGTCGACTTCTCAGTTCTTCAGAAAATTTCCCTCTTCAGTTCAAACTATTAGCAAGAAATTGCTATTACAAAAGACGCATCTTTTTATCTATATTATATACCCGGAATCATAAGAAGTAAATCATTTTACCTTTAAGTCGTTTGACTTTTGTTTTGCTGTAGTTTTATTAGAAAAACTACTGAAATTTGTAAATGTCCGTGCACTTGTTTAGTTTGTTGTCTGGCAACCTACTGCGCAGATTATTTGCGCAGATAATACTTCCGTTTTCGCAAGCACACAAACTTTCTCAGAACTTTGTTTATGTATTCACTAAATGATTAGCTTTTATTGTAGTTTTGTTGATACTCATGTAAAATTTCACGTTGAAATATTTGAATGACAAATTTTGAAGAAAAATAAAAACATAGTCTGTATTTGTTTAGCTTGCAAATAAAACCTCTCTGATACTTTTCGTTTCAGCTTAGTTTGGAATCTAGACGTACTTTTGTTGGAAAGTAAATATTTTTAAAATCATCCTTTTAAGTTAATTTTTGGCATTTATACACGCTATAATCCATTTGACTGTATATATACAAAACACTATTATTGTGTAGCATATTATCAATACAATCTCATTGGCAGAACTTACTGTTTTAACGTGTTGTCAACGTAGTAAGAACTCGTCTGATTTCTTCCAATATTTGAACTTTCCCGCCACATTTTACTTCGGACGCAGTTTCGCAAATACGTTTCACACAGGAAGTTAGTCCAGGGAATTTTTACCAGGTAACATATCGGTTGTTTTCATAAAGATTATTTAGCACACTGACAGTCTATGATTTCTTGTGATGTTTTTCTTTTGTAGGCTAAAGTGGGGGACAAAAATAAATCTCAACCCTCAAAAGTTGTCACAATGAGCTAAATTCTAAGTTGCGTGTCTCAAACTCTCCCAAGTGGTAGAAAAATAATTCCCATTCACTTTAAGTAGCACAATAAATGAATCCAAAGCTTCATACCTGCAAATGATGGATAAATCCCTACCAAATTGAACGAATGTTTTCATGAATATCGCCATGTTTGTGATCTAAGGAGGATTGACTCCCAGAATGCAACATCAGGTAACCTTATTTACTTGTGACAGATTTCAAAATGGCAGAACGGCATTTTGAAAGCTGACACGTGTCGTGTTGCATTCTGGGAGCCAATCCACCTTGCTGCGACTGCGTAATCGGGCAAGCTTCAAAATCACCTCAACATTTGAAGAGTTGGCATTAACATGTGAATTCCACTTCAAATCTTGAAGTTCTTATTTGTCATTATGGACACAAATTCCACTATATCTGGACTTACTAGGACGGAGAAAATAGAGCACTGAATACACTGAGGTAAGAATTTATTACATGTGAGACAGCATGTAATTTCCATAGCTTTTGTAATTCTTTATGTCCCCCACTGTAGGCCTATCGCAGGTTCCAGTAAAGTCCATTGTCCAGTACTGTGAACCCACGAAGATTTCACTTGGGACAGATTCTTATACCAAATTTTCAGGATTTTGTGGGACATTCACCTAAATCAAAATTCGCTGACATTCACCTAAATTCTCAGGATTTTGCGGTACATTCACCAAAATTCTCGGGGAATTCGTGGCCTTTATCATAGCCTACATAAATTTGTGAGTCATTTTGCGGGATATTCACCAAATAGATTATTCACCAAATTTTGGGGGATTTTGCGGAACATTCATTCACAAAGGATTTGTGTGATCCTACAAATAGGCCAAATTTTTATCAAATATTCAGTCGACAGGTTGATGGGTTAACCCCTGAAGATTTTCTAGACGGACAGATTTTTCATTGTAAGTTTATTTTTATGTGGGAATGCAAATGCAATGCACTTTGTTATGCTACACTGTCCTATACAATGCAATATAAAACAAGACAAGGTTCAGATCGAATCACATATATGATTATGAATCGGCCACAGGATCTTGAAGCACTATGATATGAGATGCTTATGTCAGATCTGAGTCATTTACAGGAACTTGTAGCACTATGATATGAGATGCTTATGTCAGATCTGAGTCATTTACAGGAACTTGAAGCACTATGATATGAGATTCTTATGTCAGATCTGAGTCATTTACAGGAACTTGAAGCACTATGATATGAGATGCCTTTGTCAGATCTGAGTCATTTATATGTAAATGTGATCTAGATGGCTTGGGATCTAGCTGTAGGTAGCTTAAGCTTGCAATGAGACTATCCAGGCCTAGTGACGAGGTACTTGAGGCATTCTCGACTGTCTGGCATTTTTTGTCTGAAAAAGTGCGTTTTCTGCCATGATTTCAGCAAAATAATATTTTGTGAGATTTCCATCTCTAATCTTCACCCTGTATCAGAAATTATCTTTCCTGACACATATAATCATTTATCAAGTCTGTTTTCTCATTATGTCCTTATTTGTCTCAATGCATATACATAATGTGGGGTGTTTATCTAATTTTCAAAGTCATATCTTCTATTTCATAGATTTCCTTGTCTGATGCTGAACACTGAACAATGACAGCCACTCAACAAATGACCCGTCCCCAAGAGAAGACTGGAACAGTAAGTAATTCGAACAATAAATATCACATTTTGGATTTTAGTAATCATGCACATGCACTGCATGTATTATGTATACCAAAACAAAACTGCTTTATTGCCTCAATATAACTATACAACTATTTATTGCACCCCCTCAATTGTGTTATTCTTCCAATATGATCCTAATTTCACTTCCAGTGGTCAACAATATTTCCCTCAGAGACAGTTACAGAGCAACAGTCTGCACTGTTTGTTAAGAAACTCTTGGCAGTTGCAGTGTCCAACATAACATACCTCAGAGCCATCTTTCCAGAGAATGCATTTGGAGATCGCTGCCTTGAAGGTAACATTACAGCTTACAGGCTATAGTGTATTTAATGCATCAATATTCGTAACATTAATATCTTCGGTTTTTACCCCACGGAGTAAGCTAAACCGAACATAAACAAAACCAGTTTCAACAAATGGTACCTACTATCCCACATATTAAGTACCATTCGTATTGGGTAAACATATTAATTTGTGGGGTAAGTCACGTGACTTACCAAATGCTTTTATACAGTGTAGACGCAATGGTTTATTAATGGATGGTCCGTCAATTGACGGATGGGCCGTTCATAGAAAGATTTCCCAAATGCGCATGCCAATATAAATACTTCGTTTGACGTTTCATCCGTCAAATAACGGGTACCTGTAATTTGATTCATGTTCTGTCAGTTTCTGAATCGTCCGTCAATTGACGGGTGTCCTTGGTGTCCTTTATTATCGCCCAGCATGGCCGAGGCCAGGGACCAGTTACACTGAGATAGTTGCGTATAGAATATTTAAACTCCAATATGTTGCAATGTTTCATCCGTACATGAGATGGACTTCACAGCTACTAGCTTGTACAGTGATAGTATTAGACATGTCAGATTATTTCTTGTTCAATAGCACGAACATTTAACTGACTGGAATAAGACGATCCTGGGAAGACGATTCACTTGTTTAAAGATGTTGATTTAAGAGCAAAAAAGGCTCCAAAACTTAATGAAATATGTAGTTTGGATGTTCATTTATGTCTGTGGATTATATTTTATACCACAAACACTTTATAAATACCTGAAATTTGCAATAAAAGTGCCCAAAAATTGTTGTTTCGAAATTCCCCATTTTTCCTGTATCGCGCTAGTCACGTGACCATAACGCGTAGCAGTCAATGTACAGATATTACAGTACATATAATATGTTCAATATGGCAAACATCAGCGATTCTGATTCCCGGGTTCTGGGAAATGACTATATAAATCGGCGAGAGGGTGTAATTTGAATGAAGACAATTTAAGGAGGGGAAATGTGTGCAAGTATGGCAGTAAGAGAGCAGATATGGGGACTTTAAACAAGAACTATGACGGAGAATCAACTAAAAATGTGAGTTCTGGAATGAAGACCCGTTGCCATTGACTGAAGATTCCAGCGATCCTATTATCATACTCAGTTTGAATCTAGACGCGGAAAACAGAATATGAAAACAGGTTTTCTGCAAAGTTATCAAATTTAGAAGATATGGATCTTGTTTTTGAGTGGCTTAACAAGCATTTAGATACCAGACTTGGCGCTATCTCTTGTCAAATACATGCACTGGACTTGCAGTAAATTGGCCATTGCAAATTGCAAAATCAGATCGTCAAATTAATCGCTTCGTTTTTAAACCTACGCTTCATATCTTCTTCCAAAACTTTAGGATTCGATAGAGATAAGTTATAACTTGTACAGGAAAAAATGGCAGATCCTACCTTAATTTAGAATCGCTGATTTCTCTGGACAAATTCCGAGAAGAAATTGTTCAACATCGCGATCACCCCAGACAACATGTCGCGTGCGTGTCACTCTGAACTCACGTGATAAAATACGGCATCTTGATTGGTTACTACTCGTGTTGTCATGACGTGAAAAGCAGTAGTAAACACTGAATATGTTAATGAACTGCCATATATGGAACAATTGTCTTTCTGATTGGTTAACTTTACACGCCTCCTAAATGAATATAGTAGTCGTAGTAAATGATTCATTGATAACTCTGAAAGTGGGCGTGACCAGCTTCATTTTGACACCAAATTCAAGATGTTTCAAATCAAAATGGCCTCGCAAGACGAGGTTGAAAAATCAGTAATTTGATACTGATATGGTCTACGATAGATCAAAATTGACTGCCCCGCGTCACATGTCACGTGAGCCTATATTTGTTGAAAAATGAAAGAGATAGTGACACTTTTTAATCTTAAGTTTATACCAATATTACAAACACATATCTATTTTTTTCATTATATATTTATTTCTTCATAATACATACATTTGTTTTATACTACATTGATTTATTTTTGCAAAACCTTTGCTATTAGATCTTTAAGAAATTAACCCGGCCTGGTCTTTTGTTGGTCATTTAAATCATTATTTTATAAACCCCATTTTAGAATATATCCTTTCCATAATAAAATTTTGTATAATTTGTGTATTCACGCTGTATCAAGACGAAATTACTGCTTGGGAACAAACCCAAAGTTCATTCTTGTTTTGTAGTGTTTTTCACCTAAATATATGCCAAATTTATTCATTGGACTTTAGCTATGAATGCATTCATTCCACATTTGTCATAGTCCCGGAGTCATTATATTTGCGTATTTATTTTTATCGTTGATGTAAAATGTATTTTCTAAAGGTTCCTATCGAATTCCTTCAAAATGAAAAGTTTAGATTATATTAAAATAGTAATTCTCAATGCAATCGCACAAGGCAGTGTCAATTTTATAACTATTGAAATAATTGAGATGTTGCCAATTTACTTTCTAAGTATAACATGAGTTGTGAATTTCGTAGTAAAATCTTCTAATCTGACTTATTGAAAAGCTCGTTGAATGAATTAATTCTCTTGTCTTCGTTTTTTCTTGAACAATAAAATCAAATTTATATTTGATGAGTCGGCTCAAGACTGCATTCCACTAAAATAAGAGTTCACTTCAAAATTGAACGGAATATCACAGGAAGAAGAAAAAATATCAAAATTTTCTTCGAATTTATGATGCAAACAATGTCTTCTGCGATGTCCTTGAACAATTATATTAATTTGTTTTTATATTTAATGAGAAATATATGTTTTAAATGAATAATGATAAATAAAATAATCGAAGACGGGTCTAATTCATAATTTATGATAATGAGATACAGGCTTAGGTCAGAAGGTCAGACTTATTAGCCAATGAGAAGCTTTAGAGGGGGTCTTTCAAGGTAAGTTTTATAAGTATGTAATTCCACAAGATTTAGAAGGGGTCTAATTTTAATGTTTCTATTTGCAGAAGAAAACTCGGGAGAAAACTATAGATCAATTCAATAAGTAATGGCTAAATCTATGGCCAGATGTATAGCAAATATTAAAAGATTTTTCTAAAGCGAACATTGCATGTTATCTGATGAAACTAGTTACATTATTTGCCAAAAAAGACAACCCATCAGGAGGGCAGGTATTGGATGTAAAAGCTTAAAATAGATGCATCACAATCGGAGGGTGGTTTATATTGGATGTAAAAGCCAGAAATTACAGTACATCTAATTGCAAACCTTAAACCACTCACTCCCTATCAAAATTGTTTGTTTTGGTGTTTATCCTGTGTACTGCGCTTCGTCTGAACTTATTGTATATTTTGAGTTAGCTGAGCAGTATAATAACTACCAATGTGAGCTAGAAGTGCACACAAAAAAAGATCTCATCCTGACCACTTGTCATGGTGTAAGGTTTGAAAATAGATTTACTGTAGTTTCAGCCGATCTTACATTTAATATCGTCTGTCGAACGACCAATGTCGTAATCGCTTTTGTTTTTTCATTTCTTGCTTTGTCTGTAGATAACAAATAGAAAAATGAAAATGTAAAATGAGTCAGGGAATGATTGTTTTGCAGTCCGTAAATTAACATCAATTTTTTATTTCCTAAGATGAGGAAAATTCTAAAATTCTGCGATGATCCATGGCAGACAGTCCATTAATACGTAGAGTACATTCCTTTCTTGGGACACAAATTTCTTACAACAGAAATACGGAAAGTTATCGTAAAAAAGAAACTTTAAAGGCAATATTGACATATGATGGGGTGCAATACACATGCATTGGAATTAAAATAGGGAGTATGACCGCTTTAAATGCCGTCGCCAATGTTAGAATTAATTATATTTATATGTATTATTTATCTTTTTGATGTTACATATTGGTCCTCAGAGCGTAACATATTCCTTTTTTATCGTGAATGAACGGTGAAGTTCTAGGCCTAAATATAAGATTGTATTTCTAAGTTATTATAGCGTGGAATCCTGAACTCAATGTAACTATTATTTACTAATAAACATGCGAATCATTTTTATTGCGTACACATATGTACATGCCAGACATACATGTATGGCTGAATTACACTCCTAAAATAATGCATGATGATGAAGAGATTTTCATGCTGGAATCAACCAGCTCAGTCGAAATGTTGAGGCATGCGCAGACCTCTATTTAGTGATATTTTCATTTCAAATATGGCGGCCAATCCGATGTCTGACGACCCTTACAAAGAATCTAGGCAGTTTGCATTTTTACCTCCTGTGAAATAACAAGTGGAATTTAGTAGTTGTTTTGTGTTTTATTATCATTCTGCATCGTAATTCTATGTGATGTGGTGTTGAAATGTCAGCAGAAATACATATCCATACGATAATCGAGTGAATCAGATAACAGATTTTTCGCCGAAAACCCGTCTCGTGCTAAGAGTGTAAAAACTTGTATTAACATGCTCAAAAGTGCCAATGTGCACATCAATGTCAAGCTAAATCAATGTTGTGTCTAAAACAGGTACCCGATCTACTCAAAACAGCCTGTCATTCACGTATACACGCTTAGCAAACACGGCGAAATGACCTGAATCTTGGAATTTCGTTTGAGAGCTAGTAATGTTTGCTCCGGTCTTCGTCATAAGTGTTCATCAGACTTCACGCATGCGCAGAAGAAAAACCATCAACCAATAAGGTTTATAAATCAATTTTGCGCATGCGCCTTACAACGGTAAAGAAATTGGTATTTATAAACGAACCAGTTTGAGATAACCCGATATCAGTCGGAGAAATCTGACGATCTACGAAACTCACTTCAAAAAATCAAATGCGGACTGACGGCGTATTCTACTATGTTTGGATCTAAGATTTTCAGTATAGATAAAGTCTTTTATGATCTTTCGAATGAGGTAAGTCTCTAGTTCGAAAGACAATCGTATCAACTTGAACAAAAGTTGAGTTTTGACGAAAAATTTTAACATGCGCAGAAGTCCCATTTTCGTTGTACCATATTGACTGAGCTGTCTTTGACAGGCTGTAAAATATTTAGCACACATAGAAATGTAAAAGCACACATGGAAAACATGCGTTGTATGCAGCACATTCGTCGGATGTAATTGGTTTTTCTCCACAGCAGTAAATTAAATTCCAAGACATAAATAACTGACCCAGTCTTTTATTTTGCCGTTTTCCAATTCAAATTAACGGGTTTTCTTTATCCGTTAATTAACGGATGATAAAAAAATTGAAACAATGATCCGTCAATTGACGGACCATCCATTAATAAACCATTGCGTCTACACTGTTATATAAACCAATGTTCACTGTTTTGATGTGGGGTAAGTCACATGACCATGTGACTTGCGCCATCTATATATTCAAAGAGTTCTGGTGTGATTCGTATCTTCTATTAAGAAAGGATCGCTTGTAGCCTCATGCCTGTTGCAATGATCTAATAACTTCTCAATTTCCTCCCTGGTGGATATGAATCATATTCAAATTCTTTTTCCTCGCTTGTTTCATCCATTTTGAAATAATTTCTACGTCACTGGTCACGTGATTTACCGAATGGTTTAATGCGTACATGCAGCATGTGTCATTTATGTGGGGTACGTCACTCACGTGACTTACCCCACATAATTTTATGCGAAAGTACATGTCATTAATTATGTGGGGTAAGTCACTATAATTTATGTCCTTGCTATTTTGTACTCTATGATTGTTCGGTAAATGAACATTGTTTGGTTCTAAAGTGTATTTTTATTTGATGCGTGTTCTAAATATATGTGTCAACCGTCTTTGTTCATGTGTGTACATGGACTTAAATATGTGATATTTTACCAAACACTGAATAACATAAACTGGCTATACAAGTGCATTTACCGCATATATAGGAACATAAATCAAATATAAATGTGTAAAAACAAACAAATTTATTACGTGTTTCGAATTATTTTAATAGAGTGGAATATCAATGGTTGTAATCAAATACAAAAGTGTGAAAATCGAATAAAGAGTTTGGAACGAGATGAAGTTGAGTGCCAATACAGAATATCGAGACAGAATATATCCTGTATTGCACTTCAAATCATTCTTTAACGTTTTTATCGTGTGATCCTCTGTATTGCTACTGAGAATGTCCCCTCCGTACCAATATTTTTTTTTCTGTATTGCGACTGAGATGATCAATGCGGACAATCTCAGTAGCAATACAGACTGGTACAGCACAAGAACTGACCAATCAGAGGGCTTCATTTTACAGATCATACGATAAAAAAAATTATTATTATCGCTGCAATGTGGATTGGCTCCCAGAATGCAACACGACACGTGTCAGCTTTCAAAATGCCGTTCCGCCATTTTGAAATAAATATTTTAATGCCTTCACTGTGATTAAGTAGTTCAGTGCTATAAAGTGATCTGTTCTTAATTTTCTAATTTTTGTTACACTGTACATTAACATTAACCATTAGAGAATGGTGGTTAGAATAAATTAGATGTATTTTTTCTTGTTAATTCAGTCGACTTAATTTTAGCATCTCAATCCTCTCTGAGTAACATTTGTTCAAATATGTTGTTTTCAGATTTAAACCTGAAGATACTACGACATGACAGTACATGTGCTGGGGCTTGCCAAGTGATCAAGTGGGTCAAAGGGTGTTTCGACGCACTTGACAAACATTATGTAAGTACTGTATATGCTATAGATTGGCGTCATTATGGATTGATCTCATACCAGATCCTAAAATCCTAAAATTAGGGTACATTGCCATACCAAAAGTTAAAAAAGTACCCCACTTTAGTCGAGGATCTCTGTCAATGTTTATATTCAGTGACCTTCCCAGAATTGAATCAGATCTTCAACATGTCCGCATCAAAATGCCCTACACAACTTGATGGAACCTACCGAGGCATTCTTTAGGCTGTACTTGCACCATGTACTTGTACATGAATAGAAGTAGAATATAAAGATGTTGAAGTGTAAAAAGGAAAGATGCAAATTATCAAATTGATATATGTATACTTTTTATTTTTCAGTTGAGAATGCTAGTTGTTGGGATATATGTTGATCCAAATGACCCAGATGTAAGTGCATTATCTAATGAAATTGCCAGTGCTTTTTATATTTTCATTTGCTACAATTCCTGTGTTTGTTGGTAGCTCAGTTTCTTGCATTTTACTTGTGTGACTTATATTGGCTCTTTTTCATTCTAATTTGAATACCCTGATTATTATGTAAACATTTTTTTTTATGTAAACATAGTTTGGTCAATTTACGATATTTCTACATTCAGTCTTTTCACAGTACAAATTGAATTAACATACCATTCAGTGTTCTCCCCACATTGAAATCTCTGAATTAGAGCACTTCCAATTAATTCATAATACCAGAATGATCCTCCAAAACTTCAATATTAGAAAACATGAAAATCCTAAAGTATAGGCACTAAAAATTACAAAATCCTGAAATGCCTATGGTTACAGATCATGACATTTCCTGTAAAATATTCTTGCATCAAGTCTTTCGTCACAAAGGCTTTTAACAAAACGTCCATACATTATATAAACAAGTGGCTATATTAAAATCATTGAACAAGTTGAACAAACCAGTGCTTACTAGTATGTCACACCCTGTATCTAAGATACTTATACAAACAACGTCAAATATAACAAAATGTGTAACAGTGTTCTTACTCCTTGCTGCATTATACTAAATTCCCTCACAGTCTTGCATCAAGCCCTTGTGTATCCTCCCTCCAAATACAGATGTGATTGGGAAGTAGCTAGCGTTTCTGGGGGAGAGACAGGATTTGATGCATGGTTATTTCTTTGATGTGTGAATATATTCCGCCTTGCTTTACTTCTAGACTGTTATAGAGTCATACACCTTCAAGTTTTCCTACACAGATAACCAAAGTGGGGTTGATATCTACAGGTGACTCTTGTAAAGACAAACTGTTCACTGCTTGTTTTCTTGTTTGTTTGTTTGTTGGCATGCTTTTATAGTTTCTTGTTGAGTACAAACATGTGTCTCCTTTCTTCATTAATGCATTTTCCCCCACAGTTTTTTAATTCTAAAAACTTCCAATAACTTAACAAATACTGTTTAGACTGGCTGATTTTTTTCCAAAATAATTAGCATAGTATGGAAATAATTGTGGTTTATGAAAGTCAACACTTTAGCTCCTCCCACCACGCTGAGAACGAGCGATGGTCAGTGTGAGACACTTACAGTGAAACTATATCTGTTAATCTAACTCCGCCCCCTTCATTCGTTTAGGTGCCTTCGTGTTGGAAACATTCTAACACAAAGACACCTGTTTAGTTTTTCAGCTAACCACCAACCTCCCCACCACAACACCTAATTAATTGAGGCCATCTTTCATTTACATTCATTTACAAATGTAATTATATCGTATTTACATCTTCAAGACACGAATTCAGTTATATCGAAGGATCAATGTATTTATCTATCTGACTTCTCTCATTGATCTTTCTAACGTCAAACATTCAGGTATCACAACACGACGTGTTGCATTCAGGCCGGATAACTGCGATCCGAAGATAGGAGTCCGAGCGCACTATCTTATCCCGTTATCACCGATGCAAGGTTGCCTACGAACGGCATCCTTATCTGATTGTTCGACAGTAAATGATATTCGTACTTGAACATCCAGGTAGTACAGTGCCTCGAGCAGCTACCTTTTTAAATCACCCCGCGGGTAGTACAGTGCCTCGAGCAGCTACCCCTTTTCAAGTCTAAAATTTCTTCCAAAAGCCATTAGTACAGGGAGTACAGTGCCCAGAGCAGCTACCTATCTATGGCATCGCATGATTGGCCGCTCACCTTTCATGCTATTAGAAAAACGATTATTAGACATCTAACATTTACGCCTTATATTTCACGATTTACTCTAAAGTATCATTACATATGTTGGTAAAGGCTGTTGTTTTGCGGCAAACGAATGACTGGGTTGTAGCCAAATGTATTTGTTTATTTTACATATATTGTAATTAGGTAACTTGTAGTTAATATATATAATTATAATCTCATATTATTTTTTAGATTTAAGACTAGACCTTCACTGACGTTCTCAAGATAAAAAGCTCTTTTTTCAACTTACTTCAAATTGACCAATTTAAAAAAAAATCATCTGCAAGTTTGAACTCATAATTTTGTGAGCAACTAGGTGGTGACATTTTGTCATGTTAATGCCTTGTATATTTAGACGTTTCATTTTTAAAGCTGAAGTTATTTTATTTGGGGAAGGGTAATAACACTTTTAGTAAGCTAATAAACACAAGTCATTGGCCTAAAGTTATATATGGATTAATTAAGTATCACCTATGATTTAAATGCTCTAATCTTTAATAAAATTAAATCACATGTATGTAAATAATAAAATGTAATTGTTAACTTTTTTCCAGGAATGACAAGAAGATCTCTAGTGCTTTCTCTGCTGCTGAGACAAAAAAGGCGACAATCAGATTGCTGAGGACAATAGTTGTGCTTACGCAGACCCTCAAGTCTCTTCCTGATGATGTCATTATGTCAATGAAACTACTCTATTTTGATGATGGTCAGTTTAACATTCACACATTTGAAAGCAAAATTATTAGTTTTAAAAAATGCAAATAGGAAATGCAAAACCTGTCTTTCCAAATTATAAAAATGTGTTTATTGTGTTGGAACATTTACTATATCATTCAGTGAATATGTTTCAGTCACTCCTGCTGAATACGAACCCCCAGGTTTCCAGTCATGTGACGTTGATGGCTTCAGATTTGACGAAGAACCAATGAACATCAAGGTCGGGGATGTCAATACACCTTTCCACACTGTCAAACTGAGAATCAAAACTGACGGGAAACAATTTGAGATGCAAGATGAGCAAAGTGAACAAACCAAGGATGTTGGAGAAAAAACTGAACCAGCAAACCAAGATGTTGTTGTTGAAACTATTGCCCAGCAACCACCAGAGCCCTCTGTTGGTGCTGAGCCAACACTAGGAAATTCTCCAGAAGAGGGCCCAAGTCCTGTGTCAGGGTCTCCTATGGACCAAGACAATGAACAACAGGTATCATAGATGATCATATCTGTGGCAAATCTCATTTCTACAAGATTTAGTATTCTTGTCTTGAACACCTTCATTTCAAACTCTAAGATCTAAACTTCTATGGCAAACCTTCATTTTAATCTCAGGTATATGAGCTCCTTTTTCACGACAAACCATATCTTAGCTTCTTGTCTGTAACATACTTTCAATTTAAAATAATAAGACCTGAAGTTAAAATGGTCTAAAATAGTAACAATCTGAATGTTTTTAAAGATCATGATTTTGCCTGAAGCAAAATAAAAATCTCTCCATATTAGGCAAGTACAATGGCTAATTCTTTATGACATTTGCAAAAACTACTAACATTGCAAAAAATTCTTGATAACTTTTCTTACCAAGGTACCCAGCATTACACCAGAGGGGAAGAAGATTGTGAAACTTGGCGACACAAAACTCAGTCAAAGACGAGCCACCCCAGCAAGAGCTGATTCAGGGCTCCATACATCTGCCCAACTACCAGGTATATTCATAGTTATTTTGTGAAGGTGAGGGCAACTAATTCTTGTGAAAGCCGGGCCAACTAATTAGTCAGTGTTTGTCTTATGGGTTCACATATAATAGCCAGGAGATATCATGATATTGGAAAATCCTGACTGCTGCTTGTTTGGGGAGATATGAGAGTAGCAGAGATATTTGTGTTCAGAATATGAAATTGCATTTAAAAAATGTTTAAGCATAATTTTAATACTTAGTACATTTAAACACAAGGATTACAAGTTTACTCAGCATCATCAAATTACATTTTAGGTCAAATAATACAATTCTGAATGATTAGATGTTCATTTGAAAAAAAATGCAAAAAATTAAATTGAGACTGCATAGTGCATGTATTTTCTGATATGAATGCACACTGTTGTTTCCTATGTTTTAAGGTTCAACTGACCAAGCTGTAGACACGACAGGTTCCCAGGATTACAACGAAGACTTAACGGAAGACCTTGGTGTACAATGTCCCTGTGGATGCAATGAGGTCAGCATATATTTGTGCAGATACGTTCTTCCTAAAAATGCATAGCAATTAAATGATTCTGCATAAATGTTCAGAATGTATAACACATGCAATGGGAATAAGCTTTGCATATTTTATGAAGTTTAGGACAGACTATTCGTCTACTGAATATGTGTTCAAATTCAGAAACAATAAGCAACATATTTTGAAAATGAGAAAATGCTATGAAAAGCCTCCCTCCCCATCTAGTTTCTGTGAATTAAAGTAAATATCACCATGGGCTTCTATTGAATGCCAATGATATCACTGATAGAAAAACAATCTGAAATATACACCCAGATGTACCTCTGTTATAGGATGATGGTCTGATGATTCTCTGTGCAGTCTGTCACTATTGGCAACATGGAGTTTGTTTCCTCATCACATTAGAAGAAGATGCTCCAGAAAGACATATCTGCAACTCATGTGCTGATGTAAGGTTTTTTATTTTTATTATATAATTGTTTATTTTGATAAATCTAAACCTTTGTAATGGAGGGCAAAATACAAAACAAGTTAACAATGTTCATTCACAATCAGGAAAGGGCAAACATATTTGTCAACTTTTGGATTGTAAGTTAAAGGAATTCTGAGCGATAGAAATAACAAAATATTGCTACTTGGACAAGATTAAACGACTTTGAGAAACTCTTTACCCTACCTATTTACTGAATACAATGTACCTTTAATTCATGGTCTTTTAGGGAAATTAAACTTTTTGATTTTAGTTGATCAAAAAATTGTTTCATGAACACATAAAGAGATACCATTTGACAAACTTTTATCTGCCTGTATTATTGTACTTTATATTATATTTGCAGCCAAATGATGCAGACTTACAACCAACAGATATAAAACTTAGTGGCCTATCCTCTTTAGGAGTTCAGGTAAGCTCTTGGATGCTGGTTATTGAAAATATTACAAACTTCCACTAACAAACTTCCCGTGTATTGCAGCCAAGCTTTGCCCGTAGACTTGGTGTTGAAATGACTTTTTCTAAAACATTTGTTATTCTTTATTTATATTTATTACAGGCAATGTGCTTATGGAGACGAGCCTTGATGGCATGTACAGAGATGTCCCGTGTATTGCAGCCATGCTTTGCCCGTAGACTTGGTGTTGAAATGACTTTCTAAAACATCAGTAATTTATTACAGGCAATGTGCTTATGGAGACGAGCCCTGATGGCATGTACAGAGATGTCCCGTGTATTGCAGCCAAGCTTTGCCCGTAGACTTGGTGTTGAAATGACTGTTGCTACAGGATTACTGAACAGATTGGAAAAGGAAGGATTTATCAAGAATCCCACCAAAGGAAAACGGTATATTGAAATGGATTTGTTGACTTTCATGTCTTCAAAAAATTTCATTAAAACAAAGATAGAATATATGAACTGATAAAAATACATACTGCACTGCATAAAGCTAAACTATCATCTAAAGTCTCCAAAATTTCTTAATCGATTAGGAAATGCTTCTCTTTAAGGAGTGGTCACTTTTCCTTACCTATTCCACTATTTCACCTTATTTTAAATTATATAAACTAGATCTACATATAGTTTATTTTTAATTGATCTGAAGCATAGTGGTATTGTTATGTGCAATTATTTATATTAAAGACTGGGTAAGATAGTTAATAGAGACAAGATTCTGAAGGAAGGTCTACCCAAATACTTCAACAAATCTTCAGTGAACCAACAGAGAGTGGAGCCTGAGGCCCAACCTGAGCCAGAAAATCAACAAACAATCAAGAAAGGAAATACTAATGAGAAATCTAAAGGGAAAGCAACAGTTGATGATGTAAGAATTATGTCACTGTGAAGCATCAGATACACGTGTAAAGTCATATTTGTGCTCCTTTAGTTTTTTTATGAGTTACTGTAAATGCATGGGCCCTACTTATTTTGGATGTCACCACTACAAGTGGTGACATTTTGTGATAGTCTCCAACTTTTCTGTGGATTGTGTATGGCGGTTGGCATTTGGAAAAGCAGCGTTTGGAGTTTGGCATCTGTAATGAATGGCAGGTGACATTTTGCATGTTGACGCCTTGTCTAAAATATATTTCTCATTCAAAAAGATTTAAACCTGACCTCATCCTTTGAGAAACATTGAATGACAATTTGGAAGAATTCAACGAGTGTTTATATCTCTTTGATGTTTTATTTAAGATTGTAAGTCTAGCAACCAGGACTGAAGGGATTACATTGTCAGGCCATAAAAAGAAATCTACCAAAGAGATCCTTCAAGATGAACAACAGCACCAGGTAAGCTTATATTATATTACATATCATTTATTTTGTGCTAGGTTTACCAAAATTGCTCAATTCCTTAATCCACACAATGGTCTCCTTATCCATTGGCAAATAAAAGTAAATCCCGAGGTCTCACTGGTTTTCAAAATCACATACATGTACCTGACTGATTGGCATTTTTCAAGATGGCAGAGAAAGATACATGTTTTAATTTGCTTTATCTGTCGGCTGTCGCTTGCTCAATGTCATTGGACATGGTTTCCAATTAATTTAGTTAATTTCCAATCAATTTCTTGCCTTTTATTTCTGTCTGCATTTACAATTCCATAGAATTGGACTTTCAAAATTAAAATTAAAAACAGAACTTTCATTTCTATTTCATGTCAGTCTGGCTTAATAGTTCAGAAATGATATGTAATTTTAATCATCTGATTCCTAAACATTTTAATTGAATGTAAAATCGTTGACGTATGAACTCATATATATCATAATCATCAACTAATAACTTTTTCATTAACACCAATGTTGAATTTCTGGGATTGGGGTTGTGATGACCTACATTTTTATTCGTTGTATTTCTATACACGTCTGTGAGAATTCCTTGTTTAAAACGTGGAATAATTATTTCAAGTCCTTTTAAGGTATCATTAAAATGTTCAGTAAGGCCAATGAACTTATAATAACGTTCTATATTATGTTTTGCTCTTGCTATTGACCATGTAGTTGAGTTAGTGTACCTCCCAGTGAACCAGCGTTTATAGGCTGGAGTAACCATTCCATATTTGCATCCTTTAAATGGACTATTTTGTAAGCATTTGACAATGTCTTTTGATCTATAACACCAGGTTTCTGTTATCCAAAGCTTAATACAATAATCCACCGATTTAGGATATTGCCCCTTGTGATGGTTACTTTGTTGCATGTAGTAGAACAGTGATATCCATCTATTGACTGGATCACGAACTAGGTCGATATAAATGGGCTGTTGTAGCCCGATTTCTTTGAAATCTATAAAAGATGAATGCCCAGTGAAAATATAAGGTCTTGTTTTCTTTAAGATTGTTTCCCTGACATAATTTAACTTGAGCTCAACTGTAGACAGCACATCATCTTCAGGTAACGGGATTGTGTATTTTGTATGATACACCTTGCTCTCGTGGCATGCTCTAGATAATACTGCAATGAGGGTTCCACTTCCACATTTTCCACATTCACTGTACATGATCAAGTCATTGTCACGGTCATCTTCTTCATAACCTGAAAGTGAAGTGTTGTCATCACTTCCACATATAACAGCTGTTTCAACATTTGTGCTAGTTTCCCATGTCTTCTGGTACATTTTAGCCTTACTTAAAATAGCTCTGTCAATCAGACTGTTATCCTGTGTCATATGATTATGTTCAGTTGATTTATATACATTTGATGTTTTGTCAGCAAATAGCCACTTTGATATTGTAAATGAAAAGACCACTATAAAGATGAGTGTGATATACCTCAAGTAAGTTTTCATTTTCAGTTGAGATTACAAGCAGTAAAATAATTATGAACAGTAAAACCTGTCTAAAGTGAACACTGCTGGAACTTGCTCTAGTAATTGTTCATATTGAGAGATGTTCAAAACTTCACATTAACAGCTTCAGATAATATATAATGGGATGTCCAGAAATAGAAATGGAAATAATGTCACCATCAGAAGTGTTGACATATATATTGTAATAGTCTCCAACTTTTTTTGTGAATGGTGTTTTGCGGTCATTTCTGGTATCTGGTATATGTAACAAATTAAATTGCATGTGGTGACATTTTGCATGTTAATGCCTTGTGTTCCCTTTATTATAAAGGTGTTCATTTCAATAGGCTTCAGTGCAATACAGTCATGTGAAGACATGGTACAGGTACCTATACTACTGTGACCTAGATCTAGCTAATTACCTACTCAAAGCAATTTGTAAAATCAAATGTCTTTTCTCTCATAAATTACATGTACTTGTTTAAATGCCCTGATGGCAAAAACCATTACTATAATTTTCATTTATCCTGGCACTGTTGTGGTGTAAACAACATAAATCTTAGGGAGATACCAAACCTACCTGCATGAGTGTGTGCGATCCAGCTAACTGGGGCAATATGCTGCTCCCCCGAAATGTACAATATATAAGCACCCGGCAGGGGAATGTTTACCTTAGTATTACTATTATACATCAATTATGTATTTACTCATTTAGTCATTTCATGTCATGACAAATAATATTTGGGTGGTTAAACAAAGCTTTTCAAACTTTTCACGGGGCCTTTAACTGGAACTTATCATCTTCCCCTGGAGATTATTGAGAGGTACTGTGTAGTATTTGTAAGAATACTATACAGAACATGTATGTATTGAAAACTGTTTCAGGTGACAGAGAAGGGAGATGGTCCAGAAAAGAAATCTGCTGGGAAAAGAAAGAGAACCGTGTCAACCATTGAGGGGGTAAGATTAACAATTTCACCTAGATAATTTTAGATTAATACTGATTTCTAATTTAATGTACCATTAACACCCATATTATACATAAAATTGTATTTACTGAACAATTTAGATTATATACAATAACTTAAAAAAGACTGAATTAATTTCTATCAAATTTGGGTAAAGGAGGAGGGAAGTTAGCGCAACAGATTTTGGACAGTCATATGTTTGAGTTTGGCCATTTCCTGGGGATTTAAAAAGGTGCATATGTTAGGCGAATGCATTACCTCCAGGAAAATCTGTTCTAGAGATGATAAAATAATTTCGACTTTGAGACAGGGTAGATGCAAACAACCCACCCACATGTTTTCTCTGAAATGTTTTCCTGATTTTCAACCCCTTCCATCCTTGCTTTTTTAATTTTTCTTGCATCAATATGTTGCGTATTGACACACAGTTAATCCCTTAAAAGGAATAAATGATTCCTCCTCCTCCTTTCTGTATGCTTCTACTATATACCTGACTTGACCATGCACCTGTTTTAGTGTTGATGAAACTGAATCGAACTAATGCTATTTAGGTAACTTTGTCCTCCTTATATTCCAAAAGAGGCACCGATATTGAGATGGCAACAAATAGAAAGAATCAATTGCTGCAGTTAAAACAATTTCAGTATTTTACATCGATTTCTTATGTAGGAGGAGTTTGAGATCAGCAACAGCCAATCGCAAGATATGAGCCCCACCAAGAGAGGGAGGAAACGTCGCAAGGCAAGCATAACGTCCAAGGCTATTATAGTCTGAGATAGAACAATGTACCGTTCGATCAGGCAGCATTCTCAACAAGCTGTTGGAGCAGCATGAACATGTGATCACCATGTGAACTATAAAACTCTGTCATTGTATAGGTTCATTATGAATTCTATCTGTTACTTCAAGATCATTGTGTGAGTTCTCAATCACTTTTAATTCTATGTCACTGGATGTGCTCAAGATCACTAGATGATTCTAGATGACTGTGAGCTCTAGATCACTTTATATGTTCAAGATCACTTTATGAATTTTACATCGCTGTGATTTTTAAATCACTGTAAAAATTCTAGGTCACTGTATGAGTTCTAGATCAGTGCCTAACTCTAGGTTACCAAGTGAATTCTAAAATTGTAGTGTGTTAACCTACTATAGGAAGATAGTGTAAGGTAATTTAGAAATAATTATCTTTATAAATGGAGAGGACACACAAAGAGCAAAGCTGCTGTTATTAAGCAACTGATAGGTTTATTTGATTTTTTTAGTTTTAATTTATCTTCTGGATCAGCTTTAAACATGCCTCTTCAGAAACAAACTCACTGGGCATAGTATTCACTTGGAATTTAATTTAAGAAGGCAGCCACAAAATATCCAGATTTCAAATAACTTTTTATCATAATTATGCTGCTATATGGTTTAATATTATATATTTTTTCATGACATCGTATCAAGATGGAATTTTGACAAGCAAATTTAAAAAGATGTCTCTGCAGTGCAATTTAAGTTGCTCTTGTGAATTTAGTTGAATCATATCAGAGAACTAACATATTTCTACTTTTGATAAATGTGATTGTTCAGTGTGTCATATCTGAGAGAAATCATTTCTGTTTTAAAAACCTTAAACTGGCTCCATAAGATTTAAAATGACTGTGCAAGGTCCTTTTCTCATATTATGTAAATACATGTCATGTTCAGATCTTGTTGATTTATTATTGATTCTATTCATGTCTTATGTGTTCTATTAAAACAATACTTAATATTTACAAGTAACTAGATGTTATTTACCAGTATTTATTAACTTAATAATATTGATACACTATATCTGTATATGGTAAATGTATATATTCATATTATGTATTTATTTTACAAAAGGTATTTATTCAAATTGAAATATTTTATAATTGTTACATGGTTATTTGAACAACAATGTTTTCAGAATCTTCAAATGTTTACATGTACATGTCTATAATTTATTGAAATATATAGTCTAATAGTGTGATTCATTATTACAAAACCAATTATAGATTTTGTTCATTTTTGAATGGAACTATCTAAAATAGCCAACAGAAAAATTGCCAGTGAAACTACATGTATATATATTTTGACTAAAACAGATCAAATTAGGATTTTGAAATGGAAACCCAGGGGAGAAAATTAGGATTTTGAGAAACTATGGGGAGATCACTGTGTTCTAATTAACTTCATGTATTCTCTCAAATTATTCCATTCGTCTCAAGTTTACAAAATGTGTTTTCAGCATATGTTATTGATTTCTAATCATCACCTATATCTTGAATCTGTGTACAGTATTGTTAAATAATGGATCGATGTATTACAGTGTCATGTCTGATTACAGTGATTAGCAGTAATGATTCATTAAAAATAGTTCATCTCTTTATCTCTCAATATGATGAGTGTAAGACATGTCAGATGTAGATGTAGATGTATCTCATCCTTGATCCAAGGGTATTTCAATTCTTTTCATAGCTGCTATAGCAATGAAACCCTATCTTGAAGGATGGGCCTGTCTATTTTTAGGCGAATCTCAACATTCAATCAGGTTGTACATGCAATCAAAGAGAACAAAGGGTAATATTTGAGGAACAATATTCTTGTCATGTATATGCTGTATAGTACCCTGGGCAGTATTTGAGAATCAAGAGTAATTTAAATGGTGACATTATAAACTCCAACTTTTTTATTGGTGGCGTTTGACACCTGTAACAAATGGCAGGTGGTGACATTTTGCATGTTAATGCCTTGTTATTCAAGTTCAATTTGTAAATATTTTTACCATAAAAATACACTCAGATTTGTTTTAAGTGGATACTAGAAATATAACTCAATATATAGAGGTTATTTAATGGGAGGGATGGAATATGGATTTTATTCCGAGGGAAAATATGATATTGGCCAAGGAAAATATCATATTGACCGAGGGTGATAGCCCGAGTGTCAATGAATATGATATTTTCTGAGGCCAATATCATATTTTCTCAAGGAATAAATCCATAGTCCATCACGACCATCAATAACCTATTTATTTCATAATATTTTTTTTCAATTTTAATGAAGTCATCAACATCCTCTGTTGCATACCTAGACATATTTGTCACAGTAATAGACCTTTGTCACAGTAATAGACGTAAACTAGATGATAATAATTTCAATTTTCCAAACGATATTTTTACTTCCTGTAGAGATGTGCTAGACGAAAAGCGTAAAACTCAAGAGAAATTACCGGGAATATTTCTGATACGGGATCTGATACGGGATTTTTGCTGATACGGGATCCAATACGGGATCTGATACGGGATTTTGGCTGATACGGGATCTGATACGGGATTTTTCAAATAACACTTTTATTCCCTGTTATTTTCCCAGGGAAAACATGTTATTATGGAATAAAATAGATTTTGTTCTGAATCCTAACCATATCTCATTTTCACTGTAATTATCAATATGATAACCAGACCCCAGAGGCAATATCTTCTACACATCTTATTCCTAATGAAGCATGTGATTATTTTCTAGTCTGAAGCCTTTTTATTAATTAATAATTTTAGGCTACACATTTGTAGTATGAGAACATGCATGATGGATTGAGGGTAATATGAGATAGTTTCGTGGTTAGATGCACATGGGGCCTATCCTGATTATGATGAAAAATGATGTATACAGTTTGAGAATTGTACAGGGTGACACAAAAGAAATGACACCCACCTTACGTTGCATAACTTGTTTGTCTATTAACATATAGACTTGTCCTTTGGCATATTAAAGTAGACATAATGCAAAAGCACCTTGAGAAATTTCAGATGTGTAGCCCAAGTGGGTCAAATTTTATTAGCTTTACAACATTTGCTCTAGGCCTAAATGTTGTAAATGTCCATTCCTTTGCAGACACAAATGGATTCTACACAAAAATGCCACCCAGCTTTTGTAACATAACTTTGTAAATACGAATGATTTTGGCTTGTACTTTCAGGGAAATGAAGTCTATTCAATTAAACACAAAATAATATAGTTGCCATTGATAAAATCATTATAACTTATTTCCAAAATTATGTTACAGAGGGGAGGTGTCATTTTTTGTGTAAGATCCAGTTGTACCATCAAACGCTCATCAATTTGCATCTAGGTGAGCTAGTCATCTGAAACTTCTTGTGGACTTGCAAAATGAATTGTAGTCTTAATATGCGAAAAAGAACAAGTCAGATTTTTTCAGACAAAAAAGTTATGAAACATTATGAGGGTGGGTGTCATTTTTTATGTCACGTGGTATTATAAGGGACTACTATCAAGAAAAACACTCACGGTTCTATTTTCCATTTGTTCAATTTGACAGTTGCTTTCAAAACCAATATTATTTATCTAAAATGGAATTCTAAGCTGTTTAACTCCATTTTGCATTATACATGTATTTCTGTTATCTTTTACTTATGAAAAAAAAAGTTTTAGTTATTTTTAGAGATTACCATGGAGAAAAGGTTCTTTATAATGATGGAGTACTACTCTTAGAAATAGATTAAGTTATTTTGTATGCAAATGAGGTCTGAAGTGTAAAAATACATGTATTGTTGTAGTTACAATATAATAATCATTAATTAATCACATTGCATGAGTTGGAGAAATGTTTTACAATAACAGATATAGTGCAATTGTTTAACAACAATATATTCTTCAGATAAATCAATGATCATAGTTTATACATATTTATTAAGCCATTTCATGGGTTCGATCAATACTACACAGGCACAAGTTCTACAGTAATAAATGACACACTGATAATGTAACAAAATTGAAGGTATGATACATGCAGAATATGATAAAAAGTGGATGTCTTATTTTCAGATCTGTTCCCTATTACAGATCTATTACATCAGTATTAACCTTGAAAGTCAAAGCATTTTCTTGAAATAAAAATAAAACTCTTGAACTTCTTAAAAATAACAAGCAAATAATGATATTGTACATTTCCATCAATTCTTAAAAAGTCATCCTAACTGCAACTTTATATAGCTGTCCCTATATTATTATTCTGCCTGCCGTAAAGTTATGTGCTCCATTGCTTGGTATATCCCAGGTGATCAGCAAACTTTTTTTGTATGTACTATGGGGATTTGTTATATAAATGAATACAATTGTAACATCTGTAGAAAGCATTTAACCACTAAATCCATTTATACATTAGGCTATATTAAATGTAAATCATTAATGATTTCAGAGATATCCAGAATCACTAATTGTTCTTCTGTTATTACCCACTGCTATTGTTGTTCTTCTTTTCTGGAACCAAACTTGTTTTTTATTAACTTTAGTTTCCATGACTTCATCACTAGTCCCTGAGCCAGAATGTGTGGACCCTGAATCAGTTGAGGAACGACGTTGTTTTAATTGTGGGTCACCACCATTGAATAGTTTTCCAATTTTATTTTTAGATTTTGACATCTGAGTGATGAAGTCCCCAACACTGTATCTTCTTGTGATATTATTATGGGGTGTGTCATGGACGGATGGTGCGGGGTTCATCAGAGACCGTTGTTCCCGAGGGGAAATAGCATTTAACCCTCCTACACTATATCTCGGTGAGGGTTCAGAGATCGCACTCTCTTCTGATTCACTGCTACAGCTAGGGGGTCTCACAGTACCTTTAGCCATTGAAACTGTATGTGAAACAAAATCATCAACACTTTGTCTTCTTTGAGAGTTGATATGTTGGGCCATAACCTCAGTTGGATACTGTCTATATTGTTCCAAACACCTGTCATTTTGTGGGGCATACTCAAGAGAATTGTAATGTTGTCTGTTTCCAGGTGTCGTTTTCAACCTGTCATTGTTTATTCTTCCAGTTGTATTAGTATCAGAGTATTTAGCCATTGAGACAGTATGAGAAATAAAATCATTGATACTTTGTCTTCTCATGGGCTTGGAATGCTGAGCATTAACACCAGGATAAAACTGTTGCTCGATGGCTCTGTTATTTTTTACACTGTAATCACATTGTTCAACATCACTGTGATGTCGAGCTCTCATTGGTCTTTGTGGAACCTTTGTACAAATTCGTCTATTTTCATCTGATGTTGACAGTGAAGGCCTCCTTGGAATATTCAAACTTTGAGTCAACTCTTTAGGAGAAATGTAACTTTGCCTTCGTATTGTATTGTTTTGGAAATTCTGGGAGTGTTCCTCTTGTGAGGACTCATCCGAGTGGCACTCTGGGATAGTCTGTTGTTGAGATCTATGTAAAGGAGGGGATATTGGGGAAAAAGTCTCAAGGGTTCCTGAACTATTGAAACTACTTAAATGAGAAGAGCAGTCAACTCCTGAATCTGCTGATTCAACCTGTTTATTTACCAATGTATTGGATATGTTCAAAACTGGTTGGCTCATTCTTTCTTGTTGGCATTCAAAATAATCAGACTCACTGTCATCGCAATCACTAGTGTTCAAGGTAAACTTCATCAATGTATCCAGACTCTCACATGATCCAACTTCCCCTACTGTGCTGAGCATGGACACAGGCTTAACTGTTGGCAAATGTTGTTTTCTTAGTGGCATTGCTGAGATTTCCTCTGGCAAAGATGCATCACAGGAGTCAGTCTCTGTGGCCCCAACAGAGTTGATATCAGTATTATCATCAACCTAATAACATGAATAAGAACATTAAATCACTCAACTTAAAATAATAATGTACATGTATTCTAAAATCTTGTTTTAATACAGTATGGTATTACCTTTACATTTTTTTGGATTGTACATCAAATATTGTACCTTGTTATGAACATACAGTAATTGTAATTTTCTGTTGTTTTGAGGAATTGATATTTTTTGTTTTTTATTTTTTGATGTTAGAAGTAATATTCCAATAATTACTTTGTTATTTTAATGATTTGGAATATAATTTACCTGTTGGATTTCCTCAAGGATCACCCAGTTGCCATCGGGATCTTGAATGCAGTACTCAGTTGCTGTAACCTCTACAGGGTGACACCCAAGAATGGGAACAATATCATCTAAGTTGGCAATTTTAAACCTAAGGCTGGCTGTCCGAACTGGAAAAGGCACTAGAGAGGTCGAGGCCTTCAAGGCAAGCTGAACCTCAAACCCTGGCTTTGTGTAAATAGAGAAAGCGCAGAATCCTGGCTTGGAGATCTCAACTTCACTGCCTAGAATCAATCTATAGAAATCAACCATGGCTGGGAAATCCCGCGTGAAATATTGGAAACGAATGTACTCTGTGTCTGTGTGAATTGGGTTAACTGCCCATAATGGTTGACCTGGAGAAGGCGAATAAAATGCCTGGACACCCATTGATTGTTTTAAACCATTTCTGTTAACAGCTAACTCAATCTTATGATGAAACTTCCAGTTTTTCTTTGACTGGAGTAAAATCTTTGCTTCATCGTAAGTAAGCATTCCTTCTTCGTGTAAGAACTGAAGCACAGATAAAGCTGGTGTGAGAACCTTACCCGACTGACATTTTGGTAGATCTTGTGCCTGTTTCATTAAAGTATCAGAAAGGATCTTGTTGTCAGGGTTACTCAATTTGACATTTATAAAATGAAGACCTGGGTCCATATATTCCAGTAGAGGCCCTAGAGAGCCATGTAGGGTATTATATTCATCATTGCTCTGTGCGAGAATTGTCATGGAACATTGATGAGGGTCCCTTTCCTCAGTTGTTGATACAAAATCAATTACCTCTCCATGCTCCATTTTGATAAGTCTTTTTGAAGGTATTATGTATTGTTTTATATCACTGATGTTGTTGCTTAGATTTTACGAAGTTTATATAGTAGTGATGGTCCATTGTGTAATAATAGATGAATCCATTCAGTTCAGTATTGTTTCCTTTTGCGAAGTCATATACATTGTAGTCCTGAAATAAGACAACAAAGAGATATTTGTTTTGCAACAATAACTTTATTCCCAAAAAAGAAAAATTGGTAAAATGAATCTAAATAGCCTACTAAATAATTGATCATATAATAGCGTGACCCAAAACAGAACCCACAAATCTTTGAATAAAGTGTTGGGATTCTGCTTTTTGTGTTACCCTATATTTCATCACCACAACAAAATGTAAATCTCATTTCACATTAATTTTTTAGTAGAAATGGTGTATTTCTGATTGATATTTATTTAATTAATACAAAATTGCTTTGGTTCCCTGCACCTTTGTATCAGTTAGCAGAACAATTTATAAAATGACTATGTAATCAATAATAATGTTAAAAATGTTAGCATTGTAAATGGTTCACTTAGCCTCAATGAAGTACGAACTGAAGTAATGACATTGTAATATAAATTAACAAGGGATTAAGGTAGAATTTATTTCTAGAATGTAAAAACAGAGAATTTTAAATTGTACATTTTCTAAAAATACCCAATTTATCCTTTCCCATTATGTGAGATCAAAGACCTCTGTTTGTTCTTTTCTCATCCTAACAAACAGAATGGTGGCAGGGCCACTTCTAAAAATATTTTAAAGGTTCATCTAGAAAGAATAATCCAACTTTCAGATTTAATCAATTTTTTAAAACTGATATTAATTTAATTTGTTTATTTGGAGTAATACTAATTTATTGTCTGATTCTCATTAACATTATTTAGTGTTTATGAAATATTTGATTTAGCATCGCAATCATATTTTATACAATTAACTTTAAAAATTAGGTCCCATAACCATCAACTATAAAAACATCTGGTATTAGTCTACAAAATATAAAATAAAATGTGTCTCAAGGTAAATCTACATAGTGAGAATTCTGATGATTACAATAACCAACTATAACTTTTATGTGGAGTTATGTATATGTGTGTTATATGTCTGAAATCAAAATATGTTGTTAGAATTATGAAGAAATCACATTTGAACTTTTCTGAAACTCCGGAGCTGCATCATGTGTATATCTTACCCTAAATTACACAAAATCCCTCAGATGTGTTTTTCATATCCATTCTAAAATAAATTATGTCTTTTCGTTTTCTTATACTAGCTGAAATTGTGAAATCTGCCTTATTCTCCATCCACTGTATGCAACAGATCTACTGAACGAGATAATATAGTCTTACGAGATGATTTTATCTTGTGTCAAGCCTCTAGTGTTTTGTTAACATAAAAGTTATCACAGAATAAATTTTGCAGTCGGATGTAACTAAAGTCTCTAATAAAATATTCATGTCTTTTTTTCGATTAAATCAAACATTCAATAATTAGATACACTATTATGGCTGTATTTCCTTATGTAAAGTGTAAATGTTGTCGTCAAATTTAACATTTGGTTAATGAAGAAATGTTCAAGTTTCCAAGGGTTGAAGGGAGAGTATGAGAGAGCGTCCTATGGGTAATCTAATTATGGCAACTTAGGACCTCAGAAACCCTTGCATAAAAATAGAGGTAGGTTCAGTGGTTAGTTTAGTCTTAGGTCAATTTTGTATATTGTAGTTTGTAGTTTTTTAGTGACAAAAAAGATTTTTTGTAATGACATCAGAGAGTCAATAAAAGATATATATATATACATGTATTATGCATGGTGACAGAAGCCTGCTTAGTTGACTATGTTTACTATCTGCAAGACACAAAGCATTATCTATTTGTTATTTATTTATTTGTTCATTTATTTGTTTATGATTTAAGGATGTGTATTTCTATAAATTATAAGTGGAAGAAAAAGTATTTATTTTGAATTCTTATAAAGAAATGGGTAAAATATCAAATTAGGGTTAGATTTTTTCAGAGGGCCTTATCCATTCCTTTGGCCTCTTGGAATAATATAATTCAAACAATGGATTAAGGAAACATTTGCCATTTATAAACTATTGACCCACTTGAAGGGATTAAGAGGTGGATTTCAACAATAGTTGAAAGTAAATCCAAGTTGAGCCAATTATCCTTTGTTCATATAGAAGTTTTAATACACAAAACTTCGAAACAATACAGTTTTTGTGGATCTAATCTATCAAAAAGAAATAATTTAATACCCATGATTTGCTCAGATATAAGACATCATAATCATACTTTGTAACTTGATATGTTTGACTTATTCTGACTCATTGTGATTTTATGAATTCATATCTGCTTAAAATGACTAATTATTACTTCATTTTGGAAAATTCATTTATAAGATTTGTTTCTGTTTTTGTTGGAAAAGTATTTTTATGTAAGTTGTACAATTTGGGAGTCTTGAATTTACATTCGAGTATAAAAGGTCACGTAATCATTTGTACTATAAAGTTGTCAGTCAATCATTATCTATAGAGAGATTTTAGATTTTTCAGATTTCATTGACCTATAATTACAAGCTTATTTCCCCTTAGTCAAAATATATTATGTATAAGAGAAAGGTCAAGATCATATTTCAATATAATAATAACAGAGGTTTGGTTCATTAGGGTTACCTATAGTATTCAATTAAAGCGGCAACAAATGATAGTGTGTAAAATGCTAGCAGCAATCTTATCAATAAACAAGTTGATGTGGTCCTTATAATTTATTTAATGCCTAAAAAGTGAGATAGCGCATCAATTATGAAAGTTATCTAATAAGATGTAGAAAAGTTAAATCGTCATAGCAATTAAATGATATGGAGTGTTATGAGCAAAATATATTTTAAAACTGTGACAATGTTGCCCTTAACTCTTCTTATATGTTGTTGACTCTTTAAGTTAGGCTGTGTAGAATGTACCCTTTGCATTCGTTCGACTTCACTTTTTAAAAGAGAGCTTCATCTATAGGCTATAACTAGACTCTGCGCACAGGGTATGTGGAATGAATATTCCGCTGGTTAGATTTCTTTGACATTTCATTCCAATCTGTCTACCTTAACTATTCGATGCTCCCTGATAAGTTATTGTGATACTTAAATGTCAAAGTTAACGTTTGCTATAGAACTACTAAATATTGCAGTATTGTTATTTGTGTTTCTCAAACAACCATCATCTTTACCACTGAATTATTTATACTCACAAAACAGATGGAAATTTCAATAGCTCTTGAGGCATTGCTCATGGTGGTTGCTATTTTAAAGCATAGACTATATTCAGAAGCTTTTAATGCATCTTGAAACAATAGATTGGATTCTAGATGTAGTCTGTTATTACATGGGTAAAGAATTACATTGCAATTTTTCAGTTAAAGGTGCAACAATTAGTGCAGCGACATATATTGTATGTATTTTTTACAATTCAACGATCAAGGACCAGTGTCAAAATAAAAATTATATTTAAGTTTGGGTATTTCATCAAGACTTACATCTATTTTTATTATCTACAAAGAAACCCCCTAGATAAACATTATCTAAGCTGATATTCCTCTTGGAACACGGTGGATCTTAAAAATATAAAAGTGGATTTCCTCCTTTTGAAGCTTTGAACTGAATTTACACTTCTTAATGCTGAAATTGATAGTTTATCCATACATTTTAAGAAAATAGGTATGTCAAAGAAGATGTTAAGCCAAATGTTGCCTTGATAGCTCAGAAAAAACATTTTCCTATTTTCTCTCTACAGGCCAGGTACGAGTTGTCTTGGGTACGACTTGTCTTGGGTACGAGTTGACCAGTTACCGGTAATACAATGACTATATGCAAGATTTACCCGGCAAGCCATCCTTGTTCAATTACAAGGAAGGACAAGATGTGAATGGAGAAGCAAGATAAGTCCAACAAAGTGCTACGTAACACTGATTATAGAAATGGTCTTTTTGCTGATCAAACCTGAAAATGGCCAGATGCACATTACAATATTTCCAATAAAATCTCTCAAATATTTAAGTATCATGTCCATAAGTATTTTTCCAAACACAAGTAAGGAAAATACAACACCAAATAAAATTTTTTGTATGTTTCCTTACCTCTTCTTTCCTAATATGCTAATACCAGAAAAATGTAAGTTTCATCTCAATAAGTCCTAGCATAATGAGAAAATCTGAGCGATATTTTAAAAATATAGGCTCCCAGTCCCAAATATATGAATATTGGCATATTACCACTTTGATTAACAGTCTTTCCCATTGATTAAAAAATGAACACCTTTTCAAAAAGTTGATACCAGTAGCCTAAACCCATTGAAAGATTCACTTTAGAATTTTCCAATTTTCAGTTGAAAATTTCAATGTTTCCATTAACAAAAATAACATATCATTGATAAAAATCTCATTGATATGAATTATTAAGATATTTACAATCTGTTGTATACGTGTACCTTGTAGGGGGGATTTCTCTAAAAATAATAAACATATCACTTCAACTTGTATATTTTGTAAATATTATTGAAGCTGTCGTTGCCATGTTCTTAGAAATAACACTTGAATTGTTAGAAGTTATCTGTTGATTTCTAATCTTAAATTAGAAGCTCTACAAAAATAGAATTCAATAGCATTTCAATTCTTTAATGAAAGTTCACATTTTCTTTCACATCTTTATTGGCTTGGGTCAGATTGACTCAAAAGGATTTTCATCTTTTTGTACTATTCTGGTAACCCTTGTGGACCCCTTTATGTTTTTGTTTAGAATGACTGAAGTATTTTTGAATTTGATACTATTTTATTTTACAAACTAGACATTTCTGACGTTTGACATTTCATGTTCTAAAAATACTCTGGTTGTGTTAGAAGAGATTGGTGTATGACATTAGGATTACGGAGTTTAAAAGTGCATATAAAATCGAAACGCCAACCTATACGTATGACCAATCGCCCATACAAATGCGTTGCATAGATATTTTCCGTTCATGTTTAGGTTGTGAAAAACATTGCAAACTTAAACGACCTAGTTTCTTTGTACCTTGACATCGTGACATCATCTTGATCATCAATATATTTTATATGACTTATATGTACCTGCTTTACATACAGCATTATGCCATATACTCGTAAAGGTTTCTAAGTTATTAAACAGTACTGACATTCAATGCTCTTGCTGTTACGTATTGAAAATCATTTTTGCTCATTATTCCACAGTTATGATAAAGACAAAAAAAGAAAATTGATTTTCTGGTGACGCTGCATGATCCCAGTGTTTCTGTGTTTATACGGAATATTTCAAATTGTGCATGCAATGTTGGCTAATGACAAATCCATCGATACTGGATATCTCTGCGGGTGAAACGAATGTATCCAGGGGCTTATAAAAGAAACTAGAACAGATGACTGCTCACAGCTCAGTCCGAGGCTCAGTCTTTAATTAATCATTCTATGTTAGTAGATCGTACATTAAAGCCTACATTTTTTGTTTAATAACATGTTTTTCAAATCTTGAGTTACGCCACTCCCCGGCATTATCTAATTTGCTGTATTAGTATAGGAGAGGTAACACAATGACTAAATGCAAGATTTAGCCCGCAATCCATCCTTGTTCAATTGCAAGGAAGGACAAGATGTGAATGGAGAAGTGAGATAAGTCAGAGATATAGAGTATACATTTATATGTCTCTGGATAAGTCCAACAAAGTGCTAACGTAACACTGATTATAAAAATCGTCTGATCAAACCTGAAAATGGCCATATGTTGCATAATCAGATAATTGAGGGTTTTCTAGAGAATATTTGCCAATTCTGTGATCAAATTCTTCAATTCCATTTCAAAATGTTCAAGCTCAATTATGATTCAATTACATGAATTAGGCCATTATTAATGAAAACATGTTTTACATATTGTATTTTTATAATTCTATCTTTGTGGATATCGTTTCCAGCTTTATGGGTTTAAGAGTTTCTAGTAAGTAGTGAAACTACGCAGAAGATTTAAACTCCCGTTAGGCAACAACTAACTATTGCGATCATTAGTTTACTAGAAAAAATTTATGATAAATATAAATTTTGTTTTGGCGAAATGTCATTGAATATAAAAATGTACGTAGGCTATGCATCATAATTAATTCAACAAAAAGTGACATTGTTCTGCATGGATGATAAATATATCCTATTAGCATTCAATAAATAATTTACAGAGAATAAAGGAAACATTTTAGATAATGCATTCATCACTGTACGACAGTTAGATTAAAAAACAACTCACCTGACAATTCTATGCATAAACAACACACAGAATTTTCTATCAATAAAATGTTCCATTCAAATTGATCAAGCATTTATCTTTTGATAAATTGATTTCTTTTTTTCTTAAAATTATTACGTCTTTCAAGAGCCACTTCACGCCATACTTCTTTGAGATTTCAATTGAAATGGATTTTCTTGAATAAAAGCTCCCTTATTCATGATATTGGATGACGATTATTATTTAACAGTTTAGTGTAGACCTTCTCACTATTTATTGTACATTATCGTAGCATGTGGTATCTCTGCCAGATCATTTTCTGTCATCTATGATTGTTGTTCAGACAGTGATAATTGTTTTTTATTGTAAAAGTTGTTGCTAATAAGCGCTGACAGTTTTGCAATAATATTTCACTTTTATATATAAACTTTATATGATTGTTTTGTAACGTACATGGACACGATGAACTTTATCATTGCATGTTACAAATGTATGTTCCCAATCTCCCCCATCTTTGCTTAATTTCATGGTAACAATGGTCTGTGTTATATCAAGATATGCACAACTCGGAGAGATCATTCTAACAACGTATAATCCAGCGATAACGTTGTACTTTTTCAGGGTCAATTTGCCAAATGAAACAAAAACATATCACAAAAACTAAAAGCTCACTAGAACATATCCGAGATTTACTGTGGCATATGCCTTCATCGGGATTCACATCGTCGTAAGATGTTCTTCATCCTAGGTTTCAGTTGCTATAACAGATTTAAAAAACTAAACCTAACACTCACCTTCTCCAAGTTTTCCTCCTCTAACATATTTTATTTATTTTTATTAAGAATTTATCTCAGTATACGAGAAAATTGTAAAGTAAATCCCATCAATTGCCCGACGGCATTAAGATATGAAGATGCAGATACGGAGACAAATAAGACATCCGACTAGATCGCGTATCTATGAATCAGCTCATAAGTTACATTTTACCTGAAGTACCTGCTATTAATTCTCATCAATTGATCACCTGTAATTATCTCTTTTATTTGTAGTCTCCCACAGTGACAAAATGGTTTTATGAATTTCTACTTTATACATTTCGATGTATTTCTTTTTTTATTTCAATTATTTTTACCGAGGGATCTGAATAGATACCTTAGATATAGAATAAACACTAACTCCATTTGGTTTTGTATAGAATTCTGTTTTAGAAAAACTCTATTGAAATTTTCAGATGTATGAATATTTAATGGTAATTGATTGGAATCGATTGTAACATCTGTAACAATTCATTGCATCGATAGATCGTAATTGCTTTGTTTCACTACATTATCTTAACAAGGCTTGCGTGTTTTGTTTTTCTTACCAAAATATAAAAATTGAATAGACTAGTCAGCTCCCATTAAGGAGTTGGCCACGCCCATGAAAGTACCCGAAATAGCGAATTTCACATTAAAAAAAAACTTTTGTAAATAACAGGTCTTCATCTTCCATAATTTATATTAGTTCCCAGAGCGTCTCAACTGACCTCTGGCATCTGAACTGAGCCCATGACCGATATATGTTGGTTGGGAAGAATCGTGGGGTGGAAAGACTTCAAAGAGTTTTTAGGGAAATTGATATTTATTGAACATTGATTTAACTTTGATTGACCTTACAGCGATGCATGATAGAAACAAAACCATAACATATTGCGAAAACACATTATTTCTCTTTATATTATGGAAAGAATCGAGAGCTGAACAATTGCAAGCAATATAACTACTTATATCTAGTATCCAACCTTATTTTCATTACAATCTCAAATACCTCTTGTGGTAAAGTGACTACAAAATTTTCAATGCGAATATACAGCAACTTTCATAGAGAAAAAAATCATCACAAAAATGTAAAATAATTTCTTTAAATAAGGTATATTTTGAAATGCTTTGGCATGACAAAATGAGGCAAGATGCCAAATTGATTAATATGATACATTTTTTAAAAGTTATACTTTGAACAACTTTCTCGTACAGGCACTCTACTCTGGTGGTTTTATTGAGGATTCGTTTATATTGTCTGTTGTATCAGACTAAACTTGCGGTGATGAATCGGCAATCTAGGTGACTTTGTCATTAGTGCAGAGCAAGAACCCATTATGTTCTATGTTCGCTTTATTTGTAGCGAGATTAGCGGTTCCCCTTGATTAGGTCTAGCTGGCAGGTTGATACCCGGGGCTGTTATGATTGTCTCATCCGTACATTAGTTGGTCTAGTACTATCAACCCTCTTGCCTCTCTCAGTACTGTTGTGGTATCCTACTCTCTAGTCTTGCCTCAAGACTGTATACCCCCCCCTGTCAATTAAGCTTGCTGCATAGCTAGGAGAGGTTCGTCAGCATCAGACCCAATTATCTAGTAAAGGGGTGTCCTCGGGATTGTCCAGGGACACTATTGGTAGAGAATCATACATGAAGCTTCTCATTCTCTATCGCCACAACGCGCAATTTCTTCTCTCATCAGCATGGACGTTATCCCCGGGAAAAGTAACTCGAAAACAGGGGTAATTCACCCAAATTACCCCCCACGCTCCTTTGGACGCCCATGTGTTTGCCGAGCATCTCAAAAATAACGCATTGCATAAAACTCTAGGGTCTATTTTAGAACTCTCGAAAATACTCTCTCGATCGGTTTGTTGTATTTTTAACCAATTTTTCGGAAATGTTGACATATTAAGTGCATTTTCAATGACGTTCTTTTACATAGTACATGTACTTGTTTTTTTATCACTTTCATACTTTTGAAATTCCAGGGGGAACTGACCCCCGGTGGTAGACGTTATGAGGTTGGCATTGTCAGGTTTAGGGTTTATATTCTAGTACTGTAACTGTACAGCTTTTTTCACATGTCTTTTACTGAAAATAATAGCACTTTTAAAATGTGATTGCTTAAAACGTTATGAGTTTGCTTTAAAAGTACACCGTTTTAAAGCCATCATGTAAAAATGCACATGTGGCCAATTAATCAGCATCATCATTTAGATATAGAACATGAACATGATATAGAACATGAATCTAGAATTAAAACGAATATTACATTGCATGCTATTAACGGGCCATTAAAAAATCAATGCAACGTGTCTGTCCTGTCTCTGATCTTCTTTGTTTTCTTGGTGTTGCCTTTTGTGTTTTTTAAATCTGTTTTACTATTTCATGTATTTCACTATGTTTGAAATCCTGGGATTTGGTGCAAGACTACCTGAATGTCTATACAGTCAATGAACAGAAACTGTCATACATTTACAATCTGACAGTAATGGTATTTTTATGACATATTTATGATAACCTTTATTGAATCATTTATGTTATGGGAATTATTATATACTAAAGCTGTAATTGTATAAATACCTGTAATCTAACGAATTCGCTCTATTGTTGTTGTTAAATATCAATAGTAATCAGAGTTTCTTTTGGATCCAGGCACTTAATGCAAGAATAAATGGCTAAATAAATAAATATGATGCAGATACAAACAAATATAATAATGTTCAATATGAGTTTAAAACACATATACGGTCCAACTGTATTGATATTAAGAAACATTAATAATGGTTCATCCTCTTATGGTTGCCATGGGAACAGAACAAAATCACAGAGCTTAAAAACGTCAATTAGTTTGTGAAGATATTAACAATGACAAGCACACATTGAAGCTTCTACAAGGGCATGCAATAACGATACTGTGAAAATTGCCTCTAGCATCTTTGTGGTCGTATGACACAAAGTTTATAATTCATTGCAATTTCTTGAGAAATATTTTTATGAATGCTTACAAAGACGATACCCTTAAATTATCTTATTTTATTAAGATTTAGATTTCAGTTCAACTTACCACGAGCAATCAAACGTTAGGAATTTTCCAAATACTAATCCAAGAAGGACTTTTTACTAGCCTATTTAACATTTTTTGCTCCGATTTTTTTGATTTTTTGGATAAATTGCTTCAGATATTTCACATTCACTATTTGTTGTTATTGCTATTTATTGTGACCTGATATTGAGATTGGCTAGCAAGTTTAAACATTTTTAAAGCATTTTGTGTGGGGTACTATCCTAGTCGATCACCCTCCGAGTATACATACTCAAAGATGGGGAATACCCCAGAGTACATCTCCAGGTTCTCAATTCCATTACATGAAGATGGGATATTTCCTCCTCTTGTGTTCTAACTTCAATACCAGTGGTGACATCTTTTTCAACTAATTTTTTATTTATCAACAATTTGCCTGGCAATTGTCATGAATGATATCTCAGTGAAATGCAGTTAAGGATCTGCATACAGATGTGTAAATTCTACAAAAATAATAAATAAACATAATGAAAATATCCAGAGGAAACAATGTTTAGCTACCCCTAGGACCTCATACAACATTTCCAGGAGAAATATATACTCATTTGAAATAAGTTATAGAGGCTACAAAAACAATGTACATGATAAACCATGACATCTCATTTCTTCTCAGCCCTGAGAAACAGAAAGATGCTAGGAGTAACAGAATGCAATGTACCAAGTACGAGCTCTATTAATTCTGAAGTGTTGTATTCTATTGTATCCTTAGGTGATATTTTTTGTATACTTTGTAAGAACAACATGAAGAGTGTTCCTCAAACTAAGTATGTTGATTTTAACGAAATACCTAGAAGTTTGTTTTGATATATGTTAAGAAATTTTGTCTGATCCAAATGGCACTTTGACAGGCCAAAAGTGCTCAGATTAGCAGATGTTCACATTTGGAGGTTTATCTTCACATGGGAGTCAATGGGAGACTACAATTATGGGACTAAGAAAGTGTTCACATTGAGAGGTGTTTGGATTATAGAGATGTTTGGATGTACAGGTTTTACTGTATGTGTAAAATGGGCATAGAACTGAACAAAAAATATCTTAGAACAATTAAAAATCACAATATATTGAATAACATTTGTGGTGACATGGTGATATTGATGTTCATGTTTATATACTAGACTGTAGATGTTTTGTCAGAGATGTTGATGTTAATATTGAAGTTCATACATGATGAATAGTACATAAATACTATTGTTTACTAAGACTTATCCGTCTCATCATATATGTATGTAGTATATACTACATATTAGATACACATAATTTACTTAATTAGACTAGTCTATAGTTGTATATAATTCAGCTATCATCCTGCAGTCTTTTATCACAAGCTTGCTTTAATTCCACAGTCTTCTATCATTGGAATAAGTTTCCCAGCATTGTGAAGTGATTTAGTCTCGCTACCCCCTCCTATACACTTTCCATTGATGAAAACTCTTGGTACCTGTAAATACAAAAATTTAGATGTTTTCATTTGATTTGTTTATTTAAATACAATGAAACCCATTGAGTGAAACATCTCTATAAGTGGAACACATTTGTTTGGAAGTGGAACACTTTTCAGAGTCCCACGACTAATTTACTTGATCTTAAATGAACCTCTACAAGAGGAACACCTCCCAAGTGGAACACTTTTCAGAGTCCCAGGACTTTACTTGATCTTAAATGAACCTCTACAAGAGGAACACCTCCCAAGTGGAACACTTTTCAGAGTCCCAGGACCAATTTACTTGATCTTAAATGAACCTCTACAAGAGGAACACCTCCAAAGTGGAACACTTTTTACCATAGGTTTCCACTTAGACAGGTTTTACTGTATAATGATCTAGCACTGTGTGTAAGAAAAACCTAGAGAATGACGAGTCTTTGAACTCTAAGACATGATGTTATTGCCAACTATACAGTATAGCAATTTACAGTAAGACATGTTATACTTGAGCTATTAATCAGACATTATATCCTAATTCTTGCATAATTATGAACTATATACATTACCGTAGTAGAGCCTGTCATCTTTCCTAAGATACTTTGTATTTCATAAGCATCTGGTCGATTATTGATCTCTAAGGCTTCATACGTAGCTCCAGCATTATTCAATGTTTCTTTAGCCATCCGACAAAATCCACAGGTAGTTTTGGAGAAAACCATGACACAATTTCCATTAATCTTTTCCTTAACAAATTGTTCTAGCTCTGGGTTAGATGATCCTGTATCGGATGAAAACAGTGACCCCATGATGTTACGTTGTGACACTCTTAGCAGACTGCTTCCAGTGCACTTTACCAGTGTGCGTAAACTGTTCATAGAACTTAATCACTGTTAGAGATGACAGGAAACAACTGAAAATGAAAGAGTCTGTTAATTATTCAGTTATTACTGTATGTTACATCATGGGCTTTCAATCTAGTTGAAAGCCCATGGTTACACCATACATTATACTGATACCATTTTACATTATATTAGATATGGTTCAACATTTTAATAACAAAGACTATTCAAATTTTGGAGTCCTATTAAATTAAATCCATAAATGAGATTTGCAAATAACAAATCTTTCTCCTCGACTCTGGTCATGAGGAGAACCAACTCTAATTGAAAGTCCATGGGAGTTACACTGTACTCGAGTCTCTAGCCAAATTACTTGTGGCCGGAGAATAAGGTAACATGGGAGAATCAACAGGCACCTACTAATTTTTCAAAACAACTATTTTATTTACAGAACAAGAAAAAATTCGCTTGAACATAACTTAATCAGCAACATCTATCAATATTTAACAGGTCAAGGATTCTTTTGAAATTGAGAAAGTCTGCTAAAGGAATCCAATTATTGAGTAGCCATTCGTGTCATCTTTGAAGTCTGATCTGAATTCTAAACAATTCAAAATGTGCTCTGGTAAGAATGGAACGACTAGGAACACAACGAATTACTATTCAATGCAATCTTGTTCTACAAAATCAAAAATAATGACAAAATTATGTAAAACCTGAATCTTGCTTCCTTGTTTACAAAAACGAGATCTCGCTTCAATTAGTCATGTGATCAGATTTCAAAAACTAATTAAACTTAATATAACCATATTTTGGGCATCAAGTAATGATCAAAACCACCAAATAGACTATATTCTAATCATTCATTTTTCAATGAGCTGTTTATATACGTTTAAAGTGAGGATTTTATTCTTGAAAAATAATGACGTCATCGAATTCTCGTTTATTCCAATATGGTGGACGTCTTTCAGAAAATAAAGACATTGACGTATATTTTTGCTAGTTTCTCACTTATTGGAAATTAATACAAGTAGAAAAGAATGTGGGTGAAACCTGAAGAAGTACTCCTAGCAAATGCACTATGGTATGCTTATTTAATTCTGTAGTTTATTTGATAATTGGACTTCTTTACAGAAATCCTCCCAGTTGCAGTTAATAAAAATTAAAAAAGATGATACTGATAGGCCTACCATCATCAGGTTACACGATATTGAAAGAGTTCTGACGATATCAATTGAAACTGTCACAGTGTCTGAGAAAGTTGTTATACGAGCATTTTATATGTCTAGAATCTTTCGAATTATTTTTCGGATTACTTTGATTGTGAAAAATAAGGAAATGATATGAAACTCCCAGTTATCGAATGTTTCAACATGTGATACAGGAATATTCCATGGAAGGTAACATTGTGTCATCCACGAAAACGAAGCTTGAGTGGTGATACATGGTTACCTGAGTGGAATATTTCCTTCTCATTGTAAGCTGAAACGTGTGATGATGATTTAATCCCTTGTCTAGGGGTTTTTAAGCATTTTGATTTGGTCAGTTGTGATTGTAGGTAGTCTCTGTGTTTCTAGTTACCAGTATGTAATATGTATATAAATGGCCTTGTCTTTTGTAGGTGGGTGCAAGGTAGGAGGTTTTTTATGCAAAGCCTATGTAAACCCCTAGGTTCACAGGAAAACTCAATATAAAAGTTAATAACTTACCATTTTAGAGCTCTTGTTGGCATTTGGTCCCCCCATCTTGTTGGTCACATGACCACATATTCACCTATCTACTAACAAACAAAGAAGTTCCATATCCCAATGCTTTCAGTGTGATTGTACTGACGATCTTATTATTTTCGCGGAAATTAATTCAATCTGAAGTTTGAATATACAGAGAAAATCCTCCTGTTATCTGATTGGTCATTTAATTTGTTTATCATGATTGAACCTGATTGTCTGCCTGGTTAAAGGTGCGCACGGGCGCTTGAATGACTCAACAGGGATTTTGATCGCTAGTCAATGAATGTTGAAGGTCAAGATATATCGATGGTATGTGAGATATTATATGAACAATAATAATGGGGCATCATTGATAGTCTGGGTGAGACACCTATGGTATACTGCATCTTTATCATTTAAAAAAATAGATGTATGGTTTGGTTACAGCTCATTTTGAACACAACTGTATGATCACATGAATCATTTATGTGAAGTCAACCTGTCACTCAACCATATATTCAAAGAAAGTTAATGTTTTATTAAAAATGTTGTGGACATTTGTACCTAAATACACATTGTAGGAAGGGCTATTCAAAGGCAACCTTATTCGAGATATTACATGACAATACAGATAAAAGTACTAAAACATATAGTTTGATTAGGCATATGAAGGCCAACTTCAATTTATCCAATGTATTCATTAGTAATTACTTTTGCTTTTATATTCTTATGCTATTTATGGACAGTGAATTATAAGAATCACATCTTCTTTCTGCTTTTTAAATTGATCACTTTTACATTTAATCTAATATATCAATTCTTTTAAAAAAAACAAAATAAGATTTCATTCAATATAAAGGAAACATTGACTTGCTTTTGAAAATATCTCTCCCAACACTTCACCCACTCTCCAAACTTGAACAGTGAACACCCCATATTGAAAAATTAACCTGCTAAGTGGAACATAACAGTCAATTTTCCATAAATTTCAATAGTGATACTTATGTTAACAAAATTAACCTCCAACAGTGATACCTGGGTATGAAAACGGGCAATAACGAAATAATTGGCAAATTAGGATTTTAATGGATTACCATATAGTCAATTGGATTAACCTCCGTAGAGATCAACATGTGATGCTACCACTAATTAATTTGATAATTAGCAAATTAGAATTTTATAAGATTATCATTCAGCAAATTGGATTAAGAGATGGACATGTGATGCTCTTGCCTCTTACTTCTTGCTGTTTGTTTCATACTTAATAAGTAAGCTTAAGAATGTCAGTTAAAAAACAAATGAATTATTAGCATTAGGAACAAGTCTTTAAAACTTAATTGCCTTATCTTAGTGTCTGAGACTGGCAGGATGAGGAGGATTGAGAATGTCAGAAAACATTTTTGGCAGAATGAGGAGGATTAAGAATGTCAGATACCTTTTTGAGTAAAACAAATGGATAATTAAGGCTATATAGCTGCCCTGCAATGATCGGAGAATCTTATTTTCAGTGATACATATCAACTCTATATTAATCTTGTATGTTCGTTAAATCCCCGCAAACCCAAAACCTCCGTAAGTGGAACACCTCCTAAGTGGAACGCTTTTTGGCAGAACGGAGAGTGTTCCACTTACACAGCTTCTACTGTACTACAATTTCAAATATAAAAAGGGAAAAATACTGTTTTTCAGGGTAACAGAGAGAGCCAACCCTTACTTTGTGCTACAGAGAAGGAAGGGTCATGGAGGTGGTGGAATTACAGGACTCCTGGTTGGTACTCTGGACACAGTTCTTGATAGCAAGGTAAACGATACAATACTAAACTGTTATATATCTACCTACTGTATGATGTGAAATATGCCTTGAGTTATACCAATATAAACAGACTTTTGGAAGTAAAGCCTGTGATTGCATTTACTCAATAATAAATATCCAGTCAGTAAGATTACATGTGGTTGTTTCGAATTTACGAATTTGGACTATGGACATACGGATATATGTTTTTAAAAATATGCTCTTTATGTTTTATTCTATACAGAAACAGCCCTATAGAATACTCCATTGCACTCCTAGCTCAGAGATCAGTTACACAATTGCTGAAGCAGGGAGCAAGAAAGAAATATTCCAAGATTGGGAATGGCTGGAACAAAATCTCATGGAAACATTGGGTAATGAATATTATTACATCATTAATATGTTTCTCACTGGTCTGGCTAAAACTGATCACATGATTACATCTATTTTCCCGAATCCTCAATTTCAGACTGTATATTCCATTTTTCATAATTTTTCATACCTGTTTAAGTTAATCCACTCTGCTTATTTCACTTATTTTCATACTATTTCACATTAAAACATGGATGGAATTTAAATTTCATTTCATTTCAGCTGCATTTGAAGCAGAGGAAGATGCCATGGAGTTTGTTAAGTGCAAGATAGAGAGCTTGGTGGCCAGTGTATGTAGTGCAAGACAACTTGATGGTATGTACAGAAAAACATGTCATAAGTGGTTTTTATAATTATAAGCTAAGGCATGCGCATATTTTCATTGAAGTTTGAATAAGTATTGAGGTATGGAATGGCGTATTGTCGAAATGAAACTTGATTTTATATTTATATGGCTGCATTTAGCGTAAGGCATTCTTCAGGTCAATGACAACTTTAGCATGTTTGATATCACATCACACATAAAATCTAATGAAAAAATAATTGATTAACAGACATGACTGACACCTTTGAAATAAGTTTGGTACCCTCCAAGTGTAAACTTTTTTCCAACTCTACAATGTGTCGTTCTCTCTCTCCAAATATCTCTCCTGTTGTCATGTTGCTATGGTAACCAGATACCCACGTTACTTTTCAAATTAATTGCTTATTTTTACACAAAATAAAACTACTATATATAGGGTGGTTGAGGCCAAATATGAACAATTCAGATTTTTAGAGCAAACATTGCAGAACTTTTGGATCAACCCTCGTATGTTGTGCAACATGTAACACGCTGTCATTTTTGAATATCTTGATGCATACATATTCTGCCAAATTGTTGGGAACGATGTTTTGTATGACCGAACACTTGTTATTTTAGTTGAAGATGAAGAAACGAGTGATTTCAAAGCTGCTATGGGGAGATTCTGTAAGCTGTTCAACATGCCCACGGAAGAGAAGCTCGTAAACTGTAAGTAACTGACACACTTAACAGTTTTAATGAGGCAGTTCTGAAAAGTAATCAGTTCTATAATAATGATTTGATGTTGCAACATGACACCCTTTTTAACCCTGTAGTAGTTTATTGGTAGACAGTGTTTTTCCTAAGCGTCGGACCATAGGACATCTCCGGTGATGTGGGCTTCGGACTGATGAGTTTTATCAAGTAGCCAGTCCTCAATTATGCTTGTGTCCGGTTCCTAATCTAAAATCATTTCTTTACTCCCAAATTTGGTCCGATCGCTGTCTGAAATCTCATTATATCTACGGTAAAACCTTGAAATTCTAAAAATCATTTTAGTGAAATTGGCTGCAGGGGAGGATGTTTACGTATCATCATTTTTTTATCAGCATCAAACAGAAACTGTTCTCCGATTGGTTGATTAGACTCTTGGGTAATCATGTCGATTTTTTACCGCGTGAGGTTTTATTGGCTAATTCAAATCGGATGCGGTAAAAAACCGAACGCCAATTTGCGAACGATCCGGGTATTACGTTCACCCTTGGTTTATCTTTCGGTATCATTGCAAACTCTGATCGCTGATTGGTTGGTTAATTTTGTCATATATTGGATCGGTTTCGAGATTCCCATGATTATTGCGCCTGTTTATCAGGGCTATCGTGAAACCATATTCGTAAGCATGCAGACCCCATGGTGAGCCACGAGTGATGGCACGTGAATTTTAGTTGATCAACCAATCAAAAGCATTTTCAAAACGATAGAATTATGCGCATGCGCATTAATAATGTAAACTTTAAAGTTAATTTTTTGATGATTTTTTCAGAAATTTCGTCCGAATTCAATATAATTTGCAGTTAAGTAGGTCACCTTTAACATGTATAAAAACATGCGATTATGGGCTGATTTGAAACTGAATTCGCAAGAAATTCGCTCTAAAATTTGTTACTTTCATTTCTCTCTTAGTCTTGGACTGGTTAGTTTTCACACGGACCGGTGATTAAACTGAAGTTACAGGTCCGAATGTCCGATGAGTTTTGGTATGGACTGGCCAAAATGTAGAACCTGTCAGTCCGGTGGTCCTGTGATGTATTTTGCCTTAGGAAAAACACTGTTGGTAGATGCCAAAAATGATATTTGATATTTGTTGTGATACCCATCCACTTTCCTTAGGGAACTGATCGCAACTGACAAACATTAACACAGCAAAATTTCACCATCTGATTGAAGTGTAAGGATTTGTTAGAGATGCTTTATACCAATACTGAACACTGGTTACAAAACAGTATGGCTGTGAAGGATGGTGTCTTATTCTCAACTGTTGTTGAATAACGAAGTCAGTTTCATTAGAGGGAGGGGGTAAATTATGGTTTTGCTAGCGAAAAGCGTTAATTTTGTAATATTCAAGTGAAAGACAAATCAAATCAACATTTAAAATTTTATTAGGTGAGGGGATTATGGGTGAAACCATAATGAAATTAATTTCATTTTCCATGACTGTAGATAATTGGACAACATTCGTAACAATATGTCACAATTTCTTGGTGGTGACATAAAATAAGTGCTGAATCAACATTTCAATGTGGCTGTTATGTCACATACAATTCAAATCATTGATGAAGCATCCATTGGTTCAATGATCATTCATATTAATAATTCATCATTGAATATATCATAACTTATAACTTATAAGTGCTGGAATTGAAGTTAAATCAGTGCTGATTCAGTGCTGATTAAATAATCACTGAGTTAACTAATGGTGAATTCAATGCTTAGAATCAACATTAAATTTTGGAGATATTGAATCAATTAATGCCAGCGCTGAATTCAGTGCTGAATTGCAAATTGGTGTATTTTTAGAGATGTATAGAGTTATATGAATCTGGTTTGTCTGAAACAATGATATTAAGGTACAGCAAATATCTAGTAGGATTAAAATTTCAAATATTTATTCATGTTGTCACTTGACAGTATAATTCTCCAAATATAATTTGAAATGAATTAATGTAAATTGCTATGCATCTGGTTTTATATTATATGATAAGTTTTTTCGCAAAAGTTAATTAAATAATCTATTGTCTTTTAAGTTTCATATCTGCTTCTTTGAAGGAATAGTAATGATTCCCTTTGTTCGATATGGTGTCCGGCCATTGAAACCATGACATGCACGCTGCAAATTTTGGACACTCAGACCCTTGGTTGTATTTACCAAACAGATTAGCAACGTGACATGCTCCATACCAACCAGCTCCTCTATACACTTTCGCACAGCTTCGATGCCAGGTATCTTGGTCATTGTCTTTTGTGCTGAATTTCATATTTTGATGGAAGTCGGGATTACCTAAAGAATCCCCTGCAGTACCTGTGTAGCCCCCAATACGCAGCCGATAGCCATCAGTAGCATCTCCAACGTGGAATGTCGAATACTGGGCATAGGCTTCAGTGTTAGCTGGTGGCCACATCTTTAAATCAACATGTAGAGTGTATCTCCCTTGTTTCAGAACACTCACCAAATTATCAAGTCCAAGAAAATATTCGCCATTACGATCACCAAAACCTGATTGATATTCTGCATATGTTTTATAAAAGTCTACACTCCCATCAAAACGCCTGGAGAGATATAGCCATCCTCTTTTGCAATAAGCATCAAATTTTCTTCCATCAGCTGTCTGAATTTCTTTTACACCTGTGTATTCTGGCACGTCAGTGCAGTCTTTGGGCATCTCTGAAATAAATAGAACTTTTTGCAACTGTGATTGCTGGGATCATTTAATTTGTTGCCTGTACCTGGTGGGTAAGTGGATGGGTTAGTGGAAATCCACCAAGGTCCAGCTGATAAATTAAACAATCCCATTATTCCTTTCATAATCAGTGGTGTAGCTACGTGTGCGCAAAGTACGCATGTGCATACTCTCAAATTTACGAACAGAAAAATAAAATTTTCTACTATACTGATACATATTATGAAATAGAAATAGTGGATTTAAAAAGATGAAATCAAAAGCATAAGAAAGTACTAACTATGAGCAGGTATCAGTCAGTGCTTGATTTGCTGAAAAAGCACATTACATGCACCTTATACCGAAAGCCATTGTAACGAATGCCATTCCGACACGCATTGTACCAAAAAGCATTATACCGAATGGCTTTGCACCAGGCACATCGTACATGTAGATTCGATTTAGTTATGTAGATACTGGCGTAGCCAGCTTTCAGTCAAGGGGGGGGGGGGTGCGATAGCCAAAAAGATTTCTTCTATCTCATGGTTATATTTTTATTGATTATGGGGGAGGGGTGCGATCGCACCAATCACCAATCCACTGGGTATGCCTATGACATAGGTATGAGTTGGTGCTACTATTTGATAACCAATTGGTAAGAGAAGTCAAGCAGTGAATTGTATAGATGAAGCTTAAGCTAAAATAACCATGCTTTGTTATTTGATAATGGCATTGGCAGTTTTTCATTTGAATAACATTAATATGATTACATTCTGACTTATCAGAGTCTTGGTGACTTTTATTTTTTATATTGGATACTAGTTACTATATTACCATTAAAATATTTCTTTTTCACTATATCCCAATTGTAAGTTTCATATTTTAAAGTTATGTTGGATGTCATCACTTGGATTAATAATACTTGCTGTGGATCCCACAATGATATAATTATTAAAAATGGAAATAAATGTTGAATTTATTGTTTATTTAGTCAGGATCGGTAATTTGGGTAATATCCGAATTTCAATTTCAATTTGGGTTATATCCGAATTTCAACATCTTAATATCCTATGCTTTAATTTTCTCCAAATTGATGTAATTAATTTATCATTATTATTATGCCAGTCTCAACAGCTAAATTGATGTAATTAAATGTATATTTCATCATTATCATGCTAGTCTCAATAGCTGAGTCAACATCCGAAATTAAAAATTCTAAATAGCCTGCCTATATATCCTCTTATTTTTCCCCAAAATGATGGAATTAAATGTTGAATGAATTGCTGTTCCTCAACTGGTACCCTCAACTTCCTTGGTACGCTCTTTAAATCAATCAAAACATGAAATGACACATCCTATCAAAAAGACCAACACTTACGAAAAAGTTACCTCAATTGATCAGCCCAAGCTATGATGGTTGTATCTCGTTGGCATAATAGCTTTATTTGACCAGGTGCACTTATCACGATTGTTTCCCGAAAGGGAATCCAAATTCTTTTAGAAAAACATTAAATTTTTCAAGAGATAAAACTGGACATTTTGTCCCGCTATTTGTTAATATGCGTGTTGCATGCACTTTATATAATACTTTCAGGAAATTCAGTAGCACTATCAAGTGTTTTATTATACTCTCCGGGTTTACTTCAATTGATTTCAAACTCGAGTCATTTCATCATATTGTCACAATAAATATGCAAATGATGGAAGCATGGGCTTTCAACTAGATTGAAAGCCCATGATGGAAGTCACTAATGCTATACGTAGGTAGGTTCTTAGACAAAAATAATGTTGATTTCTTGTTTTATTTTATTCTTTTAAATATTGTTCTTCTATAAGTGCTAAACTGAGGGGAGGGGTTAACTTTTAAACAGCCTCTTTTTACAGTTTCTTCCTCGCCTTAATGTTATTACTTGTTATTTCACAACAAGATTAATAACCCAGATGTAAGAAATATGTTTATGAGTGTTAACGTACATATATAGTATTGATGTACTAGAAATTGGTTTGAAACAAAGAGGGGGGGAGGGTTTGGAAGAGATCAACTTTGAAATTTGGTGTTTCTCCTCTCTCTAATTTGGTTTTCCTAATTAAATATGAAATGTTTTTCTTGAAATCATAATTTTCATAATCTACAAGTACGATTATCATAACTTTAAATATCATGTTTTCGGTATTATGGTTTTTGATACAATATGCTTAGGTATAATGAGGTCATCCTAAAAAGCACATACATTACATTCATCAATGAACAAAAAAATATGTGTATGTACGCACTTTGTGCATACACTGATCCCTTGGTCACACATAATCACAGTTTCCTATCATTTGAAAATGAAGGAACTGCCTGAGTTCGAGTTGGCAAGATTTTTTTGAATTTCTCTATTAAGCCTAATCTAAAGTCAAGTTGCAGATAATAATTTGGCTTAAAGGGTTCCGATAAGCATCCCGTATAAAAACAATATGGCGGCTCCAGGCGAATCGACTGGATCAGTCCATTTTTAAGAAATAAGGGGAGTTTTGTAAAATCCAGTTTATTGAAATTGTCTTTGAGATAAAGTATCCGTTTATAATGATTTTGAAAACATTATCCATAGAGTGATTGCGTTCAAAGAATATGTACAACAGCCAATATAAATCCTTGTATTAGAACTGCTTTGTTTCATTTGCAGGATATTTCATATACCAAGCTGTGTGCTATTACGTTATGGGGAAATTTAGATGTCAATTTTTCCTTATTATACACAAATAGAAGATCCTGAAACTTCACCCATAAATGTGGAATTGATTTGTCAAAATAAAAATCACCGTTTTATAAATATGTGACGATCTATAATATACTTATGCTATATAACAGTTAGAGGTGTTGACACAACGACCTCGAGCCTGTGAACCCTTGAGTATTATTCCAGGATCGGGCCTTTTATACTAAACGGTGAGCAACACCAGAAACGAGCGTTCGATTTGCTAAACGATATGCGTCACCCTTTAAAGGTAGAAAACATATTCTTGTTTGGTTACCTACTTTCTGGACACTATATCTTAAAACTTGGTCCAGATACCTTATGATGACGAAAAGGTTATAAGAAAGCTTCCAATTTCAGATTCTGAGTCCTGAGAAAAATTGATAAACATGCATATCGTAACAGAATAAAGATATTGTTAATATTATCAAAATTATTAAATGTAAAATAAGCAGAAAATGAAATCAAAAACCAATGAAGTTAAAGTTCTTCACTGAGGATCTCAAATATGGATCATTAGTGCATCCACCAATTAGATTTAGTGTGTTAACTGATCACCTTGTATCACTTGAATAATTATTTCAGAGGCTAACCTTTATCATTCGCACATGTACTTTGAATTTCTGCAATTTCCTGTCTGATCTCGTCCAAATGTGAAGTGATCTCGGTTTTGAAGTTGGATAGGTCATTTGTAATGCTGGTAGTAGAACTATCTATGTCTACTTTTCTACAGGTTTCACTCGCAGGAGTAACATCTAGAAGATAGAAGAATACATTCTGAAGAAAATACCTTGAGAACACACAGTTAACAAAAACATGTCAAAAGAGCCATTTCAAAGGTCTATAGATTTAATTATTCAAATGAACATCGATTTTACCCTGGTTACCTCTGATTTATCAAAATTATAATTCTAATTGTTTTGAACTTTTTCATTTATTTGTCTTCTATAATATACCTTTGAAATACTAGTATATAAATCTCAGACATAATACTCGACTTTTCCCCAATTCATATAGTTGAAATGTACATTATGAATTTATAAAAAATGATCAATTCTAAAACATTAAAATGCCAAGAGAAATAATCAAAATAATTTGAAAAAATATAGTAGTGGATTCTGGTTTTCTGTACATTGATAAAAATAGTGCTTTATTTGACATGCTATGAAAAGGCGATTTGTAGAAGTACTCACTTAATTTCACTCGTTTAATAAGTAAGGATCCATTGTCATACATTTAATTGTGCTTAGAATATTTTAGTTTGTTCCCAAAGAATAATATTTCTGAGTTAAAAACAAAAGTCATATCTACCAACCCTTAACATTGATTGCTATTACTATCAGCACTATTGCTGAACTTGCTAGCTCCATCTTTGCTTCTGTCTTCTCTTCTGTATCTGTGTGTCGCTCTTGCCGAGTCTAACATCAATGTCACAATTGCTGTTGAATTGTGTCTGCCAGCGATGCTGTTAGCATCTATAAAGGTTTGCAGTGTTCAATTATACTCTGTGTATTGCAATCACTGTATAAGTGTTATTTATTCCAAGTGGTTAATTTTTTTTCCGAAAGGTCAAATTTTATAATTTTAATTTTTCTAATGACAAGAAACTTCCCATTGGATAACATTATTAAGAAAATTTCTGACATTCATTTCCTGGCAAAAATTAGGCAATAGGCAAATTAAATGTTTAGGCAAATTACCACTTATACAGTATCATATTCAATATAACAAAATTCGATACAACAAAATTAAAGTAGGATATGGGGATTAAGCTTTGTGTGTTGTATGTTTGTGTACACACTATACTAGAGTACTATATCAACATTTAATTTTGGTGAATCCTGCCCTTGCCACATCAATCATGTTTCTGGGGAAATTCAAAAGTATAATACACTGGCATAAAAAATCAAATTTTAAAAATATTTTTTCACCTTAAAATAAGTCAAAACAATGCAAGAGGAATTTAAAGAGTTAGAATCACGTTTGGAGATGAATATCTCTATGTATCGATTAATTGTGACAATACTACCTTTCAGTCCATTCTAAACTTTTAACTGTGTCGTTGTACTTATAGGCATTGTGAAGATAAAGTAATAATGCAGCACGATGTGAGAGGCAGGAATTTGACACATTGTATTGTCCCAGAGTTACGATTTTTTCAAAATCATCAACATATTTTCAGAAGTTCAAATGTGACTTTATATTTAAGATTTGACCTTCAATGACTTTTTCAAGGTCAAAAAAGTTCAAAAGGGTCTTTTCAACTTGCTTCAAATTGACAAATTTTTTTTCAAAATCATCTGCAAGTTATCAGAAGTTCGGATTTGACCTTCAATGACCTTCTCATGGTCAAAAAGGTCTTTTTTCAACTTGCTTCATATTGACCAATTTTTTTCGAAATCATCTACAAGTTATCAGAATTTCAGATTTGACCTTCAGTGACCTTCTCATGGTGAAAAAAGGTATTTTTTCAACTTGCTTCAAATTGACCAATTTTTCTTTTCAAAATCATCTACGATTTCTCAACAGTTCAAATCTGACTATAGATTTGACCTTCAAATAAAAGACATTCTCAAGGTCAAAAAAGATTTGACAGTTAATGACATTCTCAAGGTTAAAAAGGTCTTTTTTCATCTTGCTTCAAATTGACCATTTTTTTCGAAATCATCTACAAGTTCTCAGAAGTTCAAATGTGACTTTAGATTTAAGCTTTCACTTTCAATGACTTATTCAGGGTCAAAAAGTTATTATTACCAGAAAAGCCCAATGGACAAAGATAGAGAATACCCGCTCCATTTGCAACTTAACTGTACCCTGTATCCTTTTTAAATGTGGTCACGTGGTACGGTAGTGTGGATTAGTGTTGAAAAAATTGCTGTGCATTTCAACAGGTGTTTGATATGTTTTATATTACTCTGGTAGGTCTAAAAATACATATAAAGGCACTACAAATTTCCAGTAGGGTTCAATTTTCAAATATTTATTCACATAATAATTTTCCAAATGTAATTTGAAATGATTCAATTTGAATTGCGATGGAGTTTCATATATGATATGATATATATGATTTTTGATTTCTTTTCAAATTATGTCAAAAGGCTAAAGGCTATTGTCTGTAAAGTTTCATAGCTGCTTCTTTGAAGGAATAGTAATGATTATTTGGGTTCCCTATGTTCTTAGGCCAGTGATACCATGACATGCACGCTGCAAATTCTGGACACAAAGAGCTTTTGCTGTATTTACCAAACAGATTAGCAATGTGACATGCTCCGTACCAACCAGCTCCTTTGTACAATTGTGCACAACTTCCTGAATGGGTATCTTGGTCATTGTCTTTCGTGCTGAATTTCATATTTTGATGATATGTAGAATGACCTAAGGAGTCCCCTGCAGTGCCTGTGTAACCTCCAACGTGCAAGCGATAACCATCAGTAGCATCTCCAACTCGGAATGTTGAATACTGGGCATAGGCTTCAGTGTTAGCTGGTGGCCACATCTTTAAATCAACTCGTAGAGTGTATCTCCCTTGTTTCAGAACACTCACCAAATTATCAAGTCCAAGAAAATATTCGCCATTACGATCACCAAAACTTGATTGATATTCTGCATATGTTTTATAAAAGTCCACACTCCCGTCAAAACGCCTTGAGAGATACAGCCATCCTCTTTTGCAATAAGCATCAAATTTTCTTCCATCTTCTGTCTGAATTTCTTTTACACCTGTGTATCCTGGCACGTCAGTGCAGTCCTTAGGATAGATCTCTGCAATAAGAGATGAATGAAATAGAAAATTTTTGGAACTTGTCTGTTTTGAAACGATGGACAGCAGCAATAGTTAAATAGAGAAACAATTCCAGTTGAGTTTCATTACCTTTGTAGTAAGTATGGCAAGTCTACACTTAGCTATAGAAATAATCTTGATTGGCATGACTTTAAATATATCATAATTCAAAGTGAGATATTGTATTTGTTTGCCATGTTATCTGACCTGTATTAGGCACATAGTGGTGAAACTGGTAGTTAACTACAGACACCTAGCCCAACCTAGGTAGCTGACTTAAATTCAAAAATCATACCTTTCTCTTCTGGCTCTGTAGGTTTTCTTTCAGCCAAGGATTTATCAATTTTGTCAAATCGTCCATTTATCACAGCATTGTTAGCTACAAGTTGATTGAGTGAAGCATTCATTTTATGTTGGTTTTCAATGATCTCAGCCAAGTCCTCAAGTTTAACCAGTCCTTCAAGATTGCATACATTTTCTGTATTTTCCCCCTTGTTGCCCTCACAACATTTCATCATCTCAACTTGCATAACTGATAGGCTTTCTGTGAGAGTTTTAACATCACTTTTCTTACAGACTGGATCATCTGGTTTTGTCTTTTTGCCTTTCTTCCGTTTCTTAGCCTCTAAACCCAGTGACATCATAAGTATGAATACTACCAATATGAATGTGAATTTTGCCATGTTGAATCTCTCCTACAGTAATGGTGGATCATTCTGAGTGGCCATGCTTTTTATTGGAGAAAAAAATCATTTGATAAATATGTTGCAATAAAAAGCAACAGTAAAAAGTTCCCTATCAAGGGTTCCTAAAAATTATAAAAATGTGTTTCTCATTTCTATGTTAATAAAAGGAGCAAAGAGGTATTATCAAAATTTATCCCACGATTAATGTGTTATCTGTACAATAACAGCTATTGATATTTTTGATATTTTTGAAATCCGTGTGATATTTTCCAGAAAATCGTTTATCAAACTCATATGCGTGTGATATCATTTATCTCACGCATATCCGTGTGATATCACATTTGCATTTCGCGCCACAATATTGTTGGAAATTATCGTTACCTGCTAACTATCGATTAAAAAATGGTATTTATGACGAATTATATCATGTTATTTACTTTTAATTGTTAAAATAAAGTGTTTCAAATATTCAATTGATATTCTAATTTCTAGTTTATATTGTCTGCCAATGTCCTGGAAATTGGATCAGAACGTCACAATGTGATTGTAACCATGGGATAAACCCAATATCACATAATTTCTCGTGATATCATTTTATCGCCTCGTAGATATCAAATATCAACACTCATTCGCTTCGCTCACTCGTGTTGATATTTGATATCAACTCGGCGATAAAAATGATATCACTCAAAATGATGTGATATTCTGTATATATTGCACATTAATAAGTATTGATCTAAGACAGCTCAGTTTTATATGTTTTTTTGTTTAAAGTAAACCCTTAAACGAATCTAAGTAACTTACAAATTTTTTGTTCTGCTTAGAGGAACATATGTGCATCTTTCACAAGTACAATATTCATGAAGCTTAGGGGAATATTGCTTAAATGAAAATAACACATGCATGTTTTAAAAGAAAGTAAATTCTATTATTATTCTGTGTTAATGTGTTTTTTTTTCAATCTGGAATGTGGGAGAAAGAATGTTAAAAACAGAAAATACAAATGTATAGAGAAATCTGTGAAGTGAAATACCTCTCTTAAAACCAACTGACAGTTAAATGAGCCTCTACATGTATAAGTTGAACACCTCCCAAGTGGAACACATTTTAGAGGTACCAAAAGTGTTCCACATAGACACACGGACAGGTTTTATTGTACATCTACATGTATTCAATTTTCAGAATGAGGCCTCATGGCAGTTCCGATTATGTCATGATAGTATTTGAGAAACAGATTGAAAGAATTGGGAACATGTAGATTAGTAGCCTCTTAAAAAGAGATCATACGTGTCCCCTCGACAGCAAGAAGGTTGAAATGAAAATTATAAAAACATGTTCACCTGATAAATTGCCCTTGATATTGATATTGATTTTGATAGTACATGATTTAGACATACTAGTAGTTACAGGTACCTGGATTTTTATGGAATAGATTGAGCTGTTTATAAACAATCACGAAGTTGTTTTACATTTAATAGCTAATTTAGTTAAGCTGTAGACATTTGTGTAGAAAAACAAGAATAGGATTAAGCCGAATATTGTCATGCATCATCATATAAGGCCTCGATGTCACACATGTAGTAACATACTTTAAAAGTGCATCACATATTTTCAAATCATTTTTCTTTTCTTTCTCTCAAACATTTCAAATCACATACTAGGATTCCCTTTTGTATCACAGACTCTTAGTCAGAAATCGCATTGTCTTTGTGATTCTAGATTACTCATGCAGTTACTGGAAGGGCAAGGTACCCAGACAGGGCTGGCTGTACCTCAGTGTCAATCATGCATGTTTCTACTCATTCCTCATGGGAAAGGAGGCCAAACTCATCATACGCTGGACTGATGTAACTGTAAGTTTGAGTTGGCCTCAAAGGTCACTTAGTTGGGTCCAAAGCCCAACAATTAATTTTCATTTTGTGCCTAAAAATGGGCCTCTCGTGAAATTTATTTTGAAAAATAAACCACACTTTAAAAAAAAATTAGAATGAGCTCTAGTCATTTCATTTCGTAGTTTCTCCCTGTATGATTGTTTAAACGTTTTTAATTCTTAATTTGTAGAAACTGGAGCGAGGAACTAACAGACTATTTCCAGAGAGCATCAATATTTCAACGCGTGATACTCAGGTAAAATTTCTATAGCTTGAAATTAATCATAAGGTAGGCCTTATGCTTAACTTCTGTTTAGCAATTCCCAGGTTAATGATTGTCAGTATAAGACACAGCATTTCTTTATCTTCCAGTTCAGCTTCTCCATGTTTGTACACATTGAAGAAACCTTCCGCATTATGGAGCAACTTGCCAACTATGCTATGAAATGGTAAGTCAACTGACAAAGACTTTTTAGGATTTAGATTCTTCAATTTATTATCATTTTACCAATTACTAAAAGTTAATTAACTTTCTGTAAACATCAACTTTGTCGTCTCAAAAATATTTGTATTCTTTGCTTATTTTAAACATATCCAATTTTATCAATTGAATAGCCAATCTTGTTACTTGAATATAGCCAATGCAGACACTTGAGTACACGGGTCTCTTTAATTGTAGATCATTTTCATGATAATCAATATTTCTTTCAGTTTGATGTCTGATGAAACGTTTGAGGCTGATGTCTCGTTTAACAATGCATCGACTCAAATAAAGTAAGTCATTTCAAACAAAGGATCAAACCCAATCCTAAAACCCTAAACATCATGTCAAGGGGGGTCATTTGCAGCCAGCAATAGGTGATTTTCTCTGGTTGTTATTACAAAAAATGCCAAAATATAATGGGATGTAACTGTTTTTTGTATGTTTGAGTCATAATTTCCAAAAGTGCCAGTTGCAAGCTGTTTTCATGTTTTGCACATTGTCAGAAATTTAAATGAAATCTCTGTTTTGATAGGATACATGTTGTTGAGAATAATTTGAATATTAGTCATTTATTTTATTGATTAATGTATCTAGGAAAAAGAGAAAGATGTCATATCTAAAGAGAGATCTAGATGCAAGGGCTCGAAGTGAAGCTTACAGGAGTATATTCCGTCTGCCAGCCAATGAGAAGCTAGACGGGGATGTTGAATGTACGTTGTGGACCCCTTATAATAAACAACATGTGTGGGGTAGAATATACATCTCATCTCACTACCTCTGTTTTGCAAGTAGGGTAAGTATTAAGTTAAGTTGCTATGTCCATGGACTTACTCTGTAATTCCATGCTCTATCCTAAAGAATTTATTTTGTATTGTATCACCAAGAAGTGGTGACTTTGTTCTAGCCACCATATTTTGTGATCAGCATCAGAAGTCAGCATATGTAACAAATTGTTATTGTGTTATTACCCTATTGCAGCCATTTACGAGTGACATTTTTCATATTTATTAGGTCAAGAGTCTAGTTGCCATAGTGATACCAATGAGGGAGATTTCTGTGGTCGAAAAGACAGGGATGTCCTCTGGTAATGTTCTCCCTAACTCCCTACTTGTCACAACCAAGGGAAAGGTAAGAGATATCTCATTTTATTATTTTATTTCAATAAACTTTTATAAAATAAAATTTTGGAAAATCGAGATGGGGGCAATCTGGTTAACCCTTGACCTTGTTTAGACTTACAACCTCGTATTTTTTACATGTTACATGTGTACATGTCTCGTACATGATGGATATAGAGTAATCACAATTTAAAAAAATGAGATCACAACTCCTGTATGGTTGTATGAATTGGAACCATCTAAAATGAATTCAAAAGTTATAAGTGTTAGAAAACACAGACACAATCAAAGAAGGTGCAAATAATTTTCTCCCAGTTAAATTGAACAAAGGTACAAATGATGGACCTGACGTCGTATATGTGACGTCATGTCACTGACATGACATGGATTGTGTATTTTGACACCCAACTTTTGCATTTGTGAAAGGAAGCTGGATCATGAAACCTGTATTTTGCTGTCACAGATATTTATGTTTATGATCATGTGAGATATCAAGCTTGTGCCTAACAATTCAGATTTAATATCCAAGAGAAAGTTTTTTTCTTTTTTGTTCTCAAATTTATTTGATTGTGTACAAATACTTCAACCATATGTTTCAACATGTTACATATTTGCATACATCCTTTTCAGATCAACTACCTCTTTGCCAACATGCCTGACAGAAAACTAGTCCTTGAAAAGATCTCAGATTTCTTAAGCCGCCAACCAACTGTCGATAAAATGTAAGTTAAACAGTTATTTCTTAAAATCAGTACACATGATAGAAGATATCACGTTCTAGACCTGAATAACTTTGGGTGTCGATTTTGTTTTCTGGCAATCATTTTGGAAGTAATTAGATAAATCTTGTCATCATGATTCAAGGGAAATGACTAATTGGATTACTTTTGGGTGGCCATCTTCATGCCTGGTAATCAGGAAAATTCAACAAATCTGCAAGAATTAATTTTTCAAAAGGAAGTTTACAAACAAATCACAAAATGATTAGGTGAACAATATGGTGAAATGATTTTTCTTCATTGATACACTGTGAGATAAATTAAAAAAGCCACAACATCACCAGCATGCAAAAGTCAATATTTTTTTTGTTTTGTTATAAATCAAGAGGGGGTCTGGTAAACTGGAATGGATTGTTATTGCTTGTGCCATCTAACTATTTCTTGAGAATAAAATACTTTTAAATTTCTAATTGATATGATGTATTCATGTTTATGTGCAGACCAAAACACTCAGATAAAGCAAATATTCAAAACAGCAAATCATCAAAAATAAGTAGCGCCAAATCAAGTAGAAGTACAATATAAAAATAAAGATAACTCTTGTAACTGAGCTTGTAACTCATCATGACATCTATTTATTTATAGAATATACATGTACATGTAGACTATACAGTGTTACTTCAGTCTTCATCACCCTATATATTTTAATACTGTGTCAAAAAATTACAAAAATTACATGTACAAAGCCTTTGTACATGACATTGTAATTTAGAGACCATAAAATTGTACTTGCATCTTGAACCTTAGATAAGTTTTTGATATACAAGATATTGTCCTAGGAATATTGTACACACTGAATCAATCATCAAAATAGATTATAGTACAGTCAACAGTTTTTAAGTACACCTATGCTTTTTAGATTCATTTTAATCAAAGGCAGAATACAAGAGTATTGTATCATTGAGATCCTAAAAGGACCTCATAGGCGTAACCAGGCGGGAGGGGGTGCGACCTCCCCCATAACCAATACAAATATAAACCTGAGATAGCAGAAGAAAAGAGCTTTAAAATGCTTTTTATTTGAAGCCTCTAGCTCAACTTTGAAGGAAGTTGCATCAAATTTTGTAAAATTCAAGATAAATCTTAAAATTTTGGCTTGTTTATGCCATAATCGCACCCCCCCTGACTGAAACCTGGCTACACCCTTGGACCTCATATTTGTTCACTCTCCTTTAGATTGAATTTTGCTTCATTTTTCTTCCAAAATGAAACACCTGCATTGACTGCATAAAAGAGACACATAATGTGTAGTCCTCCTAAAACCACAATACATAAATGGATCACTTGTTTATAATTTAGATTCTCATGACTTAGATAAGCATGTGTTATGAAGTCAGATCCATCAGCAGTCTTTTCAAGTTCACATGTATAATCAAAATATCTAATATAGTCCTCATCACAAGAGATCCCATATTCATGAATGTCATTATCTAGAAACAAACCACTCACATGAACACATACCATTGCTATGCAGGCAAGCATGGAAAAAATTAACAAAACAATTTGGCGTTTACATCGCTTCTTTTTCTGTACACCCTCTGGTAGAAAATGTAAATTATGTGCATGGAATCCAGAGATGAGAAGGATACAACCGGAAATTGCTGGAAGAAAGAGTTGCCACATTGAAGTCTTGAATATCACCTCAATGATGGATAAAAATGGAAAAGATATAGGAGTGAGTTTAAACAAAAAGCTCGTTTTGATGAATCTCCTTTCTTTATCATCTGTGAAAGTGATTGGTGGTCTACCATTGACAAAGTCATACCTTGCATAAAGTGCCCATATGACTATAACAAATACAACATAAGCTAGTACTATATTGGCGGTATGTATTGCTTGAAGAGTATTCCATCCTACGATATATGCGTGTGTTGTATCACTTGTGGCATTATGTTCACATTTTAGTTCTAACATTATTGTTATAATGTGATGATCACAAGGTTTTCCATAGATGTGTATTTCTCGATCAATGTACATTCCATAAGCAGCCATTGCCATCATAGCCAAGCAAATTGGAAGCGTCAGATGAAGAAAGACACTCATAATCTTGAAATATCTCGCGACAACTTTATTTCCTGCTCGAGTGTCTTGTAGACTGTCTTTGATTTTACATTCATTAATAATAGCAAATACGATTAAAATAAAGCTCCAGGCTCCATTGAAATACTTCCATGTTGAAGTTTTATAAATCGCTGCTGCTATACTTGTTCCAAGCAAAGCAAAACAAAACAAGATTGACAACCAGGTTAGATCAGTCATTCCTTTAATGTATGGATTATTATAAGAAATTTGTGGTTTCTGTTTTGGTTGTTTTTGTGGGTGTTGCTCTGTTGCTACTGTGATCTTATCCTCTATGGTTGTATGAGTGTGCACGAATTCAGCAGCATGAGTTGCTGCTGGGGTCGCCCCTTCAGTTAGTTGTGTTTTTGAGTGTTTTTGTGGGTGTTGTTCTGTGGCTACTGCGATCTTATCCTCTATGGTTGTATGAGTGTGCACGAATTCAGCACCATGAGTGGCTGCAGGGATTGTGTCTTCAGCTAGTTGCGTTTTTGTTTTGGAGTGTTTTTGTGCGTGATGTTCCGTCGCTACTGCAATCTTATCCTTTGTGGATGTATGAGTGTGCACGAATTCAGCACCATGAGTGGCTGTCTCCTCTTCAGCCTGTTGTGCTTTTGTTTTTGAGTGTTTTTGTGGGTGTTGTTCTGTCGCTACTGCAATCTTATCCTCTATGGATGTATGAGTGTGCACAAATTCAGCACCATGAGTGGCTGCTGGGGTCGCATCTTCAGCTAGATGGGCTTTTGAGTGTTTTTGTGGGTGTTGTTCTGTGGCTACTGCGATCTTATCCTCTATTGATGCCTGGGCATGCACAACTTTGGCAGTATTCTTAGGTTTTGGAATTTGCTTTTTTCGCAGCTGATTGTGGGGTCTGTATTGGTGTACCAGTTGATTGTCCTTGTGTAGTGATTGGTTGCCTTGTGATTGATTGTGCTGGTGAAGACTTGATTGTGCTTGTGAAGCAGCCATGCTTGTTGGTAGAGGATGCACACCAGGCAGTGGAGGTTGGGCATTTTTAGATGTGCTAAATGTTTCCATTGGAAATGATTCACCTGTTCCTGGTGCCATGTTTACAATTTTGATAGTGTTAAACGCTAGTGCAAGTGTATTATATGCTGGCGGAGGGTCATTGTATGATTGCCCAGGGACAGTACTGCCACCTATAGGTGTTCCTCCAGCCCCTCCATGTGCTGATGTCAACCAGAGCTTCCGAATAGCCTCCTTCAGTAGTAGATGCTGTCCAAGGGGTTCAATCTTTAGTTCAGTGTCAAGAAGAGGCTGTGTTACAAGCCTCAATGTGTTTATGTTTGTGAAACCTTTATCTAACAGTATCTGCAACGTGTTGTCATTTAAGCCTTGTGTTAAACACCAGGTTTTGAAGTCTCCTAAATATGCCATTGTTATAGTATGTATCCAATTTTAGATATATTTTATATTGTATATTCCTACATATTGTATGTATTGGTTATACTGGTATTAAAATCCTTGTCTATTCACCTTTTTAGATTGGATTAGTGTATGTTGTCCTTTGCATTATTTCCTTTCATGTACATGTATATCAGTTTTATTATATACAGATACTTGTAAAATGTAATGTTATCTTTGCGCTTGGTAAATCTGGTTGTTTAGGCAGTTTTTAGATCACGTAACTCCAAACCATAGCAGCTTACTATCTTTACACTATATAGGCATCTACTACTCTCTACAGCTTACGAGTGTTAGTGGAAGGTTGTTTGCTTCTTTTCGTAGCAATGCACTTAGCTAATAGCAGGGATAAGTGAAAGATGTTTTGTGCTTCTATTGCTCATACAGCACAGGCTGGTGAATCAAATCGTGTTATTGATTGCAGATTTCTAATACAGTGTACCTTAGTGGAATTTTGCTAAGAGAGAATATATTGATTTCATGCTTCTGGCAGGCTAATACAGTACTATGCAGTGAAGAGAAATATCTCACAAGGATATCACCATTCTATTTCCTCTCTGACTATCACAAATAAAACAGTTTTAACCCCTTTAATGTACCAGAGTATTTTTCATTTTTTCATTTTTTGGTTGTTCTTGCAATTTTACTATCTTATATTATTATTTTCAAATGAAGTTTGATTTTCTGATTGGATATAGCTTAGATCAAATTATTATCTCTTATTTAAAGTGTGTGTGAAATAAGTGTTCTGGCGAAGGGTAGTTGGAGTCAAAAATAGATACTTTGTCATTGTCATTTGTAATAATCATTGCCATGGTGATATCACAACCAAGTTCCAATGTTTAAGTTCACAAAATTAACAAAGAGAATTGGCTCCCAGAGTGCAACTTCGATATTCTGTTCCATATATGGAGATGTAATGTTGTGATTCAAAATTTAAATTCAAACAGCCGCCATTTTATTCACTTCAACATTTGAATCGTGAATTTTGGTCTTATTTCCAAAACTCACAAGAAATGATTGGATGGATTAATCCCAATTTAAGTTTTTTGCTTATACCATTCCTCAAAATGGTGAAATAGTACAATTACTGGGTGTCCAATAAATAAGGTGAAAGATATTGTAACTTTCTTAATATTGCACCAATCTTGATGAAATTTTGTAGCCCAAACATTTTTACCTTTATTCTGTGAATTTATATTCAATTCATTTGATTGGCCAGAGTTGTGGTTGTAAGGCGTGGCCCTTATTGTAGTTACAGTCGTCTTATTCACGCCCGGTGATCGTGAAAATGGGACGGAGGGGGGAGCAGGCAATTTTCGCTAGAAAATTCAACAAATCTGGTAAAATTATTTTTTCAAGACAGAGTTTACGATTGAATTGCAAATTGAATAAGCGCACGGTATGATAAAATATGTTAGGTATTCTAGGATTATTTTTCAACCTATACTCTTTTAAGATATAAGATCTATTAAAAAAGGCGCAACGCAACCAACGTGCAAAAGTCAAAGTTTTTGCTATAAATCAAGCAACAATGGACTACACGACCTGTAATAAATACTTGTAAGTGATGTTATCATAACTAAATTAATGTCATTGCTGAATTTATAAAATAAGTTGCCATACGTAAAATAAAAAATAATCGAAAATAATTAAAATGGGACGGAGGGGGGGGAGGGGACGGAGGGAGGGGGAGTAATAATTCTATAAATTGAAACAACTTCACACGAATTCTTGTATTTGAAAAATGAACTCATTAACTTAGTAAGAAACTGGATGATATACCCCTGGAGACTGAAAAATGGGGACATTTGGAGTAAAAGGACTTAAAGTCGCGAAACATCTTTAATCATGTCTTATATACATATTGCTCCCCTCCTCCGTCCCCTCCCCCCCTCCATCCCAAATTCATTATTTTCGATTATTTTTTATTTCACATATGGAAACTTATTTTATAAATTCAGCAATGACATTAATTTAGTTATGATAACATCACTTACAAGTATTTATTACAGGTCGTCCAGACCATTGTTGCTTGATTTATAGCAAAAACGTTGATTTGTGCCTGTTGATGGCCTTGCGCCTTTTTTAATAGATCTGATACCTTAGATGCGTATCGTTTCAGAAAAAATCCCAGAAAACCTAACATATTCTACCATACCGTGCGCCTATCCATTTAGCAATTCAATAGTAAACTTTTTCTTGAAAAAATAAATCTTCCAGATTTGTTGAATTTCCTAGCAGAATTTGCCTGCTCCCCCCCCCCCTCCGTCCCATATTCACGATCACCGGGCGTGTATTATTTCCAAAATGATGATGCATTTTGAACTGCAAAACCACAAATGAAATTCAACTGACACTGGATGTATACATATGTAACCAAGGTAATTTGGTTGTTAGGTAGCCTCTCTGATGTCATAGTGCTTCTTTGTTGTATTTTATGATGTCATTGAGATATCTTTACTAATAACAAAATTTATGCATCACAATGAGATATCATCATATCACAATGTGTTGTGAAACCCAAAGTTCAAGATGGCTCCTGCACAAAGCAGAATTGAGCAAAGAACTAATATCAAATTCTGTGTTAAATTGGCTAAATCAGTCAAGGAAACAGTGAGAGAAATCAAGAAAGTATACAAAAAATATCTACAAGTGGTTTAACAAATACAGCTCTGGGTATGAAGAAGTTAAGGACAAACCATGCAGTGGGAAGCCAGTTTCTTCATTTGACAAGGACACAATTGAAGAGATTGAAGCCCAAGTGATGAATGACTGTCATGTGTCTGTTAGACAGCTGGCAGAAATGTTTGACATTAGTAGAGGAACTGTACATACGATATTAAGGAAATACTGTAACTTAAGAAGAGTTTCAGCTAAGTGGATTTCGCATGAGCTTACAGATGAGCAGCGTAAGAACCCTGTCAAAATGTCTAGAGAATTTCTCGCTCAATATGATGCAGGTAAACAGGACTTTCTTCCTTTCTTCCTGCCAGAGACAGCTCAGCAGTCCTCAGGGTGTAAACACACAGCTATGCTCACTAGTGAAACTATTAGGGCACTGGGGCTACCCCCCGGGGGCTACCCCTACTTGCACACCCTCCATATTCCCCAGACCTTGCACCCAATGACTTTTACTTATATGCAGAACTCAAGCGTGACTTGAGAGGAAATAAATTTGGAAGCACTGATGAACTCAGATCACATTTCTTAGCAAGACTTCAGGAAATGGGCAAGAATGGGTTTGAAAGTGTGTTTAGAGAGTGGATGAATAGGCATAAGAAGTGTATAGCTAGAGATGGACATTATGTTGAATAGCTTATTTTCATAACACTGGGACTTTAGGACTGTTTTTATATTGTATTTGTGGTAGTAATAGACCTGGGAGTATGAATAAAGCTATCAGAAAGAATAAATATGTTTTGGAAAGTTGTAACGTAAGCAAACTTTCCCCACCTTTTTGTTGTTTCCATTCCTATAGCAACCACAATTCTGGCCAATCAAATAGAAGATGCTTTAAATTCACAGAATAAAGGTAAAAATGGTTGGGCTACAAACTCTGAAAATTTCATCAAGATTGGTGCAATATTAAGAAAGTTACAATATCTTTCACCTTATTTATTGGACACCTTGTAGAATATTATATTGTTAAAACACACACTCAGAGATAATCTATCAAGTTATTTTTATATTTCCAGGACTTTTGAGGCAGAAAAAGATATGGTTGACTCTAATCTGACAAAACCAGGTAAAATATTATAGTATTAGGTATGACATAATAAATGTATTTTTTTATTCATATGATAACAGTAAGTTGTATCAGTGGTTCTCTAACATGCTTTTCAATGCTGATTCTCCATTTTTTCTGTTTTGTCAACTTGCAAATCTTTTTTCATATTTAAAGTATTTTTATATAGCTATTGAACATAGGATACAGTGAAACAACCATAAGAAAGCTAAAATCTAAAACTGCATAGTCATTTTGTTAAGAAAATCAGAGTAGCAAATTCCCAAAATGAATATTTCCTCCATTTCATGCTATATTCTATATTCTAGGTCAACCAACTATTGAACTAGAGCCTGCATTATTTAAGAGATTCATGAGACGAGGCTCAGATGACATCTCAGCCAAAGAGGCAGTTAAAGAAAACCTTTGGCAGATCCACTTTGCAGAATATGGAAGGTAGATTTCACTCTTTCCTAGTTCTTTTTTCTTAACTTGGTGCAAAATTCTCATTTAACTTATTCTGGCTAAGGAATGCTTATTAGCATTGGTTTTCTGAATTCTTAGTGTTTACATTTTAAACTACAATAATATTTTGTTTTGCATGTAGATGCAATATAATTTTATACATATAGGTGGAGATATATGATCATATGGTTTGATATATAACAATAGAGTACATGTATATGCTTTGTAACATTTTCTAGGGGTATCTGTATGTATCGTACACACAAGACACATGAGTTGATATTGCGAGGTGTACCTGATATATACAGGGGTGAGATCTGGATGTTGTACTCTGGAGCAATCAATGAGGTATGATTTGAAAGTTTATTTTGAAGAATATATGAAATAAAATGATCATTTTATTTTCAAAATTATACAATATTTTTTATTTTTGAAGTGCTTTACATAGTTCTAATTACTAGCAGTAAGAGGTGGCACATGAATCAAAAATAAAATAGAAATGAAACTGCATTGTTTGAATTGTTTTGGATGCTTCACCCTTTAATCGCATTATTCAAACTCAAGTAAAAGTACATATAAATTACATGTTTAAAATGAGAATACATTGAAATGTGCAAAATTATTACTTTTTATTATTAGATGTCTACCCATCCTGGGTACTACCAGTCCATTGTGGAGCAGAGTATAGGAAAATATACCATAGCATCTGATGAGATCGAAAGGGATTTACACAGGTTAGTATAGCCTTGCAATTTCCCCCTTAATGCAAATCTGCTCTCATATTGTGGAAAAGAACGGAAAGCAGAAATTTTGTCTATAGCTTTGATGTTTATTGTGCCAGTCTGTGGATGGAAAGGTGGATGGTTTTGTAATTTGATTAGCAGATTGATGTAATTGGTTGCTTGGCCTGGCAAGTTGTTTGAAGGCAAGTTTGGCCGTAGGATGGTTGTGCTGACAGGATGTTCCTTGTTTCTTTATTTGACTCATGCTATTCCAGGTCCCTCCCTGAGCACCCTGCCTTCCAGACAGACATAGGTATAGATGCTTTGAGACGTGTTCTTACAGCTTATGCCTGGAGAAACCCTAATATTGGTAAGTCTGGCACATAACATAACCATAACACATGTAGTGATCACTTAGTTTACCGGAGGATAGTTCCTTAAATTCAATTTGATGACTTTTACAGTGGATAATTTGTTAAGTGTTCAGTTTGATTCAACGATTACCAGGCTTGAGTTATTTATTCAAAGATTACCTTAAGAGTTGTTATGTGATAATATTGTCATGAATATTGGTATGTTCAATAACACATTTCTTCCAGGGTACTGCCAGGCTATGAACATAGTAACCAGTGTGCTTCTGCTTTATGCCAGTGAAGAGGAGACATTCTGGTTGCTAGTGGCACTGTGTGAACGTTTACTTCCTGACTACTACAATACTAAAGTTGTAGGAGCACTCATCGACCAGGGTACTTATTTTTTAAATCTAAACATTGTCATGATCTGTGTGAGACAATACATGTTTTTTTATTTTCCATAGTTGAATGTAGAGTAATGAAAAGGCTTGTTGGGGTCACCTTTTCAGAAAAATTCTGTATACTTTAATGATTAAAGAATGGTAAATCATTTACTTGTGTATTATATCATGTTATATATATTTATTAGTTGACTTTTAGAGTCATGTTACTTCATCGGATATTATTGCCCTTTGCTATGTCACCGCCACAAGTGTTGACATCTTGTTATCGTCTCAAACCTTTTTGATGGTGTTTGCATTCGGCGTCTGGTGTCTTAACAAATGGCAAGTAGTGATATTTTGCATGTTAATGCCTTGTTGAATTGGCTAAGGTCATAAATTGAGTTTGGTATCATGTTCATATATGTAGTTCGGCTGTTTTGCTATAAATTTATTCAAGGATTTTGGCCATATATTTAGTTGGGTATTTTGGTCATATATTAAGTTTGGATTCAATGTAATGGCCTATATTTGTTCTGCAGGTGTTTTTGAGGAGTTAGTTCAACAGTACATGCCTAGTCTCTACCAGAAGCTGGATCAACTAGGCCTTATCACTATGGTGTCTTTATCATGGTTTCTCACACTCTTTCTCAGGTAAGATCAGATTGATGTGCGTGCAGTAAAATCGAACATTCAGAATGTTCCCAGTCCTGTTGATCTTAAAGGGAGAAACAAGAAATAGCTTTCGGGCTGATATCCATGTCATGCCTATTTTCAAAAATCCCAAAAATTCATACCCCTTCATTTCACAGAAAAGAATAGATTTAAATCATGAAGAATTTAAACATTTATGGTTTTTAGATAGTTCAAACTTTGATATCATCTATCTTTTTTGAGAAATCATATTTTGGATGGAAAGAGCACATTAGCGAGACAATAATGTAAGTGTATCATTGCTTGTAATTTGTTGCCACTAGATATAACAAAATTTAATTTTTATGCAGATTTATCTTTGCATTGTATTGGTAATAATAACAATGTTTTCAAACCTTTACAAATTCATTACAATATACTTGTACATTTATTCCACATAAATCCTATATGACTTCATTATTAAGTCATCTAGATGAGTACTTTATGCACAAATATTTTCAGCTTTTCATACCAAAAATTCACTTCCTTGTAATCTACATTGTATAAATAATTTTAAGGCATTAAGATTTATGCTACTATGCTGGCACAAAGCTGTCATTGACTATACCATAAACACTGTTCTAACTACAATTCATATTAATATACATATTAGCATTATAAACAAAGCTGACACACAATGTGGAATGTCGCATTGTATAACTTCTAAATATTTTCCTATATTCTACATGTATTTTTATTTCATTTTCAGTGTCATCCCATTTGACAGTGCTGTCAACATTATGGACTGCTTTTTCTTCGATGGGGCTAAAGTAAGTATACATGTACATTTAAATGTTTATATGAATAAAAGGTGCATTTTTAGATACAGTTATTTCTTATCAAATTTTTTCTTGCCCAACTCTAGTTTCAGATCTCTCCAGAATTTTCTTTGTTTTCCTTCATCTTCACTCCATTTTAGGCAAACATTGTTTCTTACCATTAGCCTTAATTCTCCTGACATCTCTTTCTATGGAATGTTCTCCATCAATATCACTATAAGAGTATGTCGCTGTGTTTGACTTAGCATATCAATTGCTGCGTTCATCTCAAACTCATTCCAGCCCTCTTTCATCCAACCCCGTGTAACGAGGAATATAATATGGCGGCTACGATCCATGTGAGTCATAATCCCACTAAAGTATGACTCTTGACCTGGTATTATGTTGTTGTCGTGAATCAGTTTGAAGTCAAGGTCACCTTTACTCAGTTTAGTTTTTTTATGGTTTCTTTATTTTACTTTACAAAATTATCTACAAATGACAGGGCCGAGGCTGAAATCAGCATTATTGGCCCTGTTAATACAAAGTTTATTCAAATTTACAAAATAGCAACAAAATGACTACCAACATATATGTATGCATGGCAGGAATGTGTTAAAACTATATAATTATATCAATGCATTCACACAAAAAGGAGGTAAAATGCTTCAATATTGAAGAATTGCATGTTATGTTAACTCCATCTCTGCCATACATTAAGATATTCAGCTTTTGCTCTATAGAGCATCCTGTAAAGAAAATGTTCATTTCTGGCATGTTCCTGAGTTCCCCCCAAAGTTTCTCTCTTATAACATTCAACAGAGGGCATTTGAAGATTAGATGCTTTGTAGTTTGTTGTTTAAAACCACAGATGCATTTGGGACTGTCAATACCTTGAAAATTATGTTGAAAAAGATGACCAGTAAAAATGAAATCACATCTTGTTCTATTCAGTAAAATTTCTTCTTTTCTTGTAAGATCCAGGTTTGTGGTTGTTAAATGCTTCATTGTTCCTGAATATTTACGTAAATTGGTTTTGAAAGTGACTCTTGATGGTGCACTTTTTAGATAATTTGGAATGGCTTCCCATTCTCTTATGGCATTTATTATTGGTGACTTTTGTGAACGTGCAGTTAACTTTGGAATAGTGTATTCTCTTGATTTTCTCAAGTTAATATTATGTTGCTTATTTTGATAACTATCAAAAATTTTTTGAACATAAGTTGGGACCAATTTCTGTCTAACATCATACATTAAACGTAAACGTTTCTCCTTTCTCCGCTCAGACAGGGTATTCCAATTTAGACATTTCAAAACCTTTACAGTAGATGTTCCATGAATGCAGCCACTTACTAATAATGCTGCCCTATAATGAACTTGGTCTAGTTTCATAATATTATACTTGGTAGATTTTTCAAATAATATACTTCCATACTCTAAGTTTGGGAGAATAAATGATAGATACATCTTCTCTAGTTGTTTAGCTCGAATCCTGGTCTTAAGAACTTTCAATGGATTTAACATTATATTACATGCTTTTATGATATCCTGTAAATGGGCTTCAAAATTCAAATGCTCATCTAGAATGACTCCTAAGTGTTTATGAGTTCTGGTTCTATTAATGACCTCATTTCCTAGGTAGAGGGGAGGGTATAAGAGATTGCACCTCCTTGAGCCTTTAAAAATCATATCTTGACTTTTAGAAGGTTTAAATTTAAGCTTCCATTTCTGTGACCATTCCCATAAATTATTTAAGTCAGCTTGTAAATGCTGGTTCTGTTCAATGATATTAGCTTTCCTATTAAATGGCATAAAGATTGAACTATCATCTGCATAAAGGTAAAGTTGACTATGATTTATGACTTTACTCAGTTCTGGTGTCATAACTTGATTCACCCATATTCTTTTTTCAGAATGATAACTCACAAAAGCATCATAGATTTCCACTTCTTCATCATTGTCTTGATTGATATTGTGAACATTTTGCTTTCGTGCTTTTCGCACCATGTGTCTGTATTTAATATCCCTCCAGAAGTATTTAAGCAGAGATAAAGTCACAATTGTCAGTAGTATAATACAACTGCTAGATAATGCACATATTTGTATGAATAACCCATTGTTACATTCTAGCCATGTTAATTTATAGTCAAGAAATTTTTCATTTGTTTGGCTTTTTGGTGATTTACAAAATTGATCATGTTTTACAGTGACACCATATGTTTCTCTATTAGGCCTATTTTTTATGACCCATTTTCTGAAAGCCCTCATTTCACAATCACAGGATAATAAATTATCATGCATTTTAACAGTGGAATAGGGTCCTTTTAGTAGACTTTCAAAGGCATTTCCGTCAATAGAAGAAATTGTATTTTGAGACAAATCTAACAAATCAAACATGAATTGAAATTGAAATAAGCCATTCTGAATATGAGTGATTCTGTTTCGATTCAAGTATAACTTCCTTATTTCACATCTTTGGAACATGCAAGAGGGAAGTTTTGTGAAATAATTGTCATTCAAATACAGCTCAGTTATTTGTAGATCAACGAACAGAGCACATAAACTATCATCTGAATATTGAAACATCAAATTCCCAGAAAAGTCTATGGTAATAAACCAATGGGATTTATTTCTCTTGAATAGTTTCAATATTTGTTGTTGGTAACTTTTAAATGCTTCTGCCATATTTTGGAAATGAAATTGCTTCAGACTTGAGAGATTGCTGAATTGAAAAAATATTCTAAAACTGTCTATTCTTGATATATAGAGGGTTTCCAACTTGTGTAATTCATTTAAGTTTATAACAACATGATTCCCAGGGTCTCGGAGGATTATCCCCGGCGAAAAAGCATGGAATAATTCCTGATTATTCGTGAATTATTCATCAATATTCATGTAAAATATTCATGAATAATCCACCAATGAAGAATAATTATTCATGAACTATTCATGAATATGCGTGATCATCAATTTGGACACTTCCCCAAAATTCTTCAAAACTGAATTACTGGAATATTCATGAATAAACTTTCAAGGACCCGTGAAGAATAAACAAGAACAAAAAAGAAAGAAATATCAAGGAATTTTTGAAGAATAAACATGAATTTATATTCCTTTTTATTCTTCACATTCTGATTCAGCAAAAATCATGAATTCTTCAAGCATATGCTTGAACATCAATTTGGATATTCTTCATTATTCTTCAAAATCCTTCTATGTTCATCATTTATTACTCATTTTTCATCATATGATAACTAGCACACCTGCCATGAATTATTCAAGAATAAAGATGAATAAAAATTTTAATTGTCGTGGAATTTTATAAGAATAAAGAAGGAGAAATTTTTATGAATCTTTAAGAATACACAAGAATGAGCATTCATGATTTTTGACGAATAAACAAGAATTAATATTCTTCTTTATTCTTCAAATTTCTAGTAAGCAAATTCATGAATTATTCAAGCATATGCTTGAACATCAATTTGGACATTCTTCATTATTCTTCACAATCCTTCTATGTTCATCATTTATTCCCCAAATTTTCATCATATGATAACTTGCTCACCTGCCATGAATTATTAAAGAATAAAGATGAATAGAAATCCTGATTATCAGGAATTTTTTAAGAATAAAGAAGGAGAAATCTTTATGAATCTTTAAGAATACACAAGAATAAACGTTCATGATTTTTGACGAATAAACAAGAATTAATATTCTTCTTTATTCTTCAAATTTCTAGTAAGCAAATTCATGAATTATTCAAGCATATGCTTGAACATCAATTTGGACATTCTTCATTATTCTTCACAATCCTTCTATATTCATCATTTATTCCCCAAATTTTCATCATATGATAACTTGCTCACCTGCCATGAATTATTGAAGAATAAAGATGAATAGAAATCCTGATTATCAGGAATTTTTTAAGAATAAAGAAGGAGAAATCTTTATGAATCTTTAAGAATACACAAGAATAAACATTCATGATTTTTACGAATAAACAAGAATTAATATTCTTCTTTATTCTTCAAATTTCTAGTAAGCAAATTCATGAATTATTCAAGCATATGCTTGAACATCAATTTGGACATTCTTCATTATTCTTCACAAACCTTCTATGTTCATCATTTATTCCCCAAATTTTCATCATATGATTACTTGCTCACCTGCCATGAATTATTAAAGAATAAAGATGAATAGATTATCAGAATTTTTTAAGAATAAAGAAGGAAAAATCGTCATGAATCTCTAAGAATAAACAAGAATAAACATTCTCGTTTTTGAAGAATATATATTAATAAATATTCTTCTTTATTCTTCAAATTTCTAGGAAGCAAATTCAAGAATTATTCAAGCATATGCTTGGACATCAATTTTGATATTCTTCAATATTCTTCACAATCCCTCTATGTTCATGATTTATTCCTCAATTTTCATCATATGATAACTTGACACTTTCCATGAATTATTCAAGAATAAAGATCCTTATTATCAGGGATTTCTTAAGAATAAATGAGAAATCTTCATGAATAAACATTCATGTTTTTGATGAATAAACAAGAATTAATATTCTTCTTTATTCTTCAAATTTCTAATCAAATTGATGAATTATTCAAGCATATGCTTGAAAACTAATTCTTAAATATTCATCGGTAATTCTTCAATTTTCAAACTTCCAGTCACTATTGAGTTCCCAAGAATAAAGATGAATAAACATTCAGGATTATTATTATCACTTTAGAATAATGAAGAATAAATTCTTCATGAATAAACAAGGATTCCTTTATGATTTTTAAGAATGAAAATATTTTAAAGAATAAATGATAAAAACTTACCTCATTTCTTTTTACTGAGTTATTCATGTATATGCATCATGGGTAGTAATCAGAAAATGCTTCATTATGCATCACCTCAATTTTTTATCTGATGTTTGCACTTTCCCTGAGTTTCTCAAGAATAAATATGAATAAAGAATAAACAATTCAATTGAAGTTACATAGAACTGCTTTATATTATTCTTAACAAATACTGTCAAACTACAAAATGAGTGTCCTTCTACAGGAAAGTTACAAAGTTACAAATACAAGTGTCTTGTCAAGTTGCAAATACAAGTGTCTTACGCATCTACATTCTATTTTTTAAGCGTAATGCCTTTTGAATGTTAGCAATTTTTTCCTTCGTAATTTTTGGAGAAGTCTTACAATGTCTTTCCACTAAAGTTAGCACTCTGTTAACATTAGTCTGGTCTAGTGGGGGTCTAGAGCTCTCTGAACGACTTGATTTTTTCCCGGTGACACTATGGAGTATCAACTCTTCTTCTGTGAAAAAATAGCTTACCAGCTTTTTTGTCACTGAACGGACATCACTTGCTGGTAGATGCTTAATAACATCATAAGCAATGTCATTTTCGTCCATATGCATTGCTTTTCTTATTTCAGCAACTTGGTTCTCGAGGTCCTTTACTCTCCTCTTTAGGCTTCTAATAGTTCTAGCAGACCTATATTGAAATAAATTGGAGACATTCAAAATCACAGGTATTTTTTCATACTTTTTTCTGAAAGGTAAACATGGTCATGCAGGGGTTTCAATAAATATGTTTTCAACAGGCTTTTTTGGCGATTTCAATAGGCTGGAACTTATTTCACCAAAATTGCTAAGGACAATGAATTTTTTTCTCAATATTTGAACAGGCATACTTGTGATTTTTTGCCGTCTGCCTGACTCATTATGAAAAGGCCAGAGGGATTAAAGAAGTAGTTTAAGTAAACCTCTTTCAGTAACTAGTAATTTATGCTTGAGTTAACAACGTGAAATAAATAGGTAAAAATTATCTTACTTGTTCCCAGAGTTTGGGGGATTTTCTTCTTCCAAGTCTTTCAATGAATGCTCATCTTGGTTGGTTTTAATTTTTTCCCTTGATGCCTTTGCAGATCTGTTATAAATAAATTGGTGGCATATTTAAAATCTGAGGCATATTTTAATTTTATACTTTATTTCTGAAAGGTGAAACATGGTCATGCAGGAGTTTCAATAAATATGTTTTTAATAGACCTTTTGGCAATTTTAATAGGATTTCACTAAAATTGGTAATTTCTCAAAATTTGAACAGGCTTAATTGTGATTTGAAATGGTTTTTTGCCATCTGCCTTTGACTCATGGTCAAAATGGCAGAGGGAATTCTTTGAAGTATGGTAGTTAACTTAAAGGGGCAATAAGGCTTGTAGAGAGAAAATAGGAAAATTTCAACTTTTTCTGAGCTATCAAGGCAACATTTGGCTTAACATCTTCTTTGACATACCTATTTTCTTAAAATGTATGGATAAACTATCAATTTCAGCATTAAGAAGTGTAAATTCAGTTCAAAGCTAAATGGGACGTCCACTTTTATATTTTTAAGATCCACCATGTTTCAAGAGGAATATCAGCTGAAATAATGTTTATCTAGAGACTAGCGGGTTTCATTGTAGATAATAAAAATAGATGTTAGTCTTGATGAAGTATCCAAACTTAAATATATTTTGACACTGGTCCATGATCGTTAAATAGCCCCTCTGCACTAATTGTTGCACCTAAATTATGCTTGACTTAACAACATGAAATAAATAGGTAAAAATTATCTTACGTGTTCTCAGAGGCTGAGGCATTTTCAGAGGCTGAGGCATTTTCTGGCGAACTAGCCATATCATCTGTGTCACTCGATGAATGCTCATCTGTCATGTCTGTCTCCCTGTCCCCGGCATCTTCAATGCAACCACCTCGGTTGCGTGCGATGTTACCCCAATATGCCTTGATTAGACATATAATCTCATCTTGGGTTAAATTCTCATCAATGTACTTATCTGTCTTTTTGGCAGCTTGTACAAGCTCTGCATCGGACAATGATGCTAAAATAATAAGAGAAATTTCTCAGTCTAAAACTCAATCAGTCTCTAACTATAATGTTAGCCTGTAAGCGCAAGTCTTCAGTGATCAAAATAGAATAAAATCAACAACCCCAAAATTTTACGGGTGACAAAGTTTTTCATCCGTCAAAATAACCTACCTGTCAATATTTCGACAGATTAAAATTAGTTCCCTTCGAATGATGACCTGCAGGCCCTTAGCCAGGATTTGCCAAGGGGGGGTTCACTTTTCAGAAAAATTCCAGGGGGGTTCACGTTGACAAAGTTGACCCAAAATCACATGAAAATGCTCAGAATGGTGATGCATGATTTTGAAAGAATGTTTGGCCAGGGGGGGGTCCGAACCGAATCGACCCCCCCCCCTGGCTACGGGCCTGACCAAAAGGTCAAAAGTCAATCACACGAGTCGCAACTGACAGAGAGAGAAAAGTTGTTGGGCCAAATGTGTTACAGGGCCTCAATTAATGTGCCTTTATGTCATTAAAAGGCCTTTAAGGGCCTCATTTTTAAAGAAACTGACCCTAAATTTTCAAAATTTTGAATTCTAACAGTCTTGCTTACCTCCGATCCCCAAGCAAATAGCGTCGTGTTCTTTAGCTTTCTTTCCAGCACCAAATCTACAAACGACAAATTCACCTAGTTCTGGGCATGTTCCTTTAGATCTATTGACAAGATTCCTGGCAGGCTCGATACTTTGTGTAAAATCTTCCACCCAAAGTAGCAATAAATAGTCTGTTTTCTCCGCCATCTTCTTCGAAAATTCGCGCGTCTGAAGATTGACGTAATGAAATATTAACCAATCAGCAGCAATGATGCTGTACCCAGGATGCATCGGGGAAGTGAAAGAAAATGGCAAAATTTACTCTGTGATTTTGTATCGGATTTGTTAAATATTATTATTGATGTGCATACAAACGTAAATGTTATCCTATTTTCGGTATAAATACGTACAAAACTACAGTATAATAAGAGTAAAACAGTCTGATTTATGGAATTTACATTAAAAGTAAAGGCGCGACGGTGTAATTTCGTTTAGTTGAGGTTTCAATTTAGACAGATTAACTACTTCCGGCAAATCCGTAAAAACAATTTTAGATCAATATTTTGATTAAAAATAACAAATCAGGTTAGTAAATTCAATCTATTTCCATGCATAGATGCCGGCAAGATTATTTTTTAGAAGGATAGCTCAATATTATATTATTCAGATGGGACGGTCCCCTCGAAAAAAATCAAATTTAAAATTTACGTCAACGATCACGAGTCGGGGGGGGGGGGTGCCGCTGAGACTCAAAATATCTACCCACATCTTGGGATTTTGTTCTCTAAAAATGAACCCGGTTTTCTTTCAAAAATAGACCCACTTCAAGGTAATTTTTAAAACACAAGACCCACTTCCGGCGATTTTTTTCAAAAACAATACCCAGTTTTAGGATTTTTCCAAAAATAGACCCATCTCTAGGGATTTTTTCCCAGATTTTTTTTATCAAAATGAAACCTCAATCTAGGGTTTTTTCTTCAAAATGGGACCCACACCTAGGGATTTGGCGAAAGAGTGACCCATTTTAGTGGCACGTCCCCATATATTACTCGAGTCTCTAGCTTACAGCTAGATGTAACTTGATTGATTTCGTATGTTTTCCTGAAAAAATGTCATACACGCACCTTGAACTCATTTTTAATAGTTTCTATAAATATTTATAAGAATATTAATCATATTGATGTAGAAGCTTTGCTTGTCTGAATTTAGATATTTCAAAATTTCTTTTCGGAAAAACATTCAAACTCAATGGATCCGCCATTTATACACCTCAGTGACCTCATTCGCAGAAAAATGGTGGCCATTTTAAAATGAAATTTCGTTTTGCGAAATTAAATGCTAAATACACTCGATTAAGACGGGGATATGAGCTGATTTTCTGCAAATGTATGCATAAAGGTATGTTTCATATAATAATGACGAAACAACTGTGCGTGGTCACCATGCATTGGCAAATATTGAATACCACAGCTGCTGTAACAGTGGCTCAAAGCCAGATCATAGAGAAGGCTTTGGAACTAAGTAACCCATATAGATCTAGCCAATATATGGGGGTTGGTTTATATCCTTTCTTTGAGGTGCTTTAATGTCACCTAGGTGGTCTCTAGTGCTGGTTTTGTCTCTTGTACATTTAGTTTTGCGATTAGCTACTCTTGTGGTTTGTAGAGTCCTTTTTTGTTTTATATAAAATCCTGTACAGGTTGGCTAAGATCATATTCATAACTGCGATTGTTATTCACATTGTCGTGCAGCCATTTCAAAAAAATATGAGACATCTCATATCAAATCATATCTCATTCGAAGCGTCTTGTTATTCTTTAACTTTCTTATCACTAACGAATCGTATACAAACAATTAGACAAAATAGTGATATATATTCAATATTGGTGGAAGGCTGTCCAAATCTGAATGTGCTTCTGTGATCCGAGAAATGTGAAGTCAGCATTACAATTATATTTGAATACACAGGATCCCAGAACAAGATTCGGTGTCTCATCTTGAGGAATATTTATTGAGCTTCTGATCCCTACTACAAAAGAATTTTGCTGGCATCTATGTTTCCATGTACGTTTTTACTGAAAATACATGTCGCATTTCTAAATTGACTTTTTCCTAGAAATTCAAAATTTTGAACCTTAGTCTACAGCACATACAGGGAACAGATAGTACACTGACTGAAATTCTCTCTGTACCCAGTAGGTAAATTTTGTTCGGTGTACTAAAACTATCTGTTCCCAGGCCTATGGTCTACACAGCCCTAAAGGCTAGAGTTGGAGGAAATGTAAGTTGGTAGTCGACTTTTTGTGATTTTGATGTCATTTCTGCATTTCACAATCCACAATCGTGTGATTCATAATTGAAAATTAACATGTGACTCTATTGAGCGTTGCAACAAAATTCACCCTGACCTTTACACCAGATTCAAATTTGTCCCACTCACTTTCGATTTATATTTCTCACATGACAAAACAATAATCAAAATCAAAAAAGTAGGAGATATATCTAATTTGGTAAATTTTGTATCAGGATTTCCCATCACAAAAAATAATGACTGCAGACTTGCCAACCTAAAATGAAAAATTTGCGTGAGATTTTCAAAAAATTGCGGTACTTTTACATGAGAGTTCTCCAAAATACGGTAGTTTTTGCGGGAGATTTTTGAAAAAACTAGAGTTTTTTACGCGCGATTTTTGAAAAACTGGAGTTTTTAAGGGAGAGTAGTTTTTAAGTAAATTTTATAAAAAGTGGTAGTTTTTGCGGGAGATTTTTGAAAAAACGGAAGGTTTTGCGGAGGATTTTTTAAAATACAGGAGTTTTGCGGGAGATTTTTGAAAAACGGGTGTTTTTGTGGGAGATTTTAAAAACGGCGATTTTTATGGGAGATTTTTGAAAAAAGGGAGTTTTTACGGGAGAGTTTTGATAAAACAGGAGTTTTCGTGGGAGAGTTTTGAAAAAACGGCAGTTTATGTGGGAGAGTTTTGAAAAAAACGGCAGTTTTTGCGGGATATGATTTTGAAAATAAACGGAAGTTTTTGTGGTAGACTTTTGACAAACGGTAGTTTTTGCGGGAGATTTTTGAAGAAACTGTAGTTGTTGCGGAAGAAAAAATGGGAGGAGCAGATTTTATTATTCTAGAAGCTGATTAAACATGCGTAAAATGCATGGGGCGTGCTACCACTGATCATATCAGACTAAATCATGCAAAGTATGCAAACTATAGACTCTAAAAAGTAGTTCTTATCATTTCCATCCCGTTTTGAACGATATCGCCGATTCATACATGAATCTGTGACATTAAGGATGCAGTACAGGGTTAGCGTAGCTTACGTTCCAGATATTAGATTATGCTCATATTTTTCGCACTGTATCACAATGATGTTATCATTAGCCAAGTGCAATATAAAGAGGACTGACCAGCTGGTTACTACAAGATAAATTATTTACATTGACGGAATTTTTGAAAAAGATTTCTATGCATTTTTCATTTTCGGGTCACAGTTTCTTCATAAATATTGACTATGTCCAATAGAAACTTCATCTACCGACAGAAATATAAACCATCTATATTACGGATCCATAAAAATGATAAATGGCATGCAAACAGTTAAAAATGTATAAACATATATAAAATGTGCAAACAGATAAGAAAATTGTTGAAAAAATGAAACGGTCCCCGAGTTTGCAAAATGTAACGCCCAATGCGGAAATCGAACCGAAGACCTTTCGTTCCCAAGAGAGATTTTAGTAGAAATACGGTACGGGAGTGTTTACGGGAGAAAACGGTACAGGAGTTTTGTTATTTTTTACGGAAAAACAAAAAATTTACGGGAGATTCCCGTAAAAAAACGGGAGGTTGGCAAGTCTGGACTGCAAACTTACATTTCTGCTGAGAATAGATATATGAGACTGGCGCCAAATTTTGCTCCCCAACTTCTTACTTTCACTGTGCAGCTTGTGGATTGATTATATACATATCATCATAAAAATTTGTCTTTTTTATTTTGCAGTTAATAGCTTGACTCACCATTTATTATGAATGAATGTGAGAATACAAACCAAAACAGTCCAGGTTTCTTGGTTCTGCAGGAAAATGGAAAGAAACAATTTGAGTGCAGGGAATGTAGGCGGACTTTTACAAATAAAAGAAACATTGAAATGCATCTACATTCAAGTCATGGCTATTGTAAGTTTCCATTTTTGAAGTTCAAAAAGTGGTTTTTGAAGGACTTTTTGTTGGAAAATTGTGAATTTGTTTAAAACTAACTTTTAGAGGCCACACGTATCAATCGCCCATATACAAATGCATGTAGCATTCTCACATAAATAGTCATCATAGTAGTCATATACTATCAGATACATGAAGATTGATCCACTAGAACTGATGAATATTCAAGTTCAAAAGAACCTTTTTCTATACTTGCTATGGTATCTGACCCGATGTAGCCACCTTGTGGTGAAATTGGTAACTACCTACTGGCATCTGGGTAATTAAAACTCGATGAATTTTATAATTTATTTTTGAATCCATTTCCCATTGTGGAGTTAACAAATATATTTTCTTACAGCTTCACCAGTGAAGAAGTATAAATTGTACGAAAACAAACCAGGATTAAAAGAGAATGTACCAAGGAGTACCGTTTGGTATAGAGCAAATAGGAGTAAATTGGAGAAAGAGCAGGAAGGTAAATAATTTAGATTTATGTAACCTCACCTTTTAAGCTCACATGGGTCACGGGCTTATCTACCTTGATCCAATCTTATGTTACTATTGTTTTAGTATAGGATTCCCTAATATATAAATATGCTTATTCGGCAAGTTTGAAAAGTGCAGCCCCTCTCTATAGGGAAAACCTCTGAACAAGGAAACTTTCCTCCAGTCTCAAGAGCATTCCCTGTTCGCAGGTTTTACTGTACATATAATTTAATTAAATTGTGCACTTTTCAGGTACAGATGATCAAGGGCCAGATGGAGAACGTCAAAATGATCAGAAAGATTCACAGGATGACATCACCCCTGAGTATTCAGACAAGGCCTATACAATTT